AATGGCAAAGGACAACCCGGCCCTCCGCAGCCGCTTGCAATTCGTGATGCTTACCGCGCAGTCCACAAGCTCCTTACTCAGCGAGACAGGGCACGGCCCTAGGGCGCACTGTCATTTTTCTTGCTTGCTCCGCCGATGGTAACGCGGCATGTCGGTAGCAGTATGCTTGGGGTCCGGAAATATCGCGAGCTTCGACTACCACAGCCAGCTCTTGTCTGTTCTTCCAGAGTCCCAGGGAAGGCAGAGAGTCAGTGACGGCTATAGTCTCGGCAGCATACCGAAGGGATGGTCGAGCTGCATTACCATGGGCTGATGTGGAAGCTGGGACGACGAGATGTTCGAGCGCTTACCTTCGTCCGTCGCGCCATCATCCAACACTTTAGGGCAGACGTCTTTGTACTTCGGCAGACGCCTCTTGAGCTTGAGCTTGAACATCCACACGAGTTTGCCTTGGAGTGCTGCTCTTCGGTGCATTAATCTAATTTTAGTCCAGTAATGACATAGGTGTGTGTCCCGCATACAAATTTGCACATTGTAGCTTGAATAACCAATATATAACTTCTGGCATACCGTAGTGACCCCTAAAATGTGTGCGCTGCCGCTGGGTACTACCAGGCACTCCTGAGCCTCTACGCGTGCGCTACCCGACAAGGGCAGATGCGGTGCCTCAGGGTAGCAAGCGCCCTCGCTACGTAGTCAGACGCTGCTTCCTGATGTGTGGTCATTCGAAGCATGATTATCGCAGGAAGCGGTGGTCCTCGAGCAGATATCAAGCCGTGGAAAGGAGGTAAAGAGCTTACGTTCACCAGTATGTCAAGCCTCGTGCCAGCCGAGATATTGCTTTTTGAAGCTGTGGCCCCAAAAAAGGCCTTTAGATGCTCTTTTGGCGTTCTTTGCCCTTCGACATGACAGGGAATTTCTTACTATGCCATACGAGCGCCACAACATGACTAAGCCGCGGCGGCGATATCCTGACCAAAGTGGAAAGCAGACCAGCGTAACGTGTCGCCGTGCCCGAGACCGCTGACAGGACATGAATAAGTGCTTACTGAGGAGTCCATGAGTGTTTTCTTGGATAACCTGTTGGATGTGAGCCATTTCCTGGATGCGCGGCGCAAATGTCGCGCATACTATATTAGGTATACTAATTCAAATCTTGAGACAAGGCACGTAGCAATAAATATGCTTGACGGTGAGCGACAACCAGCAACCATTTCTCCACCGAAGACTACCCCACTCTACTTACAGACGCTAAGCAAGATGTTCTCTGTGAGCTGCAGTGTCGGTATCTACTCGGAGCTGCAGCTGACATCATTACTGGGCAGGCCATCGAAATCTCCAAGAACACCCGCTGCGGTAGCAGCTCTTGCGGCTGTGGCAACACGTAAGTAGTTTAGCCACTGGTCTAGAGTTCATGGGATCAAATCACTTATTATTCTGTAGTTGCCAGTGCACTGCCGGCGGTTGCAAATGCTGAGCGTGTCGCTTTTCAAGCGAGCTACCCGATCTTTCTGCGTTCGAACCTGGGCAACCATGTATCAATTACCCAGCCTGAATATGAGCAGATTACTGTAACAATGGATTAAGCTTACATTTAAGCCATTCAAGCGCTGCTAGTATAGGATATGAATGAGTCCAGAGAGCAGGGGAGCGACGAAAAGGTGGAGTCTCCACCAGGTCCTCTCGCCAATGTTGTCTGCGAGCGGTCAATCTACTGCGGCGAGGAGGTGTCCTAGCTTTCTGTGCTTGCCAGCTTCAAGATCCAAGTAGTTAAGGGTCGTTGTACGGCCATAACAATCACATTAATATTCCCGGCTTCCCACAATCTGGCCACTGACTCAGTGAGCGTCACCATCACCAAGAAAGTAAAAAGAGTGGCTTTCCTGACATGATAGCAAAGTTACAGATGCAAAGCGAGCGCGTTACCACTGCGTCAAGTGCCCACAATAAAGAGGCGCTAGTGACTTTATCACTGATTAGATGATGACTGACGCAGGATACTGGCTCCCCACTAACTTAGCTCCCGATAGCCTGAACGAGACAGCAGAAGTTAACTCTTTCGTGCTTTCGTTCATATTGACAATCACTTTATCAACTTTTCAGAGTCGGTAGTAGCTGCAGCGGAACGTGGTATTGCTGGTCTCTGAAGCGACTGCTCGAGAATGGAGAGGTGGGAAGGATCAGGCAGCGCCTCTAGCGAATCGGCGTATGCAGCGTTTGAGACTCCCCCCATACAACCGCGTGAGACTCCTTCGATCCTGGCATGTTCGAGCAGCGGGCACTCCTGGAACCGAGATTTCCAAGAACCTCCGCAGCGATGCAGGGACCACTGACAGTGAGGGTTCTCGCATTTCACCGAACCTTCATGCGCCACTGAGAGGGTAGAGTGAAGGGTCTTCCTAAGCTCATCCTGGTCGCCTGCGAGGATGCCATTCCGGAAAGCCTGTTCAAAGATGTGAAGGAGGCGCCTGAACATGGGGCCACAGTATTTCGAGAGACCGTGAGGCTTGTAGCGCACAGCGTTTGCCCAATGAGCGATGTCCTCGCCTGCCGCAGCAGAAATCATACCGCGCTCAGGGCCTAGTATAACGTTGGCAATGGCAACATTCTTCTCCAGAACTCGATTTGGCGTTTCGTTAGAGGAATCGTCGAGCTCAACGACCTTCAACCACTCGCGCGACGTCAGGACGAACATCAACAGGTCATCATAGCTCTCGGCGCATCGTCGCGTGTCTGCTGAGAAGTACTCCAAGAGCAGGGATTCCAGGTGGAGTGCCTCCATACGTCCTGCTTTGACCACTGAAGGAAGACGTGTAAGAGAGCAGCGCGTAATATGTTCTGGAGCAAACTGTACCTAATCTGCCCTCGTTGTGGAAGATTGTGATAAGGCGACTTGAACGATATGCAGTGCGCAACGCTTCAGCATACAGCCCCATAGGACGGTCCATGGGTGCATTCACGCGTAAAATGTCCGAGCGGAAGATGGTGCGCAGGGCCTCCAGATACCAGTCGGCTTCTTCGATGTAAAGCGAGGTGACCTCCTCATAGTGCAAGGTATGTAGAGCTGAAAGTAATTCGAAGGCCCTGCGCACATTGCGAGCGCCATATTTCGGGTCAGCCACGCCCGCGACGACAACCTTCAGATCTGCTGCTAGTAACTCTGGGAGGATGGCGACGGTATCGTAAACTCGCGTGTCCACGACAATGAAAGACACTGCCCGCGTGAGCTCCCGTCGAACGATGGTTCGATAGACACCGTCTATTTCGGACATTGAACGCCGAAGAGTGCAACCAAGAACCTTTCGCAGAGCTGCGACTTCGCTTGGCCTTCCATCCACTTTGCCTTGCAGGGATATCGCTCGCTCTGGGCGCTGCATATCTGCATTCTTCAAGGACGAAATCAAGCACCAGTCTGCGACCATTCTCGGCCCTAGAGTGTCCGTCGATGCGGCTGCCGGTCCAAGTGGAGACTGATGATGAACGCTGTCGAGGCACTGGTGGATGAACTCGTCAACACGAGCATTCTGCGAAGCTCGGCGTACCCAGGATAGGGCCCGTACTAGGAGAGCGGTCTCGCGAACATCAACCAGTAGCGCGTCCTCGTCCGTTATAGGTGAGCTGCTTGTGTTAGGCATCTCAACCAAGTCTCCGTGTTCGTCCAGATGAGCCGCTTCCCTGGCAAGCTCAAGCCGAGCTGCATGCTTTGTGCTCGACCTCCGCCTACCCAGCTTCATGACGCAGCTTTCGAGGTCCAGCTGTCTCCAGCTGCGCGGAAGTGGTCGCTGTCCTAGTGAGGTGAGATACCGTACGAGATGGATAAGCCGAAGGACTGCCCAGGCTGTCGGGGAGCGGTAAGGACATCGCTTGTAGAAGACCGGCAAGACGGTGAATGCTGCAAGAGCGCCAAGAAACACTGTGACAAAAATAGTCGCGACAATAGCGACAACGTCGTCTAATGTCCACAGCAATACGACGAGGCCGAGGAGGAAGAGCACCATAGCCAGCTCCAGCAAGGCGGGGATAGACAAGATGGTGGCAGCAATGTGCCAAGCTTCCCAAGCCTCAATGCGGATCTGCCGCACCAGGATGTTCTCCCGCGCTGCTCCTAGGGGGGAGTGCCATTGCATAAACTCTCGAAGCCATTGTTTTGCGAGTATGCCGAAGAGTGCTGCGGCAAGGCTAAGCAGAAGACTTGCGAAGAATAAAGCATTGATCCAGCGAGCAGACGCAGATGGAGAAAACGGCGCAGGGTTCAAAAAAGCCGACATCGTGGCGTTAACAGCATTTGGGATCGAGGAGGGTGGAGCTTGTAAAGATAAGCCGTATGCGAGAAGTTGGTTTGTCGTGTCTGTGTTGTCCGGCTGGAGCATGGTATACGTTTCGACGACGAATGCAGTCAGGATTGCGGAGAAGAGACCTGCCTAGTTGTCGCAGCGTCGTTAGCAAGAAAGTGATGCCACTATAACATGGTATAACTCACGAACACCAACAGCGTGTCGATATCATCCACATGGTCCTTCACCAATCCAGTGTCGTACTCCGTCAGATGATCTTCAATGCCTGCCCAGCCATGCAAGACAGAACTTGGGGCACCCTAGCAGTACCACCGAAGTACAGAAATGTCAGTCTTCTGTAGTCGAGCAGCCTATCGCGCAGGCTTACATTATCATCCTGCTTATCGGTGAAGCCCTTCTCGGTACTGCCCGTCCTATTCAGATGCTTGACCATGGTGGACTTCGTAGAGCCTATTCGACGACCACAACGTATGATTAAGTCAGTCTGGGGCGCGAGAGGCAGGCTCAAGAGGACACGTGGAAAATGAAATAGCCAGATGCGACCAAGATGATGAGGCCAGCTCGTGTCAATCAAGCGTGTTTCAATGCACGCGTTCGACATGCTTGCCATTGCCAGACCACACATACATTGAGCGACGGACCACGAAGTATTGAAGCTGGGATTACACGGCGTTCAAGTATTACTGTCATATAAATTCGCCATGCCCGGCACTTTAATTGTCCGTCACTTTGAGTATCGCTCCACGGCCGCTTTGCCCGTGTCGCTGATGCTTAGTTCCTCCTTCAGTGTTTCCTCAAATGGCTTCAGATCCCTGCCCAAAACTTGACGTAAGAGCGGATCAACGACAGCCAGCTCGCCGCGGACGAGAGCGGGATAGGTCGTCGCCCACTTCCTGAGGAAGTCCTCTCCACCCTGGTTGCTAGCAATGTACTCGTCTTCCGAAACGATCTTCAGCTGCAATGGAGGGTCTATCTTCACGAGGTTCGAGATGATACCAGCAAGCTCAGAGAGCGTGATTGCCTTCGATCCTGTGAATAGGACGGTCTCGTTCTTGTGTGTGTCCTGAGATATCCCAAGTCGTCCAAAATAATCATTACATGGAAAACAGAGCACGTACCGCGACCATCAACTTCGCCGTTCCTTCACCAAGATCGTCTCTGCAAACCCAAGCAACCCCTCCGTCTCCGTGCGGGATCTTCACCTCATTTTCGGGGTTGCCAAACCTCCAATACCCAAAGTACAGCGGGTAGCTCTCGCAATAAATGCCCTCCCGGATGATGGTGTAAATCAAGCCACTCTCTTTCAGATACTTCTCCGTCGTAAGGTGGGCCTGCATAACCGCCGCCTTACTATCGTCCGCGAACATCAGGCTCGTGTAATACACATGCTTGACGCCAACACGCTTCGCCGCGTCGATGGCGGCCTTGTGGCTGTTGACGCGGATGTCGTACGCGATGGAAGGGTAAGAGACGATGAGGAGTTTATCGCCCCCCTTGAAGGCTTCGTCAAGGGTCTCGGGCTTGGAGAAGTCGCCCTGGCGTACTTCAACACCTGATCTCTGAATTTCGGGCGTTGCACCCTTGGGATTGTACAGCGAGATAATGACGTCACTTGCTGCGAGTAAGGTCAGTCAAGAGACCGCGTGTAGGCAAGGCATGACGTGCCTGGGACGAGCGTGATCAGGTTCTTAAAGACGCGAGAGCCGAGCTCACCCGTTGCGCCAGTTAGAACGTATTTCACCATAACGTCTAGATGCAGGCGCAACGACGAAGGAAGTCTACGTTACGGCGATGCTCATTCCCACACCTCGACCTTTGTGTGTACCATCATCGATGTGTCATCCGCTGCTGACAAACTCTGGAAGCTCCAAGAATTCGTGCTTGTTGTATCCCCGTATATTTTAGACTTTGACGTATTGAGAGTAGATGGTAAATTTTGACGTGCCGTAGCTTCTTGAACTCGAAGGAGCGAGAGTCGCCGGTGGAGAAACGGACGGAGCAATGGGGTATCAGACAGCATCCAGAATATCGGTCGACAAATGAGGACACATAGACCCGACAATAAGAAGGATAAACAGCAGTCCTTCAGTGGTTCCGAATGCAAGAGACGAGCATGTGTGCGCCAGGGAGGAAGTTTGCATCTGGACAGGATAGCTTGTTTGTGGTTGTTAGGTCGGGCCCGACACTTTCCTTTTCGAGCATGGAAGCGGGGTCTACCGACGCCTGGCTGTGCTCCGCAAGCCCCGCCGCATCCGTAGGATTCGTCAGCATTGAGACGTAAACGGGAACCGAGCAAAGGCTTATTCCTGACATCAAAATTAAGAAAGACAGCACCGCTTCCAACCTCCGAGAGGTGATTAGGTACATGGGGCGAACAGGTATATGGAAGTATAGGTAAATATTAGGTGAGAATGAAAAATTTATATAACTAGAGACCGGATACTGAGAATAGCTATTTTGAATAAGAAATAAAAAAAGGAGATCGGCATTGCATGCACAGCAACCACAAGGTGACGGATATACAATGTGAACGTGTAGCTGCACACAAATAGACGCAGAGCTGCGTATTCAAGCAAGCCATCAATAAGTCAGCGGACACATTCATGCTCGGATTATTAGATACAAGCGCGGTTCGAGATCCAATATCCAAGATTGACCCTAGCCACCAGAGGAAATGAACGCAATGTGAAGGGTCTGCATCAGGTTTATCGGATGATGAAAACACTGCTGAGCCACGGGAAACCTTTGTTTACATCTGTTAGGCTCCCAAGCCTCCGATTGCTAAGTATAGCAGCACAGATCTTCCGCAGCGCAGGATGAACGCAGATCAGACTCAATATACAGATCGATAACTTCCAGCAGTAGCAAATTGATGATAGATACAGCGAATGATCATAACAGTTCGTGAGAAGTCATAAGTAGTCGTAAGTACGAAAATGCAGCAAACGAAAAAGTGTCATGAGCGAGGCAAATGATTGGGAGCGGAAGCCTGGGCGGGCAGAGCATCTTCAATGATGGGCGTGTCAGAAAGCGGAAAGGATATTCGACGTGACTTGCGGCTCTGAGCCTGTCGCTCGGATGATACGTCGCTGTGCCGACGCTGGTTGCCGCGCCTCAAGTGTTGTAGATGAGGCACTGCAGACGGATCTGGAGTAGGCTTGACAACAAACTTGGGTCTTTCAACCGGTGTTTGCGCAGGTGTCGTGGGGTTTGCATTCGGCGCGAGAGGGGTGGGTAGCACAATTTGATCTCGACGTAGACGCGACTTCACGACAGGTGATGGCAAATTGGGTGGCGCGGATGGCGATGGGATGGTGAGCGACAGCGCTGGTTGCGGATATCGATATTCAGTAACATATCGTTCGTTCGAAGGGTTTGACTGTCTTGGGACATGTTGCGCACGAGCGACGTGCAAAGCCCTGGTCATCTCTGCTGAACCAAGGTTGCCGTGATGGTAGGGGTGGACGACATACGGCGTAGCAGAAGGAACTTCCGCAACCCCAACGACAAACGGGCGACCAGATAGCCGTACTGCAGAGTCGTGAGAGTTGCTGGAAGGAGACGGTAGCGAACTAGCGGCCGAGAATGGAGACGTGTTCAGGTAATCGGGAAAAGCCCGCCTGAGGAAGCTGTCCGAGTGATCCGAAGAAAGTGTCGGTTGCAAAGATTGGGGATGGGAGTGCAGGATGCCGTCGGAGGATGGATGAGGCACAGGCGGAAGCATAGAATTACGATGCCAACGAGGTCCAAAATCATCCGAAATAATAGGCTGGTAGCCTCGTCTGGGGAGCAGATCAGGATCCGAGACACCCTTGTTCGATTTGCGTTCCCTGTAGCTGCGGATGACAGAAGGAGGCGGGGGATCGTCGTAGTGCTGCTGGCGAGGATCCATTGAGACTTTATTGTCCAGTTTTCGTGATCTATAAGGCTGACCTCGGTCTCCGACCGGAGGCGTCTCGACGATAGATGGCAAGCTACCGGCATACGAAAGCTGGTCCTCAAGCGGCTCCGACTGTGACAGTCGGTCGTATATATTGCGCCACCATGATCGTCCAGAGCGCCGCCGTGCGACAGGCTGCATCGGTTCCGTAGGCTGTAACAAGTCATACTTAGCCCGGTTGTCGGATGGCTCTGTAATTTAAACATGAGCCTGGTACGTATACCGACCATGCGGGCCACTTACGACGTCGTCCATACCCTCGACTGGCGAGCTCCCTCTCGACCTGCTCCCCGAATTCCTCGCTTTTCTCCCGTTGCTTGCGCGAATGATATCCAAGTTCATACGCATGATCATCACCAAGGCCTAACCACTGTCGTTCTGTATTGACATGGACAGTCTCTTCAACAGCGACGTGCACGGAGAGCGGGACCTTGTCTTCGTCAGTCACCCTCTGATTCGTGAGAGAAGCGATTTCACTGCCTGGTATCTGATGACGAGACTTCCCAAATATGTTCTCGTGGGCTGCTTGCCGCCGCGCCATGACGTCCACTTCGCGCCCGCGCGTACGACGGAACATGTACACCAGCCCGTACCACAGCTCGACTAGCGTTTCTTTGAAGTTGAAGGCATGTATGAACGATGGAAAGCGCTTGGTGGGATAACCGGTAACGTAGGGCTTATAGCTGAAAGCCTTGATATGCAACAAAGCGAAAATCCTGGATGCTACTCAGCCTCAGGTAAGTAGGACCTGGTAGGGGGACCCACGTCATCTCGACCGTCTCCAAGATGGCGCCGATACCTATGTTGATGTCATCGGCCGTCATGTACTCTGTCTGTGGAGTGTATTAGCGTATTACGCGATAACGTACCAGTAGTCACCTACATTCTTCACAATCCCGAACGTTGCAAGCAGAGATAGACCAGATTCTTGCCAAAACGTAAGAAAGACTGAACGTATGTGAGTCTACTGAGCAGCTTCCAAGCTGAAATCTACTCACCGACTGCTTTGATGACGAGCAGCTTCATCAATGGCTTTTGAGGCGCCAGATAAACTTTGATCGACGTGTACACTTGCAGAAGACAGTACATGGCAATCGTAACTGAGACAGAAACGATAGAAGTAATCTAGGGCTATATCAGCACGCAGTCATGTAAGATGAGGAAGCTGTTTCACGCACATAAAGATGTCCCCACTCGGGACTCCAGGAATCATTGCAGTAGAGACCGACGTAATTTAGTATGACTGCGGCCAGAGTCGTTCTTGAAACGTGTGTGAGTGCACGGTGAGTCTCCAGAGAGGACTTGCTCACGTCGGCCGGATAACGCAGTATTGTAAGACGCCCCACTTCATGAGCTGCAGAAAGTACAGACCATCCTGAACATTGCCGCATGACGAACTCTTTAGTACCACGACACAGACCATCCAGAGCTCTTTGCTCACCGCCGGCTTCCATTTGACTGACCCGAGCGGAAACATCCATTTCTTGAGCGGTTCGCCCGCCCGCACGCGCTCCCGGTCGTTCTCACGAGAAAGCCCAGCCTATCAGCCGGAAAGATCCCAGTCAACACTATTCCTCCGCAGGTGAAACAGATCCCTGACAACGTCGAAGGGTTGACACGGGGACAAGACATCAGCTCCACTGAATGGATGCGCAATGCTGACTTCCGAGCCTGATTTCCTCAGGTAAGTAAAACAGAAAAGGGCATACCTTTCGAAGCACTTCCTTCTGTTCTTCAGGGTCGGGAGAGATGCATATCAGGAGTAGATAGAAGAATGATGTTAGCACAGTGGATTCGTAACAGTCGCGGAGGAGTAACAGAGGAGTCGAATGGTTCTGGTAGTTATGACACCATAAATTACAATACCAGCAGCGCATAGGCAGCGGAGCTCACCCAGAATAAGTAGGACGCTAGGCTCACAACGGAGTATATCGGAATCATGAGGAGAATCCGCGCGATATCTAAGCCGTCATGAGTAATCAATCTGCTATGAAGCGCACTGAACGACGCATACGGCGCTGCTCTGCTTTCTAAGGAAATGTGTGATTTCACCATTAGCCTCTGCATATACGCGACGTAGACATGTAGCATACGTTTGTATAACCCCGAAAATGCTTCTCCATGAGCCAGAAGGAGATCACGACCGAGGTTATCGTGAAAATGCCGGTTACAAGCCAGCCAATCTGTCATGAGACTTCAGACAACCTAGTTTTAAGAAACGACCAGACATAGAAACTTACATCGTGGGCTGGCATCAAAAGAATTAACAATATCATCGTTTGCGAGCACCCCGGCGAGAGTAGCACACACCTTGTACGATGAGCTTGCCATGCTCAAACAGCGGAGGTCCCTGCTCGGGAGCTTTCGCATCGTAACACCTCCCATTCACAATGTCCGCCATGTCCAGAGTCCAAGGTCGTAGTGCACAACAAAATATCTTCTAGTCCGTCGAATTCAAATTATGAATAAGTTACAGAAGTCGTGTACAGAGTCGTAAGTCGGTAAGGATTGTGAAGCCGCTTCGGGCTGTCGTAGAGCCGTGAAATTTTCGAGCCTTGAGATTTGAGACGGCCTTTCCTGCACTCTTAGAGAGTCGAAGCAGGGCGAAGCAGGTCCTAAAGAAGCATCGAAGGCTCGGAATAGCAGACTAAGATGGCGGGCGATGCTCCTGAGTCCTGACCACGCCTCAGAGTCTCAAGGTGACAGACCCGGCGTGATGTCACATTCTGATGGCATATCCAAATTTGGATGTCCTGGTCAGTCCTCTGCCCTTCGACCAACTACCTTTACTCCTGCCACTGCTATGCAGGTAGTGTTGGTAGTTCTCCAACCTGGTGTCTACTCTGGGGAAGGTACGACTTTATGGATATTTAAGTTTATCTTAGTGTTTTCTAACATACTGCGTCTCTCAGACGTCTTCGTGAATGACTGGCTCATTACCCGATCTTGACTACGTTTACACATTTACGGCCGCTCCGAGCGATGCCAGCACTCGTGTGTCTGCTATACAATGCATGGACTATTTCTGGTAATATGGAACAGGTAGCGTACCACGTTGTGCGACGTGGGTTGGCTGTAATTTCGCTAAGCAGCTAGGCCGGTGACGCCGCATGTCTTCACCTCGAATGCCAGGAGTTCTGGACAACTCGTATCTCCGCCTGACGGTCGCGTGACGGGGCCAAGAATTCTCTAAGCCCTGTCTCTCATAGGTTTGGTGGTTCTGGAGAGTGCTTCTGCAATGAGGCCGCGCTTGCTGTGGAGGCTCTCGGATGTGTGTTCCTACCTATTTCTGATCTGGTTTATGGCGCCACTGACGACCACTTGTTCAGGCTGTGTTCGCCCCAGGATCTACAGGGCGTGTCTCGAGCACCTCTTTGAAACTGCCTTATACGGTCAGCACGATGTGACCTTTACCGTCAGTAGCAAAAGGCAAGGCGCCACTGTCTCAGGAACAGGAAGAGTCGAAGAAGCGTCTTCATACATGCAACATGGTACTGCCCTTGTCCTCTGGCGCGCTGTTCTCCGCGATTCCCCCACGCACTGGAAGACGGCCCACAACCTTATCTTGAGACATCGGTAGTTCGTTCTCGCCCACATTCGGGGCGCTGGAAGCCGTGTTCCGATGTCGCCGAATGCTCGTCTGGCGACCGCCCCATGCGCTCGCTAATGGCGAGTATGCTCGGCTGTCCGACAATAGGTGTGTCTACGTTTTCTTCCCAGGTTCATTTGGTTCGGCTCGAACGCTACGGCAGAAAACACGAGTTTATTCGGAGAGAAATCGCCCCGCTACGTGTATCCCGACTGTAGGCGGCCTGTCAATGTTGCTTCCAAATCGGGACGCAAGCTTATACTACGAGTCCGGGGAATCGTGACGCTCCGTCCATCACCGCACTTCTCACCGTATGCCACCCAATATGGTCGACCTTGTCTCGCTAGGCTCGCACGGTCTGTAGGACAAGTATATCGCTCGAAACGGTGAAGGCTGATCCACCATAGAACCGAAGCCGAATCTATTGGCCTGTAACAGCATGAGGTCTGGTTACTAAGGACGCTGAATATAAGTAACGGGGGCAGACAGGACGGCCGTTAGCAAGCACACCTTGCAAAGGTCACTTCCTCCTCCACATTCAACGGGACACCTTCAACATCCCAACTCTGATCCACCACACTCCCTTCACCTTCGATATGCATCCCACTTTCATCCTCACTCGCGCATTCGCCATCTCTTCCCTCTTCGTTGGTGGTGAGTTGTCAGCAGAATTGCGTCTTTTCGTTCACTAACGTGTTCATCATCAGCGGCTCCCCTCGCGCAAGCAGCCCCCATCTATGCTACCACTACTTGCGTGTCTGGTACATCCCGCCCGTCGTGCTCACTCTCTTCGGTATGCGAACACCAAATAACGATAGTTGGGTAGTAACTGACTCGTTTTCGATAGATCTGGAGTTTCTTCGCAGCACTGATCCCAACGGTCTCGTCTCCTGGGCCGGTCGACATTTTCAACAATGCCTACCCCGAGGAGTCATTCCACTTCGCGACTCACAGCTCTGAACCGCCTGCGGCGGGTCGAGAGACGGTCGCGGTCGTAGTTGTAGTAGAGGAGACGTGCGCTGACGGTTCCTGCGGGGGTAGCCTCTACAAGGTATGTCACAACATATTACATTCTGACACCATATTCAACGATAGACAATATTATAGCGAGATGATGTAGAAGTCGCCTCTCGCGAATCTAAGACAGTCGAAGAGCGTGCCGACGACGACGACATCATCACACACGAGCCCGCAGAACTCGTTGACCGCGACGCCAACATCATCATACGCGAGCCTGCAGAACTTGTTGATCGCGACGCCAACATTATCATACGCGAGCCTGAGCCTCTGTGCAATAACATCGCCTTCTGCAAGCGTGAGTCTGAGTCCAAGTGACCAGCCTCAAGCCGCTTCCCACAAGTCTCGACCTGGTGATCCTTAATCCTGTGCGTTTTCTCCTCTATGCACACTACGAAGTGGACACTAAGCCCTCCTGCTGGCAGGTTATTACTTCGTTCACACTGCTGATTCGTTGTCCGCCCTTGTTGGCGTAATCTCCTTTTCACTTCAAGTACCACCCCTCTGCGAACCCTCTGGCCTCCTACATCCCAGTTAAAAACTGCCATGTGGCGCCTCACGCTCTTTGCCTTGCTCATTGTATGCACTGTTATTGTTCTGTAGCTGTTGTGTGTATTTCATTGTACTTGCTGTTTCTCTGGTTGAAGGCTGTGTCCAGCTGACTGGTCGCGCCTCATAGACATCTTCTGGGACCCTTGTGTTAATAGGTTCGACCTTCGTGTATCAATAGTTCCTGTTATGCTAGGTAATCTGGCTGTATATAGATCCCTGCCGGTATAATCGTGCGGTGCACGTATATATACTCATTTTCCTTTCAGAGGTGTGATATGTTCGGCGCCGCGCATCCCCTCCTCCGTCACTGATTGATTTACATCCTCCATGCTGGTCCTATGTCGTCGCTGCGTAATGCAGGACGTCAAGGTGCTTGAAATGGCGCATACACGCGGCCAGCTACTCCTCCGCTGTAGGGATATCACATCTTAACTATGCAAAACAATGTGTGATCGAGCGCACTTTCATACAACAGTAGACCTTGTTCGAGACGTCGACATGATGGTCGCAATATCCATGCAAAATGCTGGCAAGCTTTGTTGTCCATTCTCTCTGGTGATCTAGGTATGACGGTTTAGCTGTGCCTTCGAAGCAGCTTACGCGCAAGGAACATCTATCACGACTGCGACTTGCTCTGGACCAGCCACAGACGTGATCGTGTGCACAGACAGCCATCGAAATCTGAAACCTGCACACTTGGTTCCAGGGCCTCTGAAGCGCGGGACACTCGGCAAACTCATCGCAAACCGCACGCTCCAAAGAACTCGTAGTGGAACGTATGCAAGGATACACGTTATGACCGTATTTTACATCGATGATTGAACGACCACACGTCTATCATGAAACCGGGTTAAACAGAGCGCTCTGTCGACGTCTGACTCGTTCCAGCGGTGGAAGGTGTTCGAACGAATTGTTAGCGCCAGCACCCTCGGAAGCCGCTGCAGCACTTGTCGTGAGCAATTGTGATCGTTTGCAGAAGTGGGAGAACCTACGGGAAGATGCCACTTCATGCGAACGGCCCCCGCTTGAATCCCCCGCGGTAGGCAATGTTTGGGGCGATTGAGATGGCCGCTCTGGTGACTCGAGGATATTCTTAGGAAGGAACGACTTTCGACGCTGGTCCCGTACGCCTCAGAACGCGCTCAACCAGTGTAACAAACCGACGCACCTTGTTCGTGCCAGCTATATTCTCGTCCGCCATGCTGATGAGATACTTCTGCTCATCGACGTGCTCCTTCCGCTCCGCGCATGCCACGACCCATGCGATACCAACGACCAGTGGCTTCGGGTCGTTCAAAGCTCTGTGGCAATGCCGCTCAGAACACAAGGCTAGCCTGTTGTGAATCAGCAGAACTCACCGCCATCGATTTGACGTACTGGCCAAGCCATTCTTGTACACAATGTGTGTACAGCTCTGGCCTACTCGCGCCAATATCTAAGCAAGCGTCAGCAGTAGGCTCAGTAACGATGCAAGAGCACACACCTTTGCCCCCAATTGTTGCAACATTTCCGTGAACAGTGAGCTGACGTCTAATCCTTCCTCTGACTTGACATCTACAAATACGACACAGCCTTTGAGGATCCCGGAGGATTGGGGCGCGCCATTGGCACTAGTTGGAGTACCCGTATTCGAACCTACGGCTCCTGCAGGAGAGGAGGAGGTACTCGGCGATGCCAGGGCGGCAGATCTCTGAGGGCGCGCCACATGCGCCCCAACACCAGTCCCCCTGATCATCGGAGCCGTCCTCGAAGTCTGCGCGCTGCTGGACGGGAATGTGCTGCTGACGGCGCGGCCCTTGCCCTTGCCCTCCGAGGCAGGAACCCTGCGTGGCGTTGTCTGCGGGCTCTCAACCGTGAACGGGGTGAGCGAACGAAACGCCTTAGACGCTCTAAGGGACCCTCCCCCGTAGGCCGCTTTCGCTACTTCTGCCTGCTGGAGCGCCACGGTATCAACGGTACGAGAAGCGTCTACAAGCATAGACGAAGTGCCCGAGAGGCCAGACGCGAATGGGTTCAAATCTTCCATCGGTGTTGCAACCACGGTCGCCTCGTCCTCCTTCGCGGGCTCGTCCGCTTCAGCCATGTCCCCACCGCCCTTGGCTGGGCTGCCTTCAACTGTCGGCAAGGTCGTTTGCTTGCTCGCCCTGTGCAAGACGCGTGTCCCTCTATTGAGGTGGGATGGTAAAGGCGCAACGCCAAAAATGCGTTGCTTGGCGGTACTGTTGCCAAAGGAAAGCTTGCCCTTCGGCTGTCCAGAGATAATGCCAGTGCTCAGGTTGATGCGCGGCTTGCTTGTTTCAGATGCGGCATCGCTGTGAGTTTGAACGGTGGCGGTGGTCTTGCACTTCGGGACAGGTGGCGGACCCATGAGCGCTGATTGTTTCTGGGCGCCCGCACTTCGCAACATCCCACTTCGCGAAGCAGACGATGATGCACCTATGGATGGGCCAACCGTAGCGGCTCTCTGATACGACATAACTTTCGAACCGTTATTGATGCCGCTTGCCGTACTCGGTAGGTTGCTGGTCATGGCAGATGGTGGTTCGATGTCGACGTCCATTCCCGTGTCCCGTGTATCGCTATCCTCCGCCTGATCTCTGCTGAAACCGAGACTCGTGTTAGGACGGGAAAACACAGGGGTGTTAAACTTCTCAAGAGCCATCGAAAGGTTGGATAGAGAAGAGATAGAAGCGCTATGACGATGCCCGCCGGAGGCCGAACGCATCGTCATACTTTCTGGGGGCCTCGACATACTTCTGGAAGGAAATCGCGATGCAGATGGCGGAGGTCGCTTAACTGGCGAAGCCTTCGCCGCGGAGCTCTCTGTTGGTCTGGCAAATGAAAATACCGACTGAGCGCGCTTCCGCGTTGAACCACTTTTCGTTGGTGCCATTGAAGGGATGCTTGGGTCTGATGTAGCCCAAAACCATGAAAAAAGATAGAGGTGGATTTATCTGGTATTGACTCACTCGACCCAGTACTAGGACCAGCCTTCGACCTAACCTCACTCGCAACTTCCCTCTCCTTATCTTTCTGGACCGGCTCGATGTTCTTCTTATTCTCCTTGAGCCGAAGAGATGATCTGGTGGGAACCCGCGTCATAGGAGGCATAGAAGCCTGTCTCGATAGTGGCACTTTCCGTTTACCTTTATGATTAGGCGATGGGAGCGTGGACGGCTCAGGGGTTTCGGAGGAATGCGTCGCGATGTTAGACCTTGACAGTTCTGGCAACCCTGATGGCGCGTCGATATTCCGCTCGGAGGTCTTCAGCGGCTGCTTGGGAGTCGCCAGATCATCCTCAGGTGGCATATGCTGAGGAATATGTCTACGCTCGGGTGTACCTTCGCGCGACTCGCCGGTGAGAGGAGATAACGAGCTCAACCTCGATGGAGTGGAAGGCATCGACGATCGACCTCGAGGAGTAGGGGAGCGACCGCGGGGATGAATGATGGGCTCCGGTGATCTTGCTTCGGAGGTAACAGAGGTAACCGTACTCGGAGGAGAAGGAACCCTCGCCGGAGAATTCGGTCTTGATGATATCGACTTCATGCTTGCAGCGCGCGGAGCCCTCGAACGTCCGCGCTCTTCAGCATCATCATGCATGGGGACGTGCGCTCGTGCCGGGATCTTCGTAGTCGAAGGTCCCGCGGACTTCGAGCGCTGTCGAATAGTCGCTGGTGTCTTCGGGAGCGAAGACGTTAGCGCAAGACTAGGTGTCATCGGAAAAGAAGAACTAGGGGTCTTGTCTCTCGGAGCGAGTGCTGGAGTCTTAGATCTTGGCTTTCCGAGAGGGCTGGCGGAAGTTCTCGAGCTGGTGGCAGAAGTAGAGGATGTCGAAACCTTTGCGTGCTGTGTGGCCACTATTGGCTTCGACTTCAGGACCATAGCGGGTTCAGAGCTTTCGGTCTGAGATATGTTCGGAGTGGGCGTAGACTGGCTGGACATTGTGGGCGTACTTGAGTTCGAAGGATTCTTAGGCTTCATCCTGGCCTTCAAACCTTTAGGCGGCACAGCTGTAGAACGCGGTCCGGACGTGAAAGCTTGATAAAGGGTCTGCTGCACAGACGACGCCGTAGCTTTTGCGGCAGACGGTCGAGGCAAGCGGCTGGCAGAAGAAGGTGTCCTCGTATGCGAAGATGCTCGATCAACTTGAGAAGGCAAGCCTGCCTGACCATCATGTGCCTTGACAGCCACTTCAATATCGAGATAATTTTCCTTCGGCTCTACAGACAGAGCGGGCGCAGGAGTACGCGGTGACGCTAGACGTATATCGGATCCAATACCTGTGACAAGCGTCACCGGACATGGACGAGGTGATTGAAGCACGTACGTACTCAAGCCTTCGTCCATACGTATGTCGCCGTCGGCGTCACGCCGGCTGGCGGCAGTTACATCCTGTGGGACGTCTGCGGGAGGTATAGATGTAGTCCTAACTATCTCCTTTCCCTTCGACTTGGACGGAGACCGCCACGGAGACGGAGGCACTCTCGTGAGGTCGAGATGAGGAATCGGACCATCCGTAGGTATTGAGCGAGCTCGAGGGGTAAGAGCTATATCGACAAAGCCTAATTTAGGCGAAGGAGCAGAATCTGTGGATAACGACCTCTTCGAATCGGACGACGTCGACGCCAGTGGCTGAGCGGCACTCGCGTGAAGGGGGCTCCCGTAGTTCGAAGACTCGCCTGGACGGTCTACACCTGGAAGGTGCTTGACACGCTTCACCACCCGCTCCTGTAGTCCCTCTCCATCTTCTCCTGCAGCAGTCGAGGATGACCTTTTGGCTGGTAGAAAGAGAGAGTTGTTCTCGTCATTCATGGCCGCGTCCGCATGTAACGAAGCTTCCGCCGCCTTCGTCGCCACGGGGCTGTGTGAAAACACTCTTGTTGCTTCAGCCATCGAAGAGCTAGAGGCGCCATTATCGTGTTCATCCAGAGCGAGTTGAGAGCGAGTCTTGCTCGGCATCGAGCTCGATGGGTGGAACAACGCCGGGGCCGGCGCCGCCAAACCTGCAGTGCGAATAAAAGCGCTCGACGCGTCAGCACGTGATAATACCCCTAACCTAATTTTTTAATGGTTAGGGTTGACAGACATTTCCAGCGCGCTGCGCCGTCAAACTTCGACTTCGAAGTTCGCAACATCCCCAACATGCAGAATCCAAGTGCTACTCGCTCAGTCTTGTTTTTCATGTAACATTTGCTATCCAAATTTACCCCCCCGTGACTGTTTCGACAGTGTCCCATCCTGACTCATCATAAATTGTTCCTCCCGTCGAAGTGGATACAATCCAGCCTGCTCACATCTACGTCGTCTACTGCACGCACGTTGACAGCAACCTCTCCTTCGCTGCGGACGATGATGTTGCTCCCGCAGTTTGTGCAGAAGTGATGCGTAGTTGGTTTGCCTGGCAACTGATAGGAAGCCAGCTGGTCGGGGTCCCCTGCAGTGAATTTGAAGTAGGACTCAGGAACATAGCTGCGGGACAATACAAGTGAGTCATCCTCCACTAGAACCTGCGCATGGCGTGTAGCACGTACATATTCAGTAAACCATGTTGATTACAAATGCTGCAGTTGCAACTCATGACCTTCGTCTCCCCGTTCTCGAACGCCGGGTGTGAAAAGTCGAAACGGTATTTTTTGCAGTGACATCCTCCGGTGTACTCTTTAATATCGATGCGTCTTGCCCAGCCGTCAGGTCCTTGGGGAGACGCGTGGGACGATGTAGAGCTGGACATTGACAAAAGGTGTGGATTTCCGTATCGGTATCTCGCTAAGTCGATCCCTGTATTTATGTGTTCAGGGCGGCATTATGCGAGCATGCGGTCTAAGATACGCCACTCCCCACCATGATAGACCGTGACCCACCTTCACCGTATACGTAGTCTCAGCTGAAGTGAATCATCTTCTCACTAAAGCCGCGCTTAGATGTTTAGTTGTTTTGCAGAAACTGCGATCGCATTCAATAACAATCTCACCCTTCGTATGGAACGGCTTGCAGTTGGTGACTGCACGCGTATTTCTTGCGCACCGTGTTCGCCAGTCATCGCATGGACGGGACAGTCCTGAATAATCTTACTTGACGTCAACAGAACTGTGAGGTCCTGCTGAATGCCTAGCAGCGTATGCTCGTGTATCCTCAAGGTGGCTATTGGTTCAGTTTCCCAGTTCTGAACGCTACTCTGGCGTGCTGAGCCTTGTAAGTATGGTGAGTAACATGCGGCTGGTTGTAGCTCATGCGCTGAGCCACCCTGGACAGGTACCTTACGCCCAGGTGCTGTTGGGGCTCGCTCGTTGAACTGTGGTAGGACGACCGCGGCCATGGCCGACACCTTTGACGTGTACCCGGCCTGGCAGACCGCCACACGGACCCACGGCAAGGTGAGTAGTATGAACGTATACGCTTATTCTTAGGCATTCTGGGTTGCAGGGCATTTAACCGCTGTTGTCTTCGCCCTCGGCACGCCTACAATATTGCATCTCTGGCCTTATTGCAATGTCTCGCACGACTTGGTCGCATTGTTCAGTAGTGTCATTCGTCACATCTCCCTCGTCATGGACGCGCGGTGATGGGCAGCCGATCGAAGTCTGAGGTTAGACTTACATCATGGATAACTTAGGTCCTCAGGTACCAGCGCATGTTGCTCATCCCATTCACTGCGGAAGCATCCGCAGTCGCGTTCGCACATGGGGTATGCGGGCGCCGCATTGCTTTCGCTTGGAGCTTAGTCATGTTCTATAGCTCTTAGTCGCGGTAACTGGTTCACAGACTCACCGGACACGATACCCACAACCTGCGGCGGCACTCAAACCCAGCCAGAAACCAATTATAACAGTGATTTCGAGCGCGCAAGAACCATGAAATACATGAACATCCTGTCCGGTAAGTAATCATGATCGTATCCTTCCGAGCAGGAAAATCACAGATCATCTGCCGACGTTCCCCTCGCTGTATTACAGGAGGTTAGCACCATCAAAGTACTGCAGCTTCAACTTGGTCAAGTCAACACCCTCCACTGTGCGCAAGTTGACGACGACAAGGTCGTCGTGCGTCACGGCGACTTCTGTCCCACATACAGGGCAGAAGTGATGGCTATATTTGCCTGTATTCCACGTGTAGCGGGTGAGCTCTTCCAGCTTTCCGGACGTGAACTTGAAGTCCTTCTCCTGGATTCGACTGAAAGACAAACAGGTCATTCTCGACGCCCGCTAGGAAACTGCTTGAAGGCTTACAGGAGTAGCAACCCCTTCGCCGTGCAGATGGAGCAGTTGCAGCTGAGGGCGTTTTGTTCGCCGTTTTCGAATTGGGCATACGGGAACGTATAGCTGAACTTCTTGCAGTGGCAATGACCGGCGTACTCCTTGGTGTTTGCTGATGATTGAGAGGACATGGTGAACTAGGTAAAGGTAGAAGGGATGTTGTTGCGAGACTGAGCATCCTTTGACGAACAGATGCCAATTATATACGCTTGAGGCTCATCGCGTCCTGGGATCTTGCGAGAGCCCGAATTTCGAGTGTGCTTCGTAGGCTAGCCGTTGATGTATACCCGGGATAGCGGCCGTTTCCCTTGGTGAGTCACTTGCTCCCGTCATGGACCATCATAATCAGGATATGCACGATTCGGCCCGCGTTGATGAATGAACATCAGCCCGTCTATTGCGGAGTCGACTGCAATCGAACCTGCCGGTTTTCCCGACGCCGATACCTAGTCATAACACAGGACATATCCATTCCTAGCGAGCTGTGCTACAATAGGGCCGCTCCATCGAAGGGCTTCAATTTCAGCTTCTCTAGCCTGATCCCGTCCACCATGCGTACATTGATCCCAACTTTGCCTCCCGTCTTTCCGATGATTTCTGTCCCGCAGGTGGGGCAAAAGTGGTGATAGTAGCTCTTCGTGTTGAACGTGCAGCGCGTGAGCTCTTCCACGCTTCCCGAAGTGAGTTCGAACGATGTTTCGGGAACATAACTGCAGCGCTCATCATGTCAGTTCGAGATGAAAGAAGACCCGTAAACCCGCGTACATGAAGAGCAACGCGTTCATATTGCACACACTGCAATTACAGTTACCGACGTCGCATTCACCATTCTCAAACGCCGAGTGAGTGTACTTGTAGCGGAACCGCTTGCAGTGGCATCCGCCCGTGTATTTCTTTGCAGCGGTCTCCGAAGCCATTGTAGTTCGAGGGTATGCACAAGATGTCGTGATACTCGATCCTGAGGGTGAGGATCGCTTATATGCGCCCAGAAGCATTCGCGTGTTAGGGCTAGTGGATACCTGTCACTCTATTGCAATTTCGCTCCTTGGTCTGCTGGACGCGTGCCTCGCACGGTCCATGTTACACGTCGCGTGTAGCGAAATGACTCATGATCTGGCGCGTGCAGCCGTGGCGCTTCGGTACCGACGCCTTGCGCTCGTGAATCTTCCCCCGAGGAGTCACTTGCTCCTATCGAGGCACCCTGGCTTGTCTTTCAAGGAGTATAGGCAATACATGTCGCTCACGAAGCTCATAACAGATTCTTCCCATCAAACACCTTGAGCTTCAGCCTGCCCACGTCTACACTATCCGTCGTGCGGACGTTGACGTAGACCATCTGCTCGTCTGGCACGGTGAGTATGATCTGAACCCCGCAGACGGGGCAGAAGTAGTGCTTGAACTTCTTCTTGTGAAACTCGTAGAGGGTCAACTCTTCGAATTTCCCCTGCGTTAGCGCAAATTTGTCCTGGGGGACCATGCTGAGGACCGCGTGAGCATCGCATAGGGTATCCGAGGCACGTAACTTACGCCCAGATCGCCCCTTTCTGCTCGCAAATGCTACAGGTGCAAGTATCGATCTCCCGCTGCCCGTCCTCAAATGCCGGGTGCGCGAACTTGTATCGGAATGTCTTGCAGTGGCAGCTACCGATGTATTCTTTCTCGGTGGATGCTGACATAGTTGCGAAATGGCGATAACCAAGACCAACGCGAGCACTTGGCTCTCTAATATATGTGCACTTCACTAGACGCAGTGGTAACATTATCCGCGATTCCGAAGTTCATCGGGGAAGACAGTCCCGAGGTGCTCTTATTACGTGGGCATGCCACAAAACGTGGGCCCAAAGCGCGGCTCCGACGCAAGTGGGACGCCAAGCTAAAGCTTCATGGCGCTTTCGGGAAGTACACCAGCGCGGAAGACCTCATTATGACAACTGTAGTGCTTTCTTCAGAGTCACCTGGTCTCAAAAGGGCTCCCTGGCTTACCCTTGCAGCATCGGCCTGTCCGTGGTCGGACTTAAAGCCTTGAGTCTTGAGCTTGAACTATCATTTCAGAACACAGTAGCCAACACATGTATATATTTTCTTGGTTCACAGCAGGTTCTTCCCATCAAACACCTTGAGTTTTAGCTTGTCCGCATCCACACCATCCACCGAGCGGACATTAATGCAGTGCAGCTGCTCGTCTGTCAGGGTAATCAGGATCTGGACCCCGCAGACCGGGCAGAAGTAGTGCTTGAACTTCTTCTTATGGAACTGGTAGAGAGTCAGCTCTTCGAGCTTCCCCTGCGTCAGCGAGAATTTGCTGTCCGGAATATTATCCCTGCAGACTACGTGAGCGTTAAGTCGAGAATCCGTAGTGCGTCGGACGTACGACCAGATCGCTCCCTTCTGCGTGCAAAGGCTGCAGGTGCAAGCCTCGACTTCGCGCTCTCCGTTCTCAAACTCCGGGTGCGTAAGCTTGTAGCGGAACTTCTTGCAGTGACAGCCGCCAGTGTACTCTTTCTCAGCGGCGGACATTGACATGATTGCTAACTGATGACAGTCGAGACTGACGCGAGGGCTTGGCTCCCTTATATACGGGCAATCCGCTAGACGCACTGATAATGATGTCAGCGACTCTGAGCCCGTCACGCAATCATCACTAAGGAATGACACGGGGAATCGGGATACGCATGGCCGGGGCCTATGCTGGTTCCGGGGCATGAATGTGATGCGAGTGGAACTGGGATGGGGGCACGGGGCCGCGGCGACGTGGGAAATCAATTACGATAACTGCTACTCGTTCCTAATCATGCAGCAAATGAGACAACGGCTTGTAATGGCTGCTAACGGGAAGTGACATGCATGCAAGAGCCCAGAGGAAAGCGAAGCTTATCGTCCTCAATTTGCCAACTCCTTTCCTACAGTTCTGGCGAGCTCAACGGTTTCTTCCATCGCGCGCTTGCTCCATTTGGTGAATTGGATAAAGCCGTGAGTCAAATCCTCGTGGTTAACGTATAGAACCTCGGTTATCCATGCATGAGCACATGCGTCAGATGAGTCAATTAAGCGAGTAGTGCTTACTTCGTTTCCAGCAGCCTTCAGCTTCTTGGCATACTCGAAGCCGGTATCACGCAAAGGGTCGAAGCCGTTCGTGATAATGAAAGCCTTCGGGAGATTTCTGTGTCCTTCGGGCAACGTCTTGTCGGCCAACAGAGGCGTGATATCATAGTCGGTGTGGTTCTTGCCTAAGCTCGACTGTAAGCCGGTGACTCAATGAGGCTGGAAAAAAAGGTCGTACCCTGAGGAAGTACATTCCAAGCGAACAAGAGAACGCCTTGAGTCTCGAGGTAGAGACCGGTGCAGTTCTCAGCGCCAGCGAGGGTCTCGAAGGGCACCTTTGCCTCTGGGTAGATAAGAACCTGGAGCGCGATCTTGGGGCCTTTGAGTTCGCGCATCCGAAGAGCCGTAACAGCAGCCATATTTCCACCCGCACTATCACCTCCGACGGAGATACGGTTGGGGTCGACGCTGCGGTTGGAAGCGTTCTGGTGGAGCCAGCGAAGGGTCGCTTCGACTTCGAGAAGCTGAGTTGGATACCATAGTGGGGGTCAGGCGAGTATGCATTAGAGCACAAGCCACAAAGAAAATATTGCTCTACCTTATGTTCGGGCGCGAGGTGGTATTCGATGGCGTACACCTGGACGCCGCTTTCCTCTGCCATGATGCGGAAAAAGGTGTCGAACTCGGGCAGACTGCCGACTGTCCACCCTCCACCGTGGATATAGATGAACGCGGCACCCTTCTCCTTGGCGGCTTTGGCAGTGCCGGAGACCTTGTCGGAGGGATGGTAGCATCTGACGTTGAAGTCACCGACTGGTCCTCGGACGATGAGCGGCTCAACGCGGACATGGACGAGGTGTTGAGGTGGTTCGACAGCCAACACCTCTGTGTGATGACGGCGCTCGTCAGTGAAGGGTTCTTTGCCGCCAAGTCTGAGGTTGTTCGCCTTGAGGAAGTTGAGGATACCAGGGTCGACTTGGTTTGCGCGCCCGATACGCTCAGGGATGTTGGAAGTGACGATGTCAGGCATGATAGTTCGCGTGATGATAGTGAAGAAAGAGGATGAAATACAGGCTATGGGGTGCACAACGACTACGTCCAGTCTTGAACATGGTGGCCCAGGATGACATCATTGAGGGTAGCTGTGAGCTTCGAATCGAACATCGAGTCGACCAATCAAAGAGAGGACTACACTAGTATAATATGATCAGTTTCATGTCGAATCTCGAGCTTCAAGTGTGAGATACATTTGACCTGTACTGATCGTTCATGTTGGCCGTTGGTCGGTAAGAATGAGCTGCCACCGCCCGCGTCTATGTTTGTGATTGTTATGTTTAGAAGGCTTAGGTTGCCGAATCTGGACAGGCCCGAACGTTTGACTTCGAACCTTGCCTTCAAGTCAGCGTCCACTGCGGTACGACATACGGTACCTTCAACGACAACTATCTCGTTGGACTGCGGGCACGTATACTCGTCTATAAGCCGCCCAATCTGATCCTGTAAATTTTCTGGCCTGGGCGCTGATTTACTGACCGTGGCCTCTTCTCAGTGGCAGGCATGTCCGATGAAGATCGCATCGAGATGGCAACTCGACGCCTGAGTCAGGAGATATAAACGGCTACGAAAACTGAGCGACTGTACGGGCATAGGACTTTCCGTCCCCTCATTCCTCTTGTCAGTACTGCTGATTGCTGCTAGCCCCGGTCCTGGCTTTTGCACTACTATTCTGCTATTCTTCGCCTGTACTCTCGGCTGGGGCGGAATGACGTCCTTGAAGTTCCACGTGCAACGCCTAGATAGCCCGGATGGTTTGTCCCGGAATTAGCATAGCCTCTGCAGCTCACTTAACACATAAGATCGCAGAATCATTCGTCCAAGACGCGTCGGATATCTTATCTTCCTTGTTGACCCAAGGTAATTCTCCCTGCACACACAAAACTTTTTGGTTCTATAGTTTAACGCTGCTCCAGACGACCTCACAATCGCCTTGACTGGCACCGATATCACGCTGCTTCCGATGCTCGCACGCGCCATGATTGGTGGCATCGTGCTTGTTCCTGGAATGGCCGACGTCTTCACAGCCACAGACGACAGTGGTCGCCTCGTAGGTTACATTATCTGCGTCTTGCCAGGACATCTCTTATTCTCGACGTCCGTCTCCTCAACGCTGCGCTCAGGCGGTCTGGCCTCTTGCTGACGTCAGCCCTCCAGGGAGGCTTCCCGGTCCCATGGATATTATGCATACACGGATAACCCAAGGCTGGACCCTAGAGCGTGCGAGGTGTTCAAGAAAGCGGTTTGTATCTATGGATGACCGTATCAAGATTTCCGCTAACGCCGACTGGCAGTTCGCTCAAGTGCCGCTGGAAACGAATCTCCCGGCCAAAGAGGTGCGAGTGGACTATGCTCTGCCCCACTACCATATGGTTCTCATCTTATCTTGATAGTTCCAGATAACATCGTACTGGGTGAACCTTGCCATGGTCCGGGCCGAATCCCAGGGCCAGGGCGTAAGCACCGCTCTATTCCGTCTTGCATTTCAGAGGGCATGTGTCGCCAAAACTCCGGTTATTTGGCCCCTATCTGACTTTCCTAACTCATATGTAGGCCATAGAACTCGGAGCCCTAAGTGTCGGCCTAATTGCTACGAATGAGCGGAATGTCAGCTGAGGTTTATCGAATGAAAGACGGAACGCTGATCCAGTCTACCTAGGTCGCTATCTATAATGCAATTGGGCTTCAGCTCGTGAATCAAACCAAGCTTCAGTCGCCCTTCAATGAGTGCATATTGTGGCATCTGGCGAAGAAGATCATCGAAACGTAGCGTGGGTCTGTAGGTCTGTTATTCCGCTTCAATTTGCAAGCAGCTCTCATTTTGCAATGCGCGGATGCATTGACGGATGCAAACTTAAAAGATCTATCAAAGGAGCTGCTTGACGATCTGCTGTACCTTAGGCGAAATCTCTGACAAGTAGTGAATCGTTTCCTTCTGTCACCCACATCAGCAAATGCCAGACCAGAAACGAACACCCGCATTGAAAGGCTCACCCAGATCCTCTCTTGCACAATATTCCCTTCCTCACTGAGCACATACTCACCGGGCTGTCCAACAGCGGCGGTCGAGACATACGCGCCTCTCAGCTCGAGGGCGCGCTCGCTCTCCTTGCCGTCCGGACCAAGTGCAGCCCAAACAAGCTGGCGCGCACCCTCCTCCGACGTGCGACCGATGGTCTCATCCAGCATCTTCTGCACAGCGAGCCTTTCCGGAGGGAGATGTCGGCGGAGCTCGGAGAAGCAGAACCCTGGGTTGACTGCCACGGGTACCACGGGCGTCGCAAGCGGCAGATGCTCCGCGATGGCTCGGGCGAAGAGGACATTGAGCACTGGTAGGGTATGTCAGAAAGCTGAGGAGAAGATGCGAGAGATGCACGCACGCTTGGTGTGCTGATACCTCATATCCATCACTTCTGGTGTGCAGTACTCTCTGTTGCTCAGAGTTTTCAGGATACTGGGCGCCGACCTGAGCGTTTGATCGAAAGTTGCACGGAGGTGCGCGTCGCTCGATACGATCACAAGGCGAGACCGCGTCCCATGTTCTTGCGCAGCCCTAATCAAGTTTGGCAAAAGCAAGAAAGATATCAATGCTGTCGATAGATGGTTAATCTGTAGGCTGGTGTAACACTTTGTAAGTCTTCAGGGGGTGTATTTACGAGTGCGGCCGTACCTTTGTTCCCAGATATCTTTGGTCAGTTCGTATGCAAGCATAGCGACGGCTGCATTCGCCACGAGTATGTCGACGGGGTCATCGCGTAGTCTCGCCGCGAACGCTATCACGGAGGAGAACTCGCTGAAGTCGACGAGCTGTAGTTCGGCAAAGTATCCCGTACTCTCCTTAACGTCTGCAAATCGAAGTTGTCGGTGAAATATAGGAGGAACGGAATCTTAACTGCAGACTCTGCAGGGCAGTGCGTCCTCTGTCTTCACTCCTGCACGCGAGAATGAGGCGGCTGGGGTTCATTCTGGCAAAGTGCTTTACAGTTTCTAGACCGATACCTGTGTTTGCACCCGTCACGACGACGGTCCGCCCACAAAGATCGGCGTGCAAAGGGCGTGGAACCGCAGTCTTTTGAGCTGTAGTTGGCTGAGCCATGATGGAACCCAAGCAGGATAGGGACTTGCCTCACCATCTACTGGTCCGGGTTGGAGCTTATATGGGAGGGTCCCCAGCTGCGTACCAATACTAGCAGTCGCTCGTAAGCTTGCCCTGATAAGCCCCACATTAACACGCTATCTTTCGGCGAAGAGCACCTTACGGAAAAGAAGGTTGAGGAGAAGCGGCGGGCCTTACACATTGGCGGACGCCGACGTCAGCATTATTACGCTACGCTGACCTAATGGTGCGAATGCACTCAGCATGAGTTGAAGTCAACAAGGCATCTTAACCATAGCCAAGCCTCAGGCTAAAGGCCGAGTACTTCAGCAAGCGATCGAGCAGGTGATATTGGATCCAGTAGGCGTCCAGCCAGCTTCTTTTCGAGGGACCCGGATCCGAGCTGCCCTGTCATATTGTTTCACGTCGGCTGACTTCTGAGCTCTGGGCTCCTGCGCTCGAGCGCATTCTCGCGGTAGCTACATTCAAGCTGGGAGTGGGGCTCATTGATGAGGGCTTGGGCAGTGACTGGTTGCTCGACCTTGTATGCGCGGGTAGAATATGTCGAGCACCTTCTTGACATGGGTCGAGCAAAGTTCAGTGGTAGCTGGGTGAGCGTAGACAGCCACTCGTGAGGATAAACACGCTCGGCGAGCGTCGAATTCCGAGTCAAGCCCTAATTCCTCGATCAGTAAGTTGATTTCCCCGCGATTAGCGAATCATAATATTAAGGCTTTCGGAGTTCGGACTCTCCTTTATTGAGAGTAAGTACTCCAACGGGACTTTCAAAGTTCACTAACAGTCATTATAAATCGGATACATATCACAGTACTCTGCCCCTCCCGCTTGCTCATTGCCCTGAAACGGAGACTACTGTGCATTTCGGTAATCTGCGAGTGGAGTGCAGCACCTGGCTCAATAAATCTCGGGATTTTCAGCCGCAGCTGAAACGTTGAAGAGCGGGTGAATATGATACAAACGGCGTCCCGGGGGCCGGGCTACATCCCGAGATCATCATGCATGCATGCTCGTTCGTGGCGGGCTGACCTGAGCTCTCCTCTCTTTTCATGATGAGATTCTGCGGAGTGTTGGGAGAAAAGACTCCTCTGGATGATTGACTGAAATCCCAGATGGAAGTAAGTCGAACACGCCTTCCCTATACAAGTACAAGAGGCAGGACGGCTTCAAGCCCACACGCAGGAGTCTCACTAGCTATAATGGAGGTGGAGACACGCACCTCGGATCGAGATGGCTGGAGCTTGATGCTATGCTCACACGTTACAACGATATGGCAGAAAAATGCTGATAAGGGGCTGAGAGAACGGTGCCACGCACGTCGCGCTCAGGAACGTGGGGGCGTCGAGCGTCGAGGCTCATCAGCGCGCTTGCGCGACATTCAAGTTTAGCCGGCCATGAAACAGCCTCGTGAGTTGCCTCCAGGAACACCAAGTCAAGGAAGTTGTTTCCCGGCTTTGTAGCAGGTAATTCGTGCCTCACGGCTGTGAGCGTCAGCACCTTGGAGCATCCGAGTGTTGCGGAGGATGTCTAGACAAACTGCAAAGCAAAAGGCCCGACTGTCCTACAAGATGGCTTGAACGAATATGTATCACAATCTAATCTATCAAGTTACATGCTTGTTTGTCTATGTTACAATCTAAAGCCATTGGTTGCCAAATGCAGACACATCCCGAGCTCTAAATCTACACCCGATGCGGCCTCCGGGACCTCCGGGAATATTCTACAACAGATAATTTTACAACAAGCTCTAGTCAGTCATGTGTACCCAGGTAAAATAAGAAATTCGATGTTCCCATGAGGGATGGAGAGGGGGATGGGATCTAGTCGAAGGACCACTCGACGCTCTCCAGGCGGCCGACGGACTCGGGCGCCAGCTTCGTGAACGCCGCGGGGGAGAAATCAAGGTCCCAGGGCCCGCACCCTACGCAGCGATCAACGACCGTGACAGTCACAGACTTGCCATTGTCTGCAAAATTCATCTTAGTAACAATGCTCTTCCCACGGCAGTCAACATTGTACTCACAATTGGCGGTAAGCTTCTTGTTGCAAATTGGGTTCGCATTGGGGTTAGTGCCTGTGTACCCACTAACAAAAGATTGTTGGCACAGCGCTCATTTAAGAGAGCACAAGACTTACGGGTAGTTATCGAAGAGGTCGTGGCCGACGGCGACAATGTGGTCATCGTCGTTGTTCCAGATGCCACATGCGCCAAGACCTGTAGCGTAGTAGGTACCTGCCATGCGCGAGTCAGAAGGAGGACAGTTCCTCGAAACAGACCACTTACCGTCACCCGAGTGTTCGCCGGAGATATTGATGCTGCGCTCCTCGAGCGGCGCAGCGGCAACGAAGAGCGACATGAAGACTGAGAAGAACAGGGTAATGACAAGAGTGGAGAACTGCATGTTGACAATTTAACGATATTGTGAGGAGAGGGGGGGGAGAGGGGGGGAGGTGGGGTAGGTGGAGAACGGGGAGATTGCCTGAGTGGCGTTGGAAGGAGACGGGGATGTAGACGCAGATTTTATACGCCTGCAGGGGCACGGCAGATTGTAGAGTTCACGAACTTGCATTGGCTGGCCGAGTGAGATTTGATCGCTCGGGCGGGAGGGCCAATAAGGGGAACGGTGCCCTCCTTGATGGCTCGCACCAGACTGAGCATGAGCGCGAGTCGACCAGGCGTTGGCCAGGGTGAGGCAGCACCTACTCGGCAACGTCGCGGGCAGGACGGAACGCCGGGGATCGTGGAAACGTACAGCATGGTGGGTTAGGGCATGAAAGTGAAGACGCCAGGTATTGTAAAAGGGCCGCTCATAATTCCTCGTGCAGGGCCGTACGAGGTCAGCGCCGGTGCCCGTGCCATTGAGAGGAAGCGCCCGACGTCGAGTATTACGTCCTTGATGGGATGTTTGCCCAGCACGATACAATAGTCGTCGCGACGTATGCCTTCGAAAAGCGGTATCTTTGAAGTAAATGGCGACATATAGCGCATAAGCGACGGGATTAACGTACATTCAGAGGTTATCATCCGCGACAGTGTCGGGGACGACGAATGTCTAGTTGCCGCCGCTTGCCGAGTGCACTGCCATCCCGAACATGCCACAGCCGCATGGCTGCGCGCTCGTGCAGGTACGAGAGGCGTGAAGCAGACTGAGGGTCGAGATTAAAGTCTAGAACGGAAAGCGGAGTGAATGGTCGTCCGTTCCATACTTCGGACAATTCCTGCGGCAATGCCCAGACGATACGGACTAGATATTGGAACCATAGCATGCACCCCAGAATTACAACCGCCCCCGAGGAACGTGGTCCGCTACGGATCAAAACACCCAAGAGGCCCGGGCGGAACCGCGGATGAAGCTGAGCATATACCTTCTTCCTTTGCACATGCGTAGTATCGATTTGCACGCGGCGCAGAAGGGGTCTAGGCTCCAGATAGCATTGCTGGTGGTATGGGACGGACAAGGAACGAGGGACCTCTGCATGTGGACGGGGTATTGTCGGAATCGTGGAGCAATCAAAAGAGAAGAAACAATGATGCCTTTGGCCGCAAAGAATAATGCTCTTCACACGTCGCGAAGGAAGAAAGATACGGAATGCTGTGACCACAGCGAGGAATCCTGGGCGGCTTCGTGCGGAGTCAATGCGATGATCAATGAAAAGCTTGTGAGATCACTTACAAACAGGATGCCGGTAATGCCGCTTCAACACCTTTGAGCTCGAAACCCTAGATTATGTACATCCAATGGCGGAGCAACGACAGGGTGAGCAGGAAGACTCCGAGGCAATCTCCAGAGATTTCGAGACAGAGATGCCGGGTCTAGAATGGATTTACCCTCACCTGTGTCAGCGTCCGCAGACCCCGAAAGGCTTCGGCGCTCCGCATTTTCAGCAGAAAAGAGGGTAACTGATGGTATAAAATGCGAAACATGCTGGTCGGCAGACCGCGTGTGTCTCATAGCGGCGGGAGTGAGAGGGGACATGAAGACAGCACACGGCGGAGTGACTCAGGGCGAACAGATGGTGCAGAACGAGGAATGGGATGTACGTACAGCTGCGCCGGACACGCTTCGTCGATTGTCATTGAACAGCGTGTGTCGCAAGAGCACGGTATTTTCCGCGGGTTAGTGCCAGCTGTCGGCTTGGGCAGCTGTCGCACAGGCCTCAGAGAGTGAAAATGCACGGTTCGAGCATGGTGCGGTCATACATGGCGGGCTAAGGTCTTATGACCTTCCGTACTACGAGACCAGAAGTAACTGAATTCAGTTTCATTACATGAGACGAGTAGAACTCACCTGAACTTTATGAGTGGTCGCTGCAGAACTATGACGGCCCTTTGCAGCGTGTTCCACTTGTGTCATCGAGCTTCTCATATTGTTAAGCTTTGGCATGACGTTCACGCTCCTTAAGGCAACGCCGTACACACGGTTGCGGAGCTCCAATCGGCTCTGCATGTGACACCGCGGAGAACAAAGCGCGCGCTGAGATAGTCAGAATGCTGACGCTGCCACCGCGGGCATCTCATCTACAAGGTTTCAGTGAGCAAGGTATCTTCAATAAGCTGGATTACTATACCTACTCGTTTATGTCACGGATGAAGATTATTCTGCACTGCTCGCTGCTGCTTACAAGCTTTGAGCTTAGGTTGCACGGTCGCCTCGCCGAGAATCTCAGACAACACCGCGCTAGCAATAAGGCGCCATTACGGAGCCCCGAGGATCCGGAGTTCGCGCAGGCTCAAAATGAGACGCGAAGGGTCGCTGTGTCACTATGGGTGCGGTCCAGATCCGGCTTTAAGCACGAGTCAGCGCGTTCTTTTCCCGCATAACGCTCCTTGCCAGTATTTGGAAACAAGATGGCGACGGAGAAAGTGCTGAAATAGAGTAAGGATAGTACCGTAACAGTCGGAGGTAGATGTATGTTCTATCGAACAGGTGACCTTCCTATGAGGTGGCGGCAATAATGCGTAACCTTGGCTTTGGCGGTACAACTAGACACCATGGGACATCGTCCGCAAGTACCGTCCGAACAGGCCCCCAAAAAATTTCAGGCCGATGCGGCAGGAGTGTTCAGCGGCCTAGGTAATTCATCGCGGGTTGAATTGCATTGAGGGATACGGTATGACTTACATTTGTACTGTCTAGACCTGGCTTCAGAATGCTCCCGTTACTCAAATGCTTCCGGTCTGCTGTATTCGCGAACTGTAACTTGTCCGGGCAGTCATGAGCTGAGTCAGGCGAGCCTAGGCCAGGATCAACAATCAGAACGACAGTTGGATGTGGTGCGCAGCGCACAGTCTAGCAGCTTGGGAGTCGGGACTGCAAACATGAGCCAATCCGTGACCCGTGACGCCGCATGCGATGTGCCTGATAGACGGCTCTTTAAGCTAGTCAGGAAACGTATCCTTCAACGCGATCGCGTCAAGGGACGCACCTATCGGTGCCTGCTTATGGCATCTGAGACCAGCAACAGACAGGAAGAAAGCTGAGAGACGAGTGCCATGAGGTTGATGTCGAGCGAGACAAAGGAGAACTGCGGGGCGCAGCTACCTCTTCATCCCATGTTGGGTGCAAGTCGAGGGTTGTGGTCAGGACCAATGTTGACGTTGAAACGCTGAACGCGGGCCCTCTCGGTCCGGCGATCACTTTGATCCTACCCCCGCTCTCCGAACGCCATCACGACCGAAGACCGGACTCCGGGAAGCCTCGTGTGTGCAGCATAACCACGAACATCCCACACACAAACATGACTCTGCAGAGCCTTCCTGCCGAGCTGATAGAGCGAGTTTTCAGCCTATGCAGCTTTGAGGACCTTCTCAACTGGCAGCTGGTGCGTGTTTTATGTCTCCTATGGTGCGAAGTGACGCATCGCCACTGTAGACATGCCGCCTCTTTCACGATATCATCACTACCTCGCCGCTGCTGATCTATATCCTCGACCTTGGATTATCGGGGTACACCGACGAGCATGTTCACCCACGCTGCAGCCTTGCTATCCGGCAGCGCATGCTTGCAGATGCGCAGCGAGTCTGGAAGGGCGCTGCGGCCTTCGAGCTCGTGCAGACGCTCTCCTTCAAACACCTCTCTTACTGGCCCGTGCGCCACGGCATCCTGCTACGCATAGCCGACGTTGAACGAGACTCTGATTACTACGACACTAACCGGGAGGATACAGTTCTGGATGTTAGCATCATCACGTCTACGCCGGGCCCGCCAACACTCTCCTGGCGTGTCACTCTGCCCGTGACTGAGAGCGCCATCTTATGTGTCGACCCTACTCAGGACCTCGCCGTGATACGCGCGCCGCGCTCCGAGACGAACTCTCGCGATGCGCCACTGTACTTCAGCTGTGTGCCGTTGTCGCTCCGTACAGGTCTTACACACCTGCAAGCTAAGCAAAGGATGATCCGATTCAGATTGTCAGAGAGGGTTCAGACGAGGCCGCATTACACCAGAGTGCAAGTTTACGGACCCACACTTGCCGTCAGTATTGCAAGCGGGATCCACCACTTCACAGAGATTGTTGTTTTTGATTGGACGTCAAGCGAGCAGTTAGCTGTAGGCACGACCCTTGGTTGGATAATTCGACAGCACACTGACGCGCATCGCAGAGCTTCAGTTCGTCCACTTCCGATCCATACATCTGGGGCGACCCCGCGGTGCTCATCTCCCCCACCTGCTTCCTCCTTGCGAACTATTCTCGAACCGATCAGACACCCACGATCGGAGTACACGCCATCGATACCAACCTCCCCCTTCGCGATGTGGACGGCGACAACACACGCCCCACGGCGCACATCGCATCGTATCGCCTGCCGCATACGCGTGCTGGTGAGGTGCGCATGCTAATGACGCCATCGAGCCCACATCAAGTATGGTCCGTCGACGAAAGCATGGGGTATCTGCTAACGAGCCCCGAGAGTATAATGCTCCGTGTATACATCCATAGCACGTTGTCTCAGCTGCGCGACGCCGGTTTCTTCGTACCCCTCCGCTTCTTTCTGCACGAACTGTCCTTGTACTTTTCGTTGCCGATCGCGGAGCGAAGCACGTACGAAACCAGAGTCGTGGAAAGTAAACAATGGATGCAGCACACACGTTGGATTAATGGCGAGGTGGGGTCGTGGACGAGCGAGGTGCGGCGGAGCCAGAAGGGTGTCGGTCCATGGTATGCCTTCCCGCGGTATATCGTCGACTTCTCTCCGCGCGAGCTCGCGAAGGAGGTATACAAGCGCAGGATGACAGAGCCCAAGATCTCGAGCTTTGAGAGCGAAGTCGAGGGATACACTACCTTCTGCGGCACGTCGGAGCTAACGCACGCTGGCGGCGCCCACTTGTTCGCGTCGACGTTCTCCTTTTCGCTGCCCTACCGGGAGAAGACACTGTCGCATCTGCCCGAGTTCTCTCCAGACAGCGACCTTCATTTGATTGGAGACAAGCTAGTTAGCGTTGAGGTCAGTAAAGGCAATATCCGTGACAATCGACAGGAATTCATCTATCCATTTCATTGTTCAGGGAGGTATACAGGACGAGGTCAAGATATACCAAATAATACCAGAGTCGCCGAGCGATGAAGAATAGAAAGTACGGGTGGTCTCATATGGATTCAACGACCACTAGCTCAGAAGGTCTTCTTGGGCGCCTGGTCGGTTCCGCTCTTGTACGTCTTAACATCCTCATGGTATTCATCACGCGCATCCTTCTTGAAATACTGCACTTCCTCGCTATCCATCATGCCCGCCACCTTATCCGCTTGCCATTTCTTGAACGCGAAGCCCGGACCGGTGTGCGAATAGTCTTTGTGGTTGGCCTGATCCTTGTGGTACTTGACTTGGATGAAGTCGGAGTCTTGGGTTGAGGGATCAAGCGACAACGAAACGATGGCGTTTATCGTGGTGGACTTAACGCCGCCGGGGAACGTCCAAGTCTTCAGGGCAACAGGCGTGTCAGAGAAGTCTAGAAAGTAGAATCGCCAAGCTCACCTGCTCGTTCTTGAATTGGATCAAGCCTGGCTCATTCACAACAACCTCATACCCCTCATTCACGCTCGCCTTAAACAGTTTGGGGAGCGCGAACCATTGCCCGGCCATCTTGTACCGGTCATTCGCGTACACGAACTGGTCGTCATAGACGCAGTCGGACGTGTAACGCTCGACGCGACGGCGCGTCGGCTGGCACGAGTAGAGCGCGATGATGTCGTCGAGCAACGCCTGCCGATTCGGCGGGAGCTTAATCGATTTGGACGGATCCGGATGGTAGTCGTCTGAAGTGTGCGTCTGGCGGATCTCGAAGTGCTCGCCGGGGAGCGACGAGTCCGTCGGGAGCGTGTTCGTCGACTTCGCTGCTGAGGACATAGTACGATATATGGATTGAGGAAATCTTGCGATGCGAAGTGAGGACGCACGGACGGCGGCTGAGAGCATGCTGAGACTTACTGCAGTTGTCGTGTGAGGGGGAAACTCTGCCAAACTCTTCTGCGGGATCTTCGAGGCTATATACCACATCCCGAGTCGATGATGTAAGGATGTTGGATGGTGACGACTCTCTGTGTAACAGCAGGCTTCTGCTGGCGGAGGATCGCGCGGGACAACGACACAATCCGTTTTGGACAGAGGTCTCAATCGCTCCAAGGGTCCGCTTCCTTTTTGCGCTAGGCGGCTGCTCTTGTCTAGAGTTGACAGAGATAGCTCCTCCAGCGTCGAGGGGTGCCAAAGCAGTTACACGGCCCGTGTTGCCACAGACATTTAGGGGCAGACATTCTTATTGGACAGAACGTTCTACGTAGTCTCGTAAATAGAAGTCAGCTATTGAACTGAAAGACATTCTCCGCACGAGCTGGGTGGTGGTAGTATGTATTCTGCACTCTCGTCCATAGATTTATAAAGCAGGTACCTGGCCGCCTAGATCGTGTCGTTTCGGATGACATTACCTTCAAGAGGAGGCAACAAACTGAAACAGAGCCTACCCAACGCACTCCTACCACAGAAGTCCGCCACATATAACGCTCGTGGCGTGAGTCACTACCTGCGGGTGTTTCGTAACGTTCTTTCCCAAGAGTCAAGCTCGTGATCCCTGGTCAATGCTGAGAAATAAAGTCAAATATGACTCGCTAGTAACTCACATTCCTGACAAGCATGCCCGCAAAGCGGAATATAGCTTCATGCCCCTTACTTAGAGTATGTATATTGATGCTCTATTGTTCCACGGGTCTCTTGCTGTCCAAAGCATATTGTCTCGCCCAGCATTATTCCTCATGGATACTTTAATAATCACTGACAGTGATGCTTTTGTGGAACTGTAAATTTAAGCTGGACAACAACTGACAACTGTGACCTTGCCTTGTAACTTACAAGCTTTACTTACATTTGATTATTGTGGCTTACTACAGATTAGACGCCTTTAACTTACTTAAATCTTTTACTTACAGCCTTATGACCGTTACTTACTGACATCAGTAAGCTACACTCTCCGGCACAGCGCGACACTAACTACTCCTATAGCCCGTATTCAGCCGATTCCTTCCTCGCTGCCTTGTCTTTACTCATTGCGGCACAGAGAGAATCCTAATGGATAGCAAGGACGACAACCACGGGCAGATCAAGACGCAATTGGAGTCGAGCAGACGATCTTCGGTTTTGCGGTAAGATGCTTCGGCTTGGTGATAGGGAAACCGGCACGGAGCTTGCCGAGCGGGCTGGCGAGTCTAGGACGTGTTCAGGGTAAGAGCAAGTATGGCAGGTGCTGAGTCGGATAAGGCTCATATCACGGAGGAGGGTCACGACTTAGAGAACGGCGAGCACCTTTAATCTCAAGCTGATATGTAATGAGATGTACATATGCCTTTTTGATGCTCGAGATTAATCTTGGTAGGGGAAATTGTAATATTAATGTAGCTGACGTTCACTACACATCTCCCCATAATTTGAAAACAAGCAGCACAGGCGCCGAACGCTCCTGACGCCAGAACCTGCGTCTGACGATGCTACTCGGAAATTTTCATTGTTCAAACGTTCAGTGCCATCAGCGACATTGAGAGCGCAAAATAAATTTGGCAACCAGAGGCTTTGATCCATAACAAAAGCAATAAATCACAGCGAAGCAGGTAAGATGGTGCGCTCTCCAGCCCGTATCTAACGGGGCGATCGCAAGCGTAGATCTACAACACTAGTTACTACACATCTAATACCTTATCCTCCAAGGTTACAACGTATTCCCGCGAACCAACCCGAGTGTTGACTTCAGAGCTATTTGCCTTTGCATCTGGTTCATCCTTTTCGCCGCAAGTTGTTTTACTTTTCCGTAGACCCCTGCCGCCATCGTAGCCAAACCACGTGTACCGTTTACAGTATGGCCCACGAAGCAATAGCACGATGAGGGTGAACCCCGACCACCCGACGGACAGCGCCGCCGCAGGTCTCCAGCCGTCCTTCAGGAAGACCTCTGTTCCGACTGCTGTGCCCATGATTTGCCCGACGAAGACCTGCAGAACAAGTCCAGTCAATGTGAGTTGGCCAAACGAGATGTTGTGACAAGTACCGAGAGTTGCACCACGGAATTCATTCTCGACCGCGCCGAAGGCTCGATGTCGAAAATGATCGTATTTAGAGAGACTTGCTGGAACTGGCGGAAGACGTCGATGCCGAAGCACACGATGACGACAGCCGCGATGTTGATACCACCTGCGCCGGTTTGTATTCCTTGGAAGACGAGAAGGCCGACAGTTGCGACGACCGCAGAGGTCCACGGTAGTAACAGCCGGTCGATCGCACGACCGACGAAAGGGGCGAGCACGATGCCGAAGACGCCTACGAGGCCGAAGAGCCCAATCACGAGTCTGCGACTGGTCTGAGTGACGTCACAAAGAGATGCGGTTTTGTACGTACGTCGAGTAGTAATAAGGGGGGCCGTCGAGCAAGAATGTCAAGGTGACCTTGAAGCGAGTCAATCGGGAGAGGGAAGACAGTGGCGGGCCACGCACCCAAAAGTTACTGAAACACGCCATGGATACCATGCTGACTAGCGCAGCCTGAATCAGCTGCGGCTCCGTCACGCAGTACTTCGCCATGCTGAAGAGGATGCTCCAGTACGACAGACCCTTGTTCTTGACCGGATAATCCGGGAGAACAAAGTATAGCGCCAGCACCGTGGCGCCCTGGAGACCGCCGGCTACGTAGTACACGACCCGCCACGACGCGTATTCGGCGATGATACCGGCAACAATCCTCGCGCACATAATACCAAGGAGGACGCCAGCGATGAGGATCGACAATGCGGAGGCACGGCGTTCTGGTGCGGCGAGATCTGCCGTGAGAGGAGCGAGAATTTGCGAGACGCAGCTAAACATCCCAGCGAAGACGGAGATCACCTCAAAAACGATAAAGTTCATGGTGAAGGCGCTGCCGAGCATCAGCGCGGACGTCGTGGCACCTAGAAGTAGGATGAGGGGACGTCGGTAGACCAAGTCGCCAAGAGGGGCGATGAGAAGCAGCCCTGCGGCGTAGCTAGCGAGCGATTAATACACGTTGTGATGCAAGCGGTGCCACTCACCCGGCTTGCATGAGTGTTGGGATGTTGGACACGCGGTTGTATGATACATCAAATGATTGCGCTAACTCGACTGTCGACCCACAAAATGTCCGTCAGTACTAGGTGGCATGGAAGGTGCGGAGATAGCCACCCACTCAGCATAGGTTGACAATAGTACAGTGTGGACACGACTGAGCGGCGTTGAGTACACAATCCACAACTTGGGGGCAGCATCTTACTCACAGATGGTGGTCGTTGCAGCGAACATGATATTGAGCGCAAGAGTCAACTGCGGCGGCTTCGAGGGGTCGTACCGCAGTCTTGATGGGATAGGAAGGAAGAAGAAGTCATGACACCGACATCCTTCTGTGCCTTCACCGAGAGCACAAGGGGACAGCGTCGGTGAAGGTGTAGCCGGGTCGCGGGTGCCTGAGGCAGAAAGTGCGACGCTCTTTTCGTCCGGCATGAGAAGAAATGTGGTAGCGATGGGCTCTGCGTCCGAGGCTTTTATATCTTCCACAAGCCTTGCGGCCCGCTACTCGACATCCTAATTGAACGAAGCTCAAGCAATCGCGATCTCCATGGACGGTCAATGAAGAGCTTGCCGGTGGCGGATGTGAATTTGACAAGGCAATCCGACTACGACCATCTGCAGTGGAGCACGAGATGGGTTAAGACGCTGATAGTTATGGCACGGACTAATAGAGTGGAATGTACCGTGACAGCTGCCGGCCCTCCTCGGTGAAGGATGACGGATATGTATTCGGCTCTAAAGAAGTAGCCGTAAATATTCCATCAATTACAAGGTTCCCCGAAATGCCTTTTCGAGGCCTTCACTCCGTGGTGGTGAGGCTGTGTTGCGGGATTAAGTATCACGCTTTGAAATTTGTAAGGGTATTCCAACAGAATATAATGATTGACACGCAATTTGGTGGTCCATTGTGTACGGAGCCCGTCAGGTGCCTCATGCTTCAGGGTTGGAAATTCCTTCGTGGCGCAATGAGCCACCGGATCTACACCGGCGGCGGAGATTATGCCATTGATACCTGCGCTCAAGACTAAACCTACGAGCACGTCGGGCGATGTAATAGGCATCGACGACTGCGCTAGGGCGGAGAACGTACGCTGGCATACGTGAGACCACACGGGCCGAGGCCTGCGTAGCGAGCTATCAGCACCGCACCCGTTGTAGTGTTGACACTTACTCGGTCGGATACGCATGCGCCACAGGCATCGTGAACGTCCGACTCAGCCACGGTTGTCGCTCTCCTGCTCTGGTGTGCTGTTCAAACGCCGGCCTCATCTAGCTTCGCAGTGTCGCTCCCGAGGTATGCGAAGATAGTTAGATTCAAAGATGGAGGGGGCCCATATGGAGATGCAGCAGCAGTCGTTGATAGGCAACTTGTTGAATTACCTTGAAGAGGGACCACACAGAGATGAGCATTCTTAGTACGGGCCGGTGATCGATTTAGGCGTGAGTATCCAACGACAATCAACAAGCTCGAAGCACAGTGGCTTCCGTGTGAATGGGGGTTCATCTCCTTAAACCAAGCGGCACGAATAGCAGTAAACAGTAGATATGACTGAAAATGGAGGTCAATACATGCGTATGACATGGACATGAGCCCGTACGTGCAGAGTTTAACAAATGTATGACGATCACGACGGTTACTTGAGCTCTTTCCACCATGCCGACTTCGGGTCCCTACGTTTGGTGACCGTTGCCAGACCGGAGCTGATGCCCTTTCGCCCTCCGCGGGGAAATGAAGGAGCTCGCGCGCGAACCTTGGTTTGGAGAATCTCCTTTGCCGAAGCTGGGCTGTGGATTTCTGCTTGACGCTTCCGTACGTAGGTGCCGTCTTCCACACCTTGAGACGTAACGTCATTCGCTTTTGCTTCAACCGCCAGCGTCTTCGCCTCGGCAGGGGAGACAGGGAACAGGTTCAGCAAATTTTTGCGCATGAACGCTGCCGTGTTACTACTCTCCCATACCTTGCGGTGTAATCGAAATATAGCCATGGTCGCTCTTGCGTCGATGACCTATGAATCCTGTTAGGGTAGCCGAGCGTTGCGCGTGCCCTCTCAACCTACAGACGAGTGTTCACCCTCTTGGATCGCGATCCCGAATTCATGCTCGACCAAATGACGAAGTGAAGGCCTTTTGCTCTTGACCACGTTGTGCTTGGCAGCGAGAACTTGGGTATCTCTTGTGAGGTAGTGGGGGTGAGATAGAAGAAGCGCCTAGGGAGGCGTGAGAAGGTTGGGGGGCGAGAGAGGTAGTAAGCATACCTTGAGATCATTATGAACCGCATGCCCGACAAGTACTTTGCCTTCAATCAGCGCGGCAACTCGGTTTTGTACTTCTCGAAACGGTTTGGCTGTACCGAACAGATTTGAACGCTCATTCCTGGACAGTTATAGACTACACACCTCTGGTCATATCTTCTGGCCGAATGCCACTCCACTTTGTTCGGTAGTCAACGACTCGCTCCTTTTGCTGGACAATCTCGTCCAACTCCACTACACCATTGAAATCGATGATAGAGACACGCGCAAGAGACGATTCTGAGCCTTTAATACCAAGACCGACCATCTCGCAGTCGATGGCAACGTACACCTTTGCACTACAGAGTTTAAGCCCAGGCGTGCCCGGAGCGAGCAGATCAGACGTACCCTATCTTTCTTGGAACTGCTGCCAGCTCTCCCAATATCAACTTTCGCAGCGCATCCACCGACTCGCCATTCTTGGACTCTCCTGTATCCTTCAGTCCTATTTTGACAGCAGACGTCGACGCAACTGGTGGCTCAATGCCGCGAGGGAAGTGGGCGTCCGTTTCGAGTGCTTTTGCTAGGACTTCGCTCACGCTCGAAGTTGTAGACATCTCGCGCGCGTGGCCATGAGTAATTTTTCGCCTCTTCCGGGATCCAAGAAATGCACTATTTGTGCCCGGTTTCAGTTTCTTCTTCCGGCAGCACTTAGACAGGAGTTTACAAACTGTATGTCGAGCATCACGGACCTTTTGTAGAGCAAGCCAGTTCGCAGATGGCGAGACGGTCGACAAGGTTGTCTTTGACGACATAACGAGCAGAGCACGAGTGAAAGATATGGCGGACTCCCGAGCGAGTTTCATGCGAATGGAGGCTCGGAAGAGTTGTTCTCGGGCACAGATTCCTCAACGCGCGCCTAGAGGGAAACGAAGATCACGTGATTTGATTCCTAGTTCGCACGCTCCCGCGTTGCGTCTATTTTGTGAGATGCTCGCAATCTCTACGAGCACGAGCTGACCTCTTCGTTCACTTCTTCTTCACCGCAGCTAACTGCGTGAGACATGGATCTACGTACGGTGAATGAGCTGCTCGCGGGCAGCGTCGGAGGTGCTGCTCAAGTGCTTGGTGAGCGGGGGCGGACACTTGCACTGTAGCTGGAATTGACCTACCATGGTGCAGTTGGGCAGCCTCTGGACACAGTAAAGACTCGTGCACAAATAGCTCCTAGTTTGTGCTCGCCTTCCCGATCCTGTTTATGTTGGCTGACGCGTTGGTGGCAGAGGGCATGTTCGTGAGTGATTGTCTATACTGAGCGTATGTCCTGAGCCAACTCTGTACGCGACAGAAAGGTCCCATGGATATCTTGAGGCAAACTTTGCGCAACGAGGGCTTCCTTGCCTTGTATAAAGGTCAAACTATGTATCAACGTATCACGCGACGCAGGAATTCATTCGCCTTGTAGGGATGGCTAGCCCATTGATTGGAATTGCAGGCGTAAACTCCCTGCTGTTCGCATCCTATGGCATCTCGAAACGCATCATATCACCCTTCCCCCAACTATCTCTCCCGCAGATAGCTGCGGCCGGCGCGATGGCGGGGGCGGCGAACGCTGTTCTCGCGAGCCCAGGTCTGTTCCCGAGATTTGACCGGTTCACCTTTGCGATTAATCCAGACACGATACCAGTGGAAATGTTCAAGGTGCGGATGCAAGGCCAATATGGTGCTCAAGGAGATAAACGTCTGCGGGAAGTGGTCAGAGAAGAGTGGTCTAAATACGGTTTTCGAAACGGCATCATGCGCGGATATTGGGTGAGTATCGTGTTATACAGTGAGTCCTACCTTGCTAAATAAAATAAAAACCCTCAGGTTACCATTGTAAGGGAAATACCTGCGTACGCGGGGTATGTACGGAGTTTCGCTGATTACTATCCTGGTGCTTACCTCCATTGCCCAGATTCTATGCAGGCACGTCGTCGCATGATGCATGGCAATCTATCATCCGGCTCTAACCACCAGATTTACAGCTTTTGAGTTCTCGAAGCGGAAATTTGCTGGCAAATACGGCAAAGACATTCCTGTATGGGCTTTGTTAGCAAGTGGTTCAACTGGCGGGGTACGCAGCGTGCTTTTAACTACCGGTTACTTGACATTGATGCGGCAACAGATAGCCTACTGGCTGTCGTGTTATCCATTTGGTAAGCCCGATGTCGTGTATCAAAATAGTGTTAATTAACCGAGCTCTAGATGTCGTGAAGTCGCGAGTGCAACAAAGAAGCACCCCACCCTCAGGCAATCCTGTGCGATATATTTCCCATGAACTTCGGACGATCATCGCGGAGTCTGGCTTGTGCGTTCTATCTGCTTCCCATGCCCTGTGGGGCCTTTCTGATTCGATTGTAGTCCCGGCCTGTTTAAGGGTCTCACGCCATCATGTAAGTCGCCTGCAAACCCTTAATAGAGCGCCCTGATTGACATGTGCTCTAATTTTGTAGTGTTAAGAAGGTGAGCGTGGAGTTCAGTATCCTTACTTGTACCGCCATCCGAGCTTACGGCCCGTAATGCAGTATACCCGCGGCAGCAAGCACTTTCGCTGCCTTCGAGATCACTCGAGGTGAGCAGCCGTATCCCACGTTGCCAGACGCTATATTAATTCAGGAGCTCCGACAGAATACTTGCTGGGGTTAACTGGTGTATGAAGATTATCATTCTGTGGAGGAAGTTTGGATTTACGCTCCAACCTGTCTTATATGACATGAACGTGTTGCTCTCTGATCGTTTCGGTCATGTAGAACAGGGTCTCCGGTGTGCTCGCGGATGTCGATCCCGTTTGAGGACAAGATGAATGCTGTACACATGTGCACAAGTCCTGCTGATCGGCTGTTCAACAGATAGGCATGCAGGCGTGTTTCCGCGACGTGAACGTGAGGGTGCGTCCTACCTTGCAGCCGACGCGCACCGCAATACACGTGGTTGGTGCGTGTCTGGAGACGCGTCCATTCGCCCGCCGCATGGATCCGTAATAGCGCTCTTCCTTCATTGCCCACACCTCAATGTTATCACTACAAGCAGGAGTTGAGCTCATGTTTGCACAGGTTAAGAAGCTCGCAGGCCGCAACGAGGACGGTTTCCCCGCTCACAAATATCGCACCCCTCAACGGGCGACGTGTACTCTCACACTACCCACCCACTACCATATCTGCATTGCTGGTCAACGCATCCTCACCACCGACTCTAACACTATGGCTTTCAAACACTTGCTTCAATCGCAGTTTATGCAGAGTATCCTGACCTTCCTGCCGGCCCTCCGACACACCATCGAGCAGGCGCCAAAGCCCGCTCAATCGGCTGAACCCGCGCCCGCAGCTGCACCGGCGCCAGAACCCGTCGTCGAGCCCTGGCGGGAAGAGCTCGACCACTGGAAGACACTCGCGGACAAGACCACCACGGAGCGCGATACGCTACGGGAGGAGGCAGGTCGGCTACACGTCGAGATGCAGCGCCTTGTGCATGACCTTGGGCAGGCACGCATCGAGGCGGAGGAGACATGGCGCAAGCAGGAGGAGGAGCTCCGCCAGCAGGCCGCAGATGCCCTCCGCGCGGCCGAGGAGAGGCTCACGCACGAGCGCGAGGAGGCCGTTCGCCAGGCGGAAGAACATGCCGAGCGCGTACGGGGTGATCTCCAGGTGCTGTCTTCGGGGCTCGAGGAGAGCAAGCGCGAGCAGCAGAGCCTGCAGGACACGCTTGAGGCGCGCCGAGTCGAGCACGAGCAACTGCAGCGCATCGTTGGTTCTGACAAGATCGCAGAGCCCGAGGTCGTACAGTTGCTGAAGAACCTGAACGACGAGATTGCGCGGACGTCCAAGTCCGCCAAAGACCTGTTCAAGCTCGACCGCAACACTCGAGCGAATGGGAAGACCGCTATGGATGCCGCCTCAGCTATCGAGGGCTGGGTTGGCTCGGCGCTGCCAGGCCTTCTTTCGACTCAGTATCGCGGCAACGCGGTTTTGTTGCAAGCGGCGCTCCAAGCGATGGCTGTTGCCTTCTCGTCGTGGATCTCTTCGTCATATAGCTTCATGCACGAACACGACCAAATATTAGACGAAACCTACAAGTATGTTATGAACTCAGGTACGTCTACCTCCTTCATCTATCTCGGCTTGAGCTGACGTCCCTCTCAGAGAGTCAGATCGTCTTGGGCCGCTGGCGCGCCCTTACACATCGATACGCCAAGCAGGGGATGCCGAACCTGGTTGACGAGCTCACGAAGATGTTCGTCAGCGACGTTCGCAACCTGCTCCTCGTCGCAGGGTCGTCGACGATGCAGATCGACAGCCTCATCTCGCGCACGCGGGACAACTTCCGCGCGGTCGTCGACGCCGCCATCAAGCTCCGTGCCGCCATCGGCGAGGACGTCATCTCGTGCGACTTCGAGACCATTCTCATCCACCCTGGCGACGCGTTCGACGCCGCGAGCATGGTGGATGCGTTCGAGGGCGCTAATGCCGCTGGCGTGAACTCGAAGAACGTGTTGTGCACGTCGGGGCTGGGCCTCCGGCGGTGCAAGAAGGTGAAGATGGACGGGGACGCGAATGCACAGTGGGAGGTAACGGTGTTACAGAAGCCGCAGGTAGTCCTCCAGTCCGCTATTAGTCAGTGATCCTAGCCGTATGGTACTCATGCTCCTATGTTTGTTATGTCTTATGTTCATTTAAGGAACACTTCTATCCACGACGAACAGTTCTGATATCATGAACTAGTGGTTATGTGACAACAGTACGGCGCTAAGACACAAGACAAGCTAATCGTCATACCGGCTCCCTTCGATCTCGTCATAGACGATGGAAAGCCCGCACTCGTGACCTAACTGGCAGTACATAGCTGTATAGTTGATTTTCACAGCCATCTCGAAGTCAATGGCTCGCCAGCCATGGATCTTACCAGTGAAAGGTGAAGGAAGAGAAGGGAGACCAGGCGGAGACTTCGGCGCTTGCAGGATGTTCTTCCAACGCATGTCATCGAGATATGGAAAGTTAGTACGGGATGTTAAGTTAATACAAGCAAATAGGCAAGTCGCTACCAACTATCGATGCATAGGTGCGCCATATCTTCGAATACGCTTTCGAGGTCTTTCCTAGAAGAGAGCTAGATGAGACCATATTAATATTGTCTGAAATAGGAGCTACCACTTGCTTGGTCTTTCCTGATACCTCCTGATCAAGAGGTATCCGAGATCCGAGCTTCTCCAGCACAGTGACAGCAATGATATCGCGTCGCTGGCATCGCTCCTCGACCAGCTCGTGGAGAGGACCATCCAGTCTATCCTTAGCCAATACCAGGTTTTTTTCTCCGCCATCTTCGGGGCGATATCTTCGTGCTAGTTTCTGAAGTGCTTCCCTGACGGGAGATCCAATAGGAACGACGGTCTCGAAGTAGCCGTCACTAGCATCGCGGAATGGCGACACCTTGAAGACACTCCATCTCGTCGCAGAACCAGGCCTCGCGGATGAGGGATGTGACGCGATTTAAACGTGCCACCTTGACAACAAGCGGGGGCAGAATGGCATCTGTGTGTACACCAGATACTTGCACGCCATCGAGCTCGAAGACGATGCTGGAGTGGCCATGACCAAGGTAACTGCCTAAAGACGCTCGGAGATGACCACTACCAAGAGGAGGGAGTCTCGAGGGCAGTCTATCTGGTAGTTCCCTGTACATAGATAGCTCTTCCTCGCTGTATTCGCAGCAGACGGGCTTCAACAGATCCGCGGGTACCTCCTTGCATGTGAAGCGCGCTGTGAGTGGACTCGAATTTGGTTGCTAATTCTCGAGCCCTGGAAATAGGCCATCGATAGTGATAGAAGCTATTGCATTAAGGGCCTGAAGAAATAGACTTTCAGAATTGGAGAGGAAGCGAGGGCACGCGGCACCAACGCTGTCATATTGTGGCGCGAGTCAAGGAAGGTAAGCGCTGGACTGACAGAAAGCTACATGTTATCCGCGGCCGATATCTGGGCGCGGCAGGATCGGACAATGCATCAGGGGTATGCTAGTCGGGCTCGGTGAATTACATCGGCAGACGTATTCCCCCGCCAGGATCATTCTTCGCCAAACGCGTGGGGCGGTGCCGTGCTGTACCAAAGTGTCCAGACAGCCGTATATAAGGCTCAAAATTGCCCGGCCACTCCTCACATACCCTTTTACACAGACCACTACTTTCATGTCTGCCCCGCCAGCGGAGCTCAAGCTCGTCACCTACCGGTACGGTGACAACACAGTATATGTCCGCGCACCTCCGACATACAAGGTATGGTGGCGTTATGTGTCCCGCATGATGTTGCCGAGAATTGCCTGACACATAACTTTCCAGGCGGCCATCGAGCTTGCGCGGAAGACGTACAGCGAGCTGAAGTACGCCCCAGAAGACTGCTTCAAGTTCAGAATTCGCATTCAAGCCAAGGGTCGCAGTGATTGGATAACTCTCCTTGTTGGCCCGCACGCGTGGACCGAGATCATTGGGGGAATCCCGTGCTACGAGATTATCGACGTTGACCTCGAAAATGCTTCCTAGAGGTCTAACCGCTTATCTGGAAGTGGACGTTGCACTCACCTAGTCTCAGACTCTGAGTGAAGAGTAGTCACAGCCGAGAGAATGATATATGTGTCTGCTGAGCCCTCCGAGAGCCTGTGCATGCCTGTGCGGTAGCAATATTCGGTGGCCCACACTCACTCTGGAGGGATGGGACAGGGGTTCTGAGATCCCTCGATAGCGATACATGGTGGCAAAACTATAGTAGACAATCCCGTCGTCACTATGACATCTGTTTCAACTGGTGGTCAACAAAGAACTATACCTCAGGTTCAGCATTTTCAGAGACAGCATGAGCCAAATATTTGTCTACAAGGAGCCGAGCGTGTGGCACTGGTGTGGCAGGTGCGACAAAGATCGAGACAAGGTCGGCGAGAATGCCGTACCCACGATCAGGCAAGTTCACTGGTTTGTCCGGTACTACGCTGCGAGCGCAGCCTGTGCCCGACATCAGGCCCCTAGATCTCGATGTCAGAGCTCCATTTAGATACTATATGAACAGGATGGCTATACTTTGCTGTGTTGCCACCAGCTACGCGGAGTCTCACTCACAGCATGTGCTTTGCATTTGAAGGAGCTGGACAGCAGAAAATCGGCGAAGGTGGGCTGGCGTGAGATCGGAGCTGCGCAGTACATCAGAGCGAAGCAATGGCCACCTACGCACATATATATATAAATGCCTCTCGTCGCATCCCGAGTCACTAGAAAACCCCGCTACCCCGCTACCAAACTTGCCGAGTCTCGACTACGCTCCCCAAATGTCTGCTCAGAATCTTGCTTATCGTTACGAGGGCCGTCTTGTAATAGTCGGCTTTCCTTCGACCTACGAGGTACGTTTCCATAGTCATCATGATTTAGCACGCTTGACTGGCCACTGAGTTCGGCATATAGAGAGCTGTCGGGGCCGCCTGTGTATCATTTCCTGCGCTGGCAGCAGAATCAGACGCCTTGAAATTCTACGCCACGGACGACCGCTTCGGACGAGTCATGATAAGCCCATCTGCATGGGACCTGCATGCGCATACGCTCAAGCCAGGACAGATACTCGACATAGAACTGTCTCGGAACCGACCTGGACCTCAAGATAAGCCTCAAGAGCTACATCTTCAGCGTCACAACATCCCACGGGTAGTGGTTATTGCCCCCGAAGCTAACAACCCAGCGCCAAGGAGTATCCGGATATCCATGGACCCTAGATATCTCATCCCATAGCGGCCATTCTCCATACAACTTACCAATGATCTGACACCTGACACGTGTATTATTGACATTTTTATCTACGGGAGATACTGGAGGGAGTTAAACCCAGCTCGCGGCGATATCGCTCTGCGCCCCGTGATATGCGAGACTCCTTGTCCTATGCGCCACATGTGACATTAAGCATTAATAGATAACATAGGTGATGTCGTACGCACAACACTCGAGCCCGACTGACTACAATCATGATTTGGAAGTCAGCATGGCCTTTGCGCTACATCTTGTGGTATGGACAAACGGGAGGTCGGGACGCGCTCGCCAAACAACATTGGTGACGTCACGCGCAGGTATCTCACGCCCGCGTCGTTCAATTTCTCACGCTCTCTTCCTCTCGGCAAACGATGAACGCTCTCACACGGAACATAAAGACGCTCTCCCCGCGCATGGTCAGAGAGGGCATAGAATCCGAAGATGATAAAGGTCACACCACCATATACAGTCTGTCCTTTTCCTCCTGTCTCTCTGCCCCCAGCCGACCACGTCTTCTCTTAGGGTTCATCCATGAATGCATCGTCCCTAAAGCGACACCCGACACTGACTGTCCGCCTCTACACGTCCTGGCTTATGCTGTGCGCCGAAATATATGCCCTACCATCCTCCTTGATCATATTCCGGATACACTCCAGCTGCTCGCCCACGTCGAGTGCATCCGCCAACGATTCGCCGGAAGACTCGATGAAATTCTCGAGGCAGACCGCAGTTTGCGGAGCAAACCAGACCCAATGTCGATCCCGCTCAGCGGCGACGAGAGGATAGAAATCAAGCAAATGAGGAGCAGTATTGGCAAGAAGATGCGTAGGACGTTCAGAGAGATCGTGAACGGCTTTTCTCTTTACGTGCGTTCTCTCTATCTCGTACACATGGATATAAATAAACGCATACGCTAGCATGTATATGAAAGATGGGTTCTAGACGTCGAGCTGGACGCGCTACTCACCAAATACTTTCCCATCCCGTCGCTTTGGCAAGAACCCGTCTCAGGCATCGAGCACCAGCACCTCTTCCATTACAAGCTGACGGAGGACGAGCGCGAAGATCTCGAAGTCACAGCTCAAGTTTATTTCGACATGCTGGACAAGGTCCTCGAAGATAAGTAAGTTTGCATGGCCTTTCGATGCGTGTTCAAGCTCATAAGAGATTAGCCCCCCTGATCTTTCACCGAAAGACTTTCGCGAAAAGTATCCACGCCCCGAGCAGGCCGATCCTGAACGTCTTACGAAGTTGACACACGAGTTTCTGGACAGGCTCGAAAGTGCGATTCACAAGGTCAAAGACATCCTCGCTACCGCCGAAAACTAGCTGCGACGGCGCTGGCCCTGCATGTCCCTAATTCCACCTTCTTGACACCTTTGCGTGGCTTCCATCTGCGTCTTGCCATCTTGCGTACCGAGAATTCGTCCGAGGCTAGAGCGTGGTGCGGGTGGTCTTACTCGAGCGGAATACTTCGCACCACGCACCATCGGAACGGCCTGTTACATTCTGGCAGAGTAAGGCACGTGGCCTCCTCTACCAAGCATGTCCCACCAATGACCTCGCTATTTAGGTTACATTCGGCTCTTGTATGCGCATTGACGAGGCACGGCTCGAACACCACGGTATCAGCATCTCTGGTCTGCCACGGCACTATACCTTACACCACCCTGTAATCTACGAACTCCGAAATATGCTGTCAATTTTGTCACTAGCATGGTATGGCAGGCCAATCCGGACGCTTTGTTCAAAGCGGCGCAGATAGGCTGTGCGTAGGTTGAAGTCTTATGCTTACAGACTAGAGATGCAGTCAATATTAGTGCGGTCGATCTCCAGCTGATCCAAAGTCCAGCTGATCGACAACCTACTTTCCTCCGACCTGTTGTCCTTCTTATAACAGGATCTAAGGCGTATTTTTTGAGGTTGGCTGTTGCATGGTGTGTCGATGGCGTGGATGGCGTGGCTCTGCTCTTCCTGTCCATGTCCAGCCCTGGGTCGCGAGAAGCACGCTGGCGTCGGCCAGGACTCTTTATGCGGTAAGCTGTCTTGTCAAACTGCCTTTGCCATCTGGCTCAAATTTTCATTGCTATGAGCGCCACACAGCCAAGTCCCAGCACTTGCGGTTAAGCTCCTGCGAATCGCCCCCCTGAACAACGCCCGTATGGGGCTCAATAGACAATACATCACTCTAAGTCTGGCCTGCGCCCCCGCACTCCAGTTCTACCGTGGCCTACGCATGCATCTACGCCGAACAGCTACTCGGTCGTGGCTACGGACTCCCTCTACGGCGCTCTGAGCCAACCAAGTTCGGAGAAATCCAGCTTGGCGACGTCGGATTCATATAGGATGGTTGCCTTTACCGACTCTTCAATGCAACACGGCCTGTAGACCACTTTCTGAATAGACTGGGTGTCCCTGACGATTTCACCATGCTCAATATCAACAACGACCTGCACCGACATACGGAAGAGCAGTACCTACAACCTGGGCCAGTCTGCACGACGTCTACGACATGGACGAAGGTGGATATGGGAGCTTCAGGGTCGGCGTACGTTGCCGCCATCCTTGTCCTTCTAGCTGCGAGATACTAACCCGACTTTCGTTAGACCGCAGGTCGGCGTTGACCTATCCTACAAGTTCAGCTGTGTTGGTGACCGCGAAGCGATCACAGTCCTCCGTAACAACGCTATGTTCGTAGCCGGGCCTGTCGAGATTGCATCTGCCAGCATCACGCGTCCTGGGAGGCATTTGTGCGAAAGCAGAGGTTGGCACATCCATGGCTCTGAGCTCATGCTCGTGTATGGCTGCGTGAAGACGTCCGCATGGGCCCTCGCAGTGTATGTAGTCCACAGCACGGAACACGACATCTCGCTTTCCATGTCTGCCGGCAGCTTTGCATCCGTGCATGCCGACGCAAAGTCTCACGAGGAGGTGAAGATGTCGATGGAGGAGTGGGGTGAACAGGAGCGATCTATTTCTGCGCCGAAGGATCAATGTTTGTTCCTCTCGTATTATAAACTGAAGCGTAGGAGAATCGGTGCTCTGAAGCTTCAAGGGGACGCGACACTCAAGGATGTGTCCATCGCCCTGGACAGCTAATGCCTCTATTTACCATGGACGCGTTTTTCATTGGGCGTTCGACAGAAGCGTCTCCGCAGATGGGAGTTATCTTCACGGAGGTTATCGAACTATCTCCTGCGTTGCTCGTCGAAGGCTCCGAAGCGCGCAAAATGGTACGATTGTGTTCGGTCTTGCGTATGGTGCGTCCTGACCTTGAGTTGGGCCGCAGACTCCCTTGATGATGTCCTCGGCTACGTTCCAGATGTACGCGCTCCTCTCATCAACGCGGGCCAGCGATTTGACATAAGAAATAGCATTCAGATGGAGTAAGCATGGCCGTCTTCAATTATGATGACGTTTACGATCTGTTTTCGATAAGTAAGGAACATGCACGCTCTCATTTGATACCGACATGGGCGATCTCTAGGGTAGCGATTGGCCTCAAGATTTCTCAACCAAGCTTCGAGAGACTCGGCTGGAGATAGTTTTTGAATACGTCGGCGGTGAGCTACCTAGGACCTTGTCTTTCTGTGAGATATTCTAACTCTGACACATAAGGTGCGGCGCATCTCAAGCAACCATACCTTCACCCTCATCTCCCCTCCTAAGCCGTCTTTTGCCTGATTCTCGTCGAAATCCACCGGCTTCCTTGCATAGTCAGAAGGCAAGGTCTCCGGTTGGGCGATTTGGTCTCAGACCTCGTTTGTTCGCCGAGAGGTTGTCTAGGCTTTCACAATATGAATACACCGAGCGTCAGATCGGAAGCACCCAATCCTTCTCGAGCCGCTCCAGCCACTTCAGTTCTCCCAGCAGTTCACATGGCGCGAGTTTCGTCACTGCTGAATCGCGGCGAGACCCAGCAAATACCCCTCCCAAAGTTCTTGGCTCCCCCCGCGCGGCTTCACTTCTCATGGACAGAGGGCTCGTCGTACAAAATATATCTATACAAGACTAACAGATTGGACATATTTCATTGTTGTCTTCCACAGTAAATGTTGCATACAATCTGGCTTATGGTGCATTCACCAAAGAATCGCCTGAGGTTGATCGCCTGCCGGGTGTACGTTCAGACGTCGGCGCGGCCTCGCGAGCTTCCCCTTCATCCATCGACCTCTGAGGCACTTCTGATAGGGCCGCAGCAGAGTCGATAGGGCTGTCGGTAAACCTCTGTCGGTTCTCTACCCACACTGTCCTAGGCGCGTCATCGTTGTAGACTCTAGATGACGCCGAGGGGAAGGTTGATATGCTCAGCTCCGGGCGCGGGGGAACGACAGCTCTTTCATAGTCCGAGTCGGAGATAGTCGCGTCGCTATCGTAACGCTGTGCACCAGTATTGACCTCAGGCGGGCCTGGATCAGCCCCCGCGAGGTACCTGCGTATACGTCCCATCTCGGCGGTATCATGGAACGGGTTATCTTGCGGGACATGATCAACGAGAACTGAGACCAGTTCCGTCGGGAACACTTCTATACTGGCCGCCTCCGCGATATGCTTGAGCGCCCTCCTGGACAAGGCAGTGACACTCCGGCCGGCGTGCGCTAGTTGCAGGATCGGCACCAGGCTCCGCCACGCCCGTAACTGATCCTCGGCAGAATTGGAGGCACCCCATGGATGCGCGCGTACGAAGACGAAGCAGAGCTTGATGAAATCAACTCGCTTCGTCAGCGAGGTTTCCTCGGCACATAGAAGGATAAAGCTCCATAAATCTTGAAGTATAGGCCACACGTGCTCGCAGTCGAAAACCACAGGACGGTCCCAGAGAAATCTCCACAATGGCGCCGACGAGCTATGGTACCCATAGAGTGGAATGATTGGTGGAGAGGTGCGAGCTGGTGGCGGGGCGGGAACTGGTGGCAGGATGTAAACTGGCAGCGAGACTGGTGGCTGAATGGGGATGACATCTGGTGGTGGGATGAGAACTGACGGCGGGACGGGAACTGGCGACAGGATGGGAACTGGTGGCGAGATGGAACCTGGTATCGAGATGTAAGGAGGTACGTGGATGGAGCCGGGGGACGAAGGTGGCGACACTGATATAGTGCTACGGCTGAGGGGCGGAGGAGGCAACGCCGGTACAAAGCTGGGGGGTGGACTGCGTGATACTTGTCGGCGGATAGGGCTATGGGATAGATGGCGCGGTGTCGCTGCTATACGAATAGGGCCACTGACCGGACTCCATACTGGGACACGAGCGGGACTAGAGGAGAGACTGCGTGACGCTGGTGCAAGAACAGGAACGGGGGACCGACCGCGTGATGCAAACGCGGGGACAGGGAGCGGGAATTGACTGCACGATGCTGATCGGCGGACAGGACTGGAGGATAGACGGCGCGGCGTTACTATGCGAATAGGACTGCGGTCCGGGCTTTGCGCTGGGACATGGATGGGACGGGGGGAGTAAATGTGTGACACTGGTGTACGAACAGAAACGGGGGAACGACCGCGTGATACAAATGCGGGAACGGGGAGCGAGAATTGACTGAGCGATACTGTCGGGAGGACAGGGCTATAGATAGGAGTGTGGATCCATATCCGACGCTGGTATAATGCGCATAGAAGCTGTTTATAGAGCTGCAAGGAAGACGAGATGCAGATGGCAGACCTGATGGCAGACTCGCTGCCATGAATAATGACCGGCAGGAGCCTCGGAGCGAGAGGATGATATGGACCGTCCGTGTACAGCGAAGGTAATATGTGCCGGCTTAACTCGTAGCCGGAAACGTAACAAGAATAGTCGTTTGGGTTATTTTCGAGCGGAATGGGGGGTCGAGGTGCTCCCATTGGCGGAAAGGGGTTCGGAATACGCAGATCTAACAGAGACTGTATAAAGGCATCAGCTCGTTCCACACCCCGGCAAATCATCTGACTTACAGACGATGAATCCCGCCTGAGCCGAGAAGCCGATAGATACGTGTGTAACGCGTCCAGAGCTTCTGCGCGCAGATGCGCGTCTGCGGACGCCAATAACAGCAGGGCTGCATCGTCATGCAGCACAGAGCCTTCTAGTCCGTATTCAACGCAAATGTCGACGATGATGGTTCTAGTATCTTCCTGAAGTTTTGGGCAACATTCTACGAGCGTGGACCAGTTGAAGAGACCTGGATCCTTCCTGTTGTGCGCAAGAATCACGGCGTTGACAAACCTAACAACCTCTGTGGCATTCCAAGTACGGAGAATCCTTGTTGTACGATCCAACATTTTGTTGAGTATACGAGTGTCGGCAGCACCTAGCAGGGAATATGAAATGTCTGGATGACGGTACCGCGAGGCGGAAAAGAATACTGCCGATGCGTTTGCGACCCAGTCGTCGTCAGCAGATTCTTTATCTATATGCTTCACAACAGTGTCAGATATAATCTCCATGATGATTTCCCACGCCATCCTCGACAGTGGTTGAAGGTTGACAAAACCTCGTACATCGTGAGCAGTGTCGGGAATAGTGGACGACACTGCGATTCCTGCTCGATGTTTGACAATGCCAAGCACGAAGGAGGTTATAAGCTGAGGAGGGGCATTGGTCTGCTTGAGAACGTCCCACATCGTCTCCACAAGGCCGTCGTCTACCATGACCTCATCGAAGGATAGTAGAAGTTCCTGAATGTCTTCTCCGCCCTTGATCACGTCTTCTTCTTCTTCGTCATGAGCATCGTGCTTTAGCCTTGAGCATAGACGAGTCATGGCCCGATAGCTAACGACAAGGATTGTCGAGACGATCTTCGGGAGGGCAACAGGGGAAGAGAGTAGAAACATAGTGTATCCAAGGAGGGGCATGATATCAAGGCATAAGTCTACCAGCTCTTGTGAGATGCGAAACGCGAAAATCCATGCATCACGCGCGGGCTCGGTGAGAAAACGCTTGGCCAGTCGCACCGTTTTTTTGCCTAGCTCAGTCGAAACCCTGCGTACCGTTGCGAAGATATATCTCCGTCCAAGCCTCATCGCGCCTTTGAGAAGGAGGACTTTGTACGGGCACCGGGGGGAAAAGAGTGGGGAGAGCGTGGTCATGACGACGAAAAAGGCCCAGCCGGCGACGAGGGGAAACGTCGAACGCCCAATGCGAGTGTCGACAGCGGCGGTGAAGAAGCATAAGCCCAGGAAAAATAGGCCCAAGGAGACATGAAGGAGCAGCGGCAGAGCCGCCGCGATCTCGAAGACCTTCCATTTGGCCAGCCCCGGATGGCGATACTGTCTGGCGCGCAAGCGATCCTGAGGCGAGATCCACTCGATCGCGAGATACTCTCGCAACCATTGCTTCACGAGCATCCCAAACGAAGCAGTGGCGAGGCTGCATATGAGACTAGCGAACCAGAGACCGTTCACCCGCAAAGCCCAGAGGGGCGTCTCGAACGGCATAGCCCCTGGGAAGGGAGCCGTTGTGTTGAGGAATGAGCCGCTGATAGTGTAGTTCTGAGCCAGGGAGTGTCGTAGGAGAAATACTATTTCAGACTCGGTGTCCGGTTGGAGGCTCGAGTACGATTCAATGAGGAATGCCGTGAGCACGGCCGAGAACAAACCGGCCTAACCCTCACACCGTTAGCAAGCGGTAGGAGACGTGAACGGGTGGCATACTCACGAACACGAGCAGAGTGTCAATATCGTCCTTGCAGTCTTCGATCTTCTGGACATCGACATCGCGCACGGTCTTGGCCATGCTCTGCCAACCAGTTGTTCGCTTCGACGACTAGGGGAGATCAGAGGCGGTTATAAGGGAACGAGCCAGCATGCCTACAGTTGCCTGGTTTGCGCCATAGTTCACATGAGCCATGAGGTAGTGCGCTGCTCAGAAACGTATCTGCAAGCCAACGATGGGGACCGAAGGGAAAGGAGAATGAGCGGGGAGATGGACATGCACCGACGAACGATCGCGGCGGCTTTTTGCAACATGCATGCATGCTTGGTTGAAGGACCATGCATATCAGCAGAGGTTCCGGCTAGCAGCACTAGGAAACTGTATTAGTCCGGGTCTGGGAAGTTCCATGAGCGTGTATCGCCACTCTGCGCCTCCCATCCGAACGGCGAGCAAGCTCTGCGCGCGTGAGTTATGGTTGGAGAAATCATAAGGAGACTTGAATCAGTCTCAGCACCCGTCGTTCAGTTCCGGCAGTGCATGTTCGAACGCACTTTCACGGGTAGCATGCACGGAGGCACATTGGGGATGTCCAACTCGATTTGGAGGGAAAGTTCGTACATTTGGGGGCGAGGACGATCGTATCGTAAGATGGCCAAACAGTCTAAGCCATGATGAGTGGGACCGCCGGAGCTTACTTGTCAGAAACGGCGCAAGTTCGGATCTCGAGCGCTTTTATCGTCCTATCATTATTCCCTCACTTTTTACAGCGCAGAAATCTTCTCTAAACTTTGGAGCCTGAGGCGTCCGCGCGTCAAGATTGACAAGGAATAACGTCGTTAAAGTCACCTTAGTACAACGATCCAAGGCTAGGTACACAATCGCGTTATCGAGAGAGAAGAATCTTTAGTTAGAAGTAGGTGAAGACTGGCATAACGTTCGGTAGCACATCGTTTACCCTTGCGCGAAGCTACCGCGCACGAAGTATGAAAAAAAAATTCTAGAGTCGACAAAACATTGACTTGCTGTTTCTAAGCACAGCTGAAAGTACAAACAGCATATTCTTCTATAACCAAGCACATACAACGATTCTAGATATACAAACACAGACGACGACTAAGAGCTACAGGAATTCGTGCGAGCCATCCAGAGCCGCACATTTTACAGACAGAGACCGAGCAAAGCAACGAGAGAGACGTGTGGAAAGGGAGGGTGTAGTGTGAAACGAAACATCACGGTCTGAAAACCTCCTGGCCCTCGCGGCAGCCACGGGCTGCGCTCGGGAACACCACTGACGTACGGAGAGCAAAGAGAATAAATATGCCTTGGAGGAAAGGGGGGAAGAGGGTGCCGCTTAGTCGAAGGTCCAGGTGACGCCGTGGATGCGGCCGACGGACTGGTCCGCAAGTTGCGAGAACGCAGAGGGCGAGAAGTCGAGGTCCCACTCGGCGCACGCCTCGCAGCGGTCGGTGATGGCGACGGTGACAGACTCGCCGTTGTCTAGAGCAGGGAAGGTGAGCATGACAACCCGCAGAACGGGGGCAGAGACGAGAGACGTACAGTGGGCAGTCACCTTCCTGCCGCAGATGGGGTTGTCGTTGGGGTTGCCGCCGGCGTAGCCAGGGAAGCTGTCGTACAGGATGTGCGACGCAGCGGCGATGTAGTCGGTGTCGACGTTGTAGATGCCGCAGGCACCGAGGCCGGTAGCGTAGTAGGTACCTGAGCGGGGTGATATCAGCACGAAGTCTCGAACTGAGTACCAATAGCGAAGACTTACCATCACCACTGTGAGTGCCGGCGATGTCGGCAGAGCGCTTCTCGGGGAGAGTGGCAGCAGAAGCCGCGAGGGCCATGGTAGCAAGGGCGAAGATTTTGGCGAACATGATGAACGAGTGGGTGCGAGGTTGCTGCGAGAGGAGTGTGGAGAGAGTGACGAGCAAAGGCTCTGAGGTGTTAAAGAAGGACGAGGAAAGAGTGGGAGCGGCGATTGCCTGAGGTGGGACTGTGGGCGTTGCTGGAACGTAAGGACTTCCCAGTATCCTTGAATAGCTTTTATACGCCTTCGAGCCACGGGCGTTTAAGCGTGCCCGACGCCACAAGGCTCGTTCTGTCAGAGGATGCACGCACCATACGCTGAAAAGTCAATTTGATCGGAGTGATCGAGCAGCGGCGGGGGGTCTTCAAATTCACAGCGAAAATGACCGAGGGAAGACCTGCAACCCTCGATTATTTTGTCGGCCAAGTTTCAGGCGACAAAAATCGCTGGAGAGTGTCGCCGCCCGGGCCCAAGCTGGGCCTCTGCCAATCCGGATCGACGCTGGGTCGACGCTCTCTCTCTCGATGCGATCGAAAGACTGGTAGGCCACGGCATCCGCAACAAAATGGTAGTGAAGGTCCAGGCGGCGAGCTAGCTGTGGTATCCGACTTGGCAATGCCGAATATTTCAAGGATGAAACCCGAGCACCTAGGTTCAAGGGACCTGAAGATTCCGCGCTTTCCGTCCTTCAGCCCACGCGAGAGCAATATGCTGCAATACGAGGGTTTTCCTGTGAGATGAGTAGCGAGCAGCCCGAGGCAGCGGTGCCTGAGATCACCGAGACCAGACCCCCACATCCAAAACGACGCCAAAGGTCCCTGCCCGACGGCGTAAGCAGAGAGAAAAAGCTGGAGGAGAGCACATGGACCACGCACGGATCACCGATTACTGGGCCCCCCAGTTTCACCGCTGAGTCCACGCCGAGTCCAGACAAAGTGAGCGCGCTCAAGAGAGGCCCCCGCACATGAACTGCTTTTCATGTCGCCAGCGAGGCGCGGTCCCGGCATCGTGCACAGACACGCAGGGGGCGCAGCCGTGCGTTGCCCAAGCGTGGACCCGACGGCCCCGCCTGACAAAAAAGGACGTGCGCAGACCGTCCACAACATCATGGCCCGAGGCGCGCAAAACCGTTGCTTTGCTTCCGGGTCAGGGCACCATCACAATCGTGCGCCGAGGCCGTCTGCACACCATACCACAGCACGCATACACACCCAGGGCCCTGGCACACAAGTCAGACGCACGACCACATGCAACCCAAAAAAATAATAAAATGAATATGAGGATGTGTACACACACCTTTTTTTGCTTTGTCCCCTTGATAATAGAGCCTCGGGCCCGACGCGGGCAGCTTGATACAACGAACAACAAAAAAAAGAAAAAAAGAGAAGATACCGGTCACGTGAAGGGTAAAACTCCCTCAGAGTTCCTCCCAGGCCTAGATTGGGTCACAGCTCTTCCGGCTTTCCAGTCCGAGGGCGAAAGGACAGGATGAACTCATTCCGTGGCCTCGCTGCCTCAGAGTCCCCCAATAATTATCGCGCGCGGTGTGCCTGCATCATGGTAGCGTGCACGCAGGCGTCTGAAGGTCTCGGCCGAGGGCATCAGAGATAGCAGGATTATTGGGGGGCACAAAAAACGAAACGGAAGAGGTGAGCGCGTCCACGTGGGCGTCTGAATAGCGGCGCTCCGTGCACCAGCGTCCGAGAATGGCAGGTGCTGCAGTATGCCAATGAAAAATAATGTAAGAGTGCATGCACATAATCTACACGAGCAGCACCATGAGAGCGACCGAAAGCAAGAGTCCTGTGAGAAACGGCAATAACGAGAGCAAGACATGCAATTGACGAACAACAATACCACTACCTCGGAAGAAGAGGGCAAAATCCACCCCATCCTTACCGAGCAATCCACAAGAATTTGTACCAGCACCCCCCTCACATCTCAACCCCAGCAGCCGCGTCGAGGCCGAGCCGCCCGCGCACGAGCCGCATGACACGCCCGTCGAACGCCTCCTGCTCGAGGCTGTTCAGGCCCCCGCCGTGCTCTGCATGGATGACGCGCCGCGCGTTGACCTTCTCGAGCACCATCCGCACCTCGTTGTCGCCCTCGAGCGGCTCGGGCGGCTGCGGCGGGGAGCCGAAGGCGCTGAAGACGCCGGACACGGGCGAGCTCGGGCCCGTCGAGGGCGCGCTGGACCGCGTGCCGGACGATGAAGACGACGGTGGTGGCAACAACAGTGACGCGGAGGAGGACGATGACGACGACGAAGCGGCCGAGTGTGCAGAGTCGACCGACGTGCTCGAGCTGCGGCGGAAGAGCGTCAGCCGCGAACGCAGGAGCCGCGTGAGCGCACCCGGGTCGACGATCGGCGCGTGCACGTCCATGAGTCGCTCCGCGAGGCTCTGGCACTGTCCTTGTCCCTGGCTCTGGTTCTGACTCTCATCCGCGCCTGCCTGCGAGCTGCCCGGCGCCGTGCACGCATACGCGTCCTCGTCGTCCTCGCAGAGCATCGCCTCCGACAGCTTGCGGCGGACCGACTCGTGCTGCTCGGGCGTCGTCGGGCTGAAGAGGTGCACGCAGAAGTCGAGCGCGCGCTGGACCTCGTCCTCGGACAGGCGCTTGCCCATTTCGGCACTGCCCTGGATGACTAGAACCGGGGTGTCAGCGGCGTGAATAACGCGGGAGGAGGAGGAAAGACGCACGGGGTCTGAAGTACGCAAACGCTTGGTCAAAGTTGCCTTCGTCAATGTCGGCGAGGACAGGTGTGCGCTGCGCTCGGATCTGCTTGTACGCGCTCAGAACGACGACTAGGAACCTGCACAACACTCTTCAGTTCTACTGCGGACGCATGTGCGCAGCGATGACCCTCACCTGGTATACGATACCGCCACACGCTGGGTATGCCACGCCGCAGCCTCGTGCTCGGGGCAGTCGCCGCATATGCTCGCGGCAACGGTCACAGCCGCCGAGATCGCGCCCGTCATAGCCAGGTGCACGCCCGACGAAAAGAACGGGTCGATGAACGCTGTCACGTGGCAGTAAGCACCCTGGCGCAGCACGACACATGCGTGTAGAAGGACCTACCGCCGGCGTCCCCAACAAGTCTCCACCCCTCTCCGGCATACGAGTCTGCCGAGTAACTAAAGTCGCTGGCGCTCCTCGCCGCCGGCGCCTGTCCGTTCTCGTCCTCGACCCTCTCCAGCGTCGCATGGTCGCCGAGCAGCGCCTGCACGCCTGGCGCAAGGTGCAGAAACGTGAGGTACCGGTCCGCGAGCGTCGCATGGGCGCGGCCGTTCTGGGGTGCGCGGGAAGACACGGGCTCGGAGGAGGGGGCGGGCAACGGGGAGGCCGTCGCGGACGAGACGGCGCGCGAGCGGATGCCGAGCTGCTTCTGCTCCATGACGACGCCGACAGAGGTCAGGCCGTTGTGGAGCGGGATGAACCACGCCCAGCCGGACTCGTCTGTGCATATATAGCAAGTCAATATAACGCTCCTGATAGTTAAATGCAGTACGTACCACTGAGAGCCTCAAAGTACGGGGCGCCCTCGCGGCTAGTACCCTTGCCGTACACGCCCGCGCCGCGCCAGTAGCCCCAAACTGCCACATTTTTAAGCGATTGGTTGAACTTGCGGTTCTTGAGATACCTGGCAGATTCGAGGGAGAATTTGAGTGAGAAAACCGAGCTAGTGCCAAGAGAGAACGTCCTACTTGGTGCTCAGCAACCCATACCGCCCACTGGCGTCTACCAGGTAGTCAAACGAAATCTCGCCCGTCGATCCATCTGCCCTGCTGTACGATGCCTTGATGGGCCTGCCGAGGCTAGCAAACTCGACCGCCTTGTCCTCCTGCACGGAATTCGAGCAGCTCCGTGTTGACTGGCCGGACGGCGAGCCGGGCGTGGGGCTGGGCGTCGGGGGAGCAAACTTGAGCGTCTCCACGCGCGTCTCGGTGAAGACCTTGGTGCCGCACGACGCCGCATGGTCGAGGAGCAGCTTGTCGAATTCGGAGCGAACGACGTTCCACGCGTTGTTGGATGCCCCGAGGGCGACAAAGTCAGTATCTAATAAGGCAGGATTTGGTCTTGTTGGTCCAGGTGAAAACAGGCGGGCCAAACACTCACAGCCTTCGCGCATATATTGAATGAACTTGATGGCCGAGCCAGGCTGGTGTGGCGTGTATGTACGCATGAGTTGAAAGTGTACAAACGCGACAAGAAGTGAGAACTGACCTTGTATGCAAAGCCACGGGATGCGACTTTTTCCTCTGCGTCAATGAAGCGTAGGTAATGACGCACGGAGGGCAAGAGCGATTCGCCAATGTGGTATCTGACGACGCAAAGCGGTGGATGAGCATGATAGGAGGGAGCAGGGGGAGACACGAGTAGCCGAGGACTCTCATATATATCGCTGCACAGTGAGGCGTGGTGATAATCGACGGAAATTGCAGTAAGGCGGAGGTACGATAGGGACAGGTCACAGCAGAGAAACAAGCAGAACAAGGACTCGCCTGGGAAACTTGGAGACGTCCAACAGCACGACGTCGATGCCTTCTCGGGCCAAAGCGGCGGCAGCGTAGCTGCCACCGGGCCCGCCGCCGACGACAAGGACCTGGGCATGCTGCAGCACCGGTGAGCAGCTTCCTAGACGGTCCGACGTAGACGTACCTTCGGGATTTCGGCGGTCATAGGGGCGGAGAGAAAGTCGTGCGGTGTCAAGGAAATGTCGTGGACGTCGGTGTCGGCTGTGAGCGTCGGGGCGATGGCAGTAATGAAGTGGCTGGACGTGCGGTGGGAGGCGACGGTCGACTCGGAGATGAAGTTGACTGTTCACTATCCTGCTGTGGATACCCCGCCGATGCTTATAAGCCACCAGGCATGACACTCTGAATCCAATCGGTAGCGACCCCCAACACCAGCAGACGCAGAGACGATTGGAGTGCCCGGCATTAGCGAACATTCTACAAGAACGGGGTCCCGTGTTTTGTGCCCCTCGGCTGCGGACGCGTCGACATGGGCAGAGGCAGAAAAACTGGACCACTTCCATAGCACCTTCCTTTTTGGAAAACGCCACGGCCTCTTCCTCGCATCCTGCCAAGGCAGTCTGCAGCAGACTTCCTAGAGCGTTACCGTGAGTTCGGAGGACTTGTTTCAACAAGAAGCGTACACGTTCAGCTTGAAGTATCTGGAAGTAAGCAGTCTGAGCAAGACTCTACAAGTCCTCCTTGACTCGTACGTGACGTGGAGCACCCAGGAAGGTGAGACGACGAGAGCCGAGCATCGCTCCGACCGAGTGCTGCAGCTTCGACAGCAGCCGTGTTCTGCCCAGAATCATGAGAAGTGCGCGCCAGAGCACATCGCATGTCAACCACAAACAGGCGCGCAGGATTATTCAGGCGCCCAATGGTTCTATTCGCGAAACTCTAATCTATTTGTGCGAGACAAACAGAGGCCGTTGGAACAGCTCGCTGTCCGTCGCGCCCAGACTAGTGTGGTGCAGACGCCCTTGATGTCGCCCACAAGATAGACATTGGTCTTGGCATGGTTCACCTCAATCGTGAGCGCATCATTCGTATCTTACGGGAGGCGGGGCTCGGGGCGACGACGATAGGCCTGTATCGAATTCCGCGACTGCATCGGAACAGGTGTCAATGGTAAGAAAACCAGGACTACTTCGTCTGCGTTGGTCAGCTTTGTGCACCCCTCGTCCAACCATGTGCATGCAGGGTCGCTAGTTGCTCACTTGTGAAAAGCGCGGAAACTCACACGTTCCGCACATCGACGCCGCCCGAACCTGGCACGAAGCAGAGAAGCTGTATACACCACTGTCTATACGGGCTAGCTTGCCAGGCAACGCCGTCAACAACAGGGCGGACGTATACACACTACCCCAATTCGAACAGCGAGATCATCAGCCTTTTGAAGACGTGGCAGAAGCATCCCGAAGGAGGCGAATGGTGGGCGCCTCTCGTCTCCGTTTGCAAGCGCCATCCAAACGCTAAACACTACCTGACAGTTCTCTCGTCACTCTCTACCTGTTCATCCTCATCTGCATCGGACGCTTCGGGCCGTGCTTCTTTACCTTCTTGTGCTGTCACCCCCGATGCGACCACACTTGCGCCGGCCTCAATCTCGCCTGCTCACCTGTGCGGCTGGTGCACGGTATCAAAATCTATATTGACCCCACCGCCACCGCGGGCTGTCTCCGGCATCGACGACAACGTCCTCTGTTGCGTCCTCTGACTCCGTACAACGCACGCTCTGTACACCGTTTCACACAACTACCGTCGCCGGCACCTTGTGTCTGCACGCTCCGACTCGTTTGGCTCCGCAATATCGTCGATGCCGCCCTCTTGCCGTGCATTGCTGGAACACCCGTCCCTCCGGATCTCATTTTCGCGCGACGTCCTGCGCAGGGAAACAACCGCGTGGCCCGCTGCGGGTACTGGATCGTCGCATCGGCCGGACGGTCACGTGACCATTCCGTCTTGTAGCTCCGTCTCGGTCCTTAGTACCTCCAGGCCCTTCCTCTGTGCTCCCTGGTACAAGCAGTTGCGTCCAAATTTCTGACGCTGATCTACTACTAGCCTGCTGACGTATCGGGGCCCTTCCAGAGCCTTTTACATGGCCGTTGTACGTCTCCCTCTGGCCTTCTACGACGCGAATGTGTTATCTCTGAGTGCTTATTGTGACAACAGATGGTACAAATTCTGCGCCGAGCATACACTCATTATCTTGAGAACCCGCCTAGAGCCGAGGTGGTACGTCATCTGCTGTGCCTGCAAGAGCCGAAACATCGTTCTGAGTCTGCATACAGGCGATGAGCTCGGAAATCCACGCCGGTGGGAAACCACGGCTGCTCGCCGGGAGAAATTTCTGGAAGAAGAGTGGGGCTGCTGGTCGATGAGTTCGCTGCCGCAGGTGCGCGCTCCTGCTTCTTCTCCTCTCGCTGAGAACGCTCGTTCATCCGCTGACGTCTCCTTGCCCCTTCGTCACACGCCCCGCCGGCCTACTTCTCCGCCGACCAGCACCGGCATACAGACAGAGACCCCGCAGAGCGCGGTCCCAGTTTCGCACATTGCCTCGTGCCTATCACTTTTGCATTGTCGCGTCGATCTCACGCGCCTACACTTGCCTGGCTTCGGACAGTCTGACCCATCATCTGCCCATCGCCGAGCGCCCGCCTGCTCATGCACCGTCCTGAATTCTCAGCCTCGCTCTGCTCCCCGAGGTCCACTGACGAGTCCTGAAGAATATTTACAAGCACCTCGGTTGTCTCTGTCATCCGAACGGGCTGGAAGACCTGAGGCCGAGTGCGCGTGGCCACCCAAGGATTGTGCGGAGCTCTCCCTTCTCCAGCTCCGTTATTCGGGCCTCACCTCCTTGGTTCGCGACCCCTTCGCCGCTTTTTAGTATCCGTTAAAGCGACTCGGCGCGCGGAAAAATCATTTACTGGATCTCCTTTTGTCGTTGTGCGGTAGCTTTAAACTCCATGCAGCGTCGCATGCTTGTTTGTTTGCTGTAGGTGCATCCGTTGCTTATTTTTTGCTGTAGATCTGGGTTTTCTGGTGCCGTGGGTTGCTGCGCTACCTCAGTAGTACGCCGACATTTTTGAATCCCAAGCGCTTGTTAGGCTCAAGACCGGCCATAAGAGTGCCCAACCTAAAATGTGGCACTTGCAGAGTATTAGTTGGCACATCCTTTCAATACGCATCCCTGTCAATCGTACAGAATACTGAGGGCGAGTCTGAATGCTGTGCGGAACTTCGCATCTGCCAGGGCATACTTTGTCGTCGGGCGTTCGTCTAAGTGCGATACCTTCCAAAACAGGTACGCGGTGAGCCTCCACTTCGAAGCCCGCTCAGCCCTCTGAGGATTTCAAACTCCGGAAGACCTCCTCCCCTTTGCCGGCGCATGTCCTTCGGTATAACCAGTCTTATCACCTCCGCCTGCCCCCATGACAGGACTAGGCACGTCCTCGAGCATACTATGAATAAACCCCTTCGGCTTGTCGTTAATGACCCGAGGCGCCGGTGTTTTCCTCTGTGCGAGTCGAGGTATTCCGATCCTGAACTATCAGATGAACCTCTTGACAATCTTATACCGTAAATTTGCCAGGGTGGACCCGCGCGACACGACTATGTTGATGTTCGCTAATTAGTCTGAATGCATTGGGTGCTGCTCTCGCGCCTCTTGCGGCCCGGAGATCAAGAAGCACCCCTACATTGTACAAGATGCAGCTCCCCGAGGATACATATGGGGAAGGAGCGGAGGACTTGGCTTCGGGGTCGGCCCTGTGCAGCGGTGTATAAGAGGTCTCGTACCGGAGCAGTCACTGCAGTCCAAGTCGCTTCGATGTCTCTCACCGTCAGCTCCGAGTCCCATAGCTACACCGCCCAGAGGGTAATCCTCACCTCCTCGAAGCCCTTTGACAAGGTCATCGCGGCCCTCGACGAGGAGACGAACAGGGCCGGGCCTCACGTGGGGGAGGTCCTGGGCAGCGCCAAGAGCAAGGAGGAGATCGAGCAGGGCATGAGCGCGCTCACTGACTCTGGCAAGAGGACATTTGTGTACGTTCGCTTCTCTCCTCCTCCTCCTCCTCCCTCCTTCCTCTCGCCCGCCCGGACCGCTGACTTGCCCGCACGACTCCAGGTTCTTCTCCGCGCAGTTCCACTCCAAGTGGATCGGCAACTACTACGGACAGACGTTCGACGACTTTGTGCTCTACACGTTCGGAAACCCTCTCTACGCGAAGGAGATGATGACGCGCGACTCCACGACCGGCTTCGGCATCCCACCGCGCGTGCTCGTGCAGGCCACGAAAGAAGGGGGGACCAGGATCCAGTACGACCGGCCGAGCTCGTGGTTCACGCTGAATCCGAGTCCGGAGCTGAACGCGGCGCTGGAGAGTCTGAGTGCGAACATCGAGGCGCTGCTCAGGAAGGCTCTCGCGTAGAGGCTTGCAAGATGTAGGACTCGTACTCGTCAGTATTTTATCTGTTGTTTGCCTTGCGCACATGGCGGCTTCACGCTGCGTGATTATCTCTCGCATTCTCTGGGGAATATCGTGGCAAAGAGCGGGTTCCCGAACGTGTAGAGCGCGAGGTCCGGGAGCTTCTTCCCGTAGTACACGCTCAGCCACCTCGAGTAAAAGTCTGCGGCAAATAGTCTAGAGTCGCGAGTGTTTGTTAGCGGTGCGGCAGATGAGAGCTCCGGCGCGACGTAAATGGAGTTCCTCTTGCCGGAGTCGGTGAGCGCGCCGACGCCCTGTTCGATCTCCTCCTTGCTCTTGGAGCCGTTGAGGATCTGCTTGACGTGAGGGTTCTCCTTGTTCACTTCTGCGTCGAGCGCTGCGAGGACTTTGCTGAAGGGCTTCGGAGAGGTGAGGACCACCCTCTGGGCGAAGTAGCCTTGGACTACTTTAGCGACGGACATCACGGCGAGCTGAACTCTGGTCGGTCCCTAGATTGCAGCTCGTCCGTGCTTGATACGTGTTTGTGAATGCCTCTTATACCCTGCTAAACAGGGTCTGCGCCGAGTCGCCGAGTCATCATCAAATGTGACCCTGGTTTTTTGCGACATCCGAACAGGTCTTGTGCGCAGGGTCGTCGTTATGGGATGTTTCTGATCTCCTGAGGGAGCAGCTCACGATATTATTCGCCATTTTGGGCTAATCTGAGCCATGTTATGTGACCCGCATCCAGCCTGGTAAGCCCTATGACGTGAACTCAGCAGGAACTTGAGCTGGTGGTATTGACCAAAGAAACCTCACCTCGGTTAGAGAAACACTAACTCCATCCGAGCTCTCGATAAGAGCCGAGCCTGTCGCACCTGGGTTTCTCGTGTGTACCAGGGACGATTCAATAAGACTGGCTAATTCCACCATACCGACCTACACTCTGGAAGCTTCTAGGGTGGCCAAGGTGCCCTAGGGACAAGACCGAGATTTGTGAATAGCTCACGTACTTACCACAGTAACAATACGCTGCGAATCTGCCACGATGATGTCATCTTGAGGTGGGGAACACACGGCGACACTGTGGCAATATATGTAATCCCTGTCGGCATTGCGGATATCACAGATTGTGGTATGGTACAGTAGATATCTAGATAAATACAACATCAGCAGAGCGGAGCATTTAAGCTTGACGAACCCCCGCGACGGACGCGCAGGAGGAGCTGATGACGCGCGACCTCGCCACGGGCCTCGGGCTCCCGCCGCGCGTGCTCGTGCAGGGGACGCCGGAGGGGGGAACCAAAATTCAGTATGACCTGCCGAGCGCGTGGTTCACTGGGAAGCCGCCGAGTCCGGAGTTGGAGGCGGCGCTGGAGGGCCTAGATGGGAAGCTGGAGGCGACTGTTAGGAAGGTTCTATCCTGAAGGAGCTTTGCTGTATATGAAGAAATATACTCGTGAATATTTTCTATTGCTGGTCCGGCTGTATAAGCGACTTCTCGCGCTTCTTGGGGAGTGTTGCCGCGTACGGGCGCTTTGAGCGTGCATGGCGTCACGCCTCGCGACCTCCTTGTCGGCGAGCGCGTCTCGGGTTCTCTCTTACACCACCACCCAGCCCGGCCGCAGCGGCAAGCACCTTGAGGGCACCGCTCTTCGCTCATGATGAGCTCAGAAATACGACTACGACATCCAAAAGTCCGCCATGCAGACTCGGACAGTGCCGTTGCAGAGGTCGGACGGCAGTCTCGCCATGAGAGCGAGGTCGAGGGCTTGAAGGACGAGTTGGCAGAGAAGGTAGAAACTTGGAGAGAGAGGGTCCAGAAGGTGCGCGTACTCTACACAGTTGGATATGTTGTGTCTCGTGCTGAAGTCCTCACCGTAGGAGCGCCGCCGCTTCTACGCGACGCGGCGATTCTTGTTTCCCTTGGGCATTCTCCGTGAGTATATGCGTCTCATTACTGGCGTTTCTTCGGAACGTAGGCCGTGCTGAACCTCTGACACGACGTCTCCCCCCAGTTGGGATTCTCCTCGGTTTTATTCTGATCCAGCCTGCGGACCTGACCGACTTCCAAACACACCTCGCGCTGCTGCTCGACGAATTCGAACTGGACTTCAGTCTGCCGCAGTTCCCACAGCTGGACTGGTCATTAGTAGAGAACGAATGGCGAAGACTCCGCAGCAGTATCCCTGAACCCTGGAAGCTGAACACCAATGGCCTGGAATTCACCATCGGGGAGGCCATCGCTGAACGCGGTTTGAGTGCGAAGCATCCCGTAATTCTTATACCTGGTATCATTTCGACAGTAAGTTTGAAAATAATGTCTTTACGGCCCTGTATTAATGGTCGACCCTAGGGTCTGGAGTCATGGTCGACTTCACCCGAATACCGCCCATTCTTCCGACAGAAGGTGTGGGGCGGCTTCTCAATGATCACACAAGTCACCTTCAACCGCGAGAAATGGATGAACGCACTTCTTCTTGATCCTGTAACAGGTCTCGATCCGCCAGGCGCGAAAGTCAGGGCCGCTGAGGGCATCGACGCGGCGAGTTCGTTTATCCAGGGTTATTGGTTATGGTGAGTCTTGCATGTTGTCCTGTTGGTGCCACAGCTAACTGTACGCGCAGGTCCAAGATCGTAGAAAACCTCGCCGTAGTCAACTACGACACGAACAACCTGCTCCTGGCTCCTTACGATTGGCGTCTCTCGTTCTACAACCTCGAGGTTCGAGATGCATACTTCTCAAGACTGAAAGCTACTATTGAAGGATTCAGGTGCGCTCTCTGTTGCATCTAGGACTGTCACCAACCGACAGTATAGTCGTACAGGAGACGTGAGAATCAACGCGCCGTGCTGGTTGCGCACTCCATGGGTAGTACAGTAAGCATATCCGTGACCCACGTCGGATGGTGTTCCTAATGATTCGTTCTAGGTAGTACTGGTAGGTGAGAGGGAAGCGGCATTGATGCCGGCTTGTGCTAATGCTCGCTTACGAGGACTAGTATTTGTGAGTTGTCACAGTCTGGTCGATCCTGCACCATACAAACCACGTGCTTCAGCTTCAAATGGGTTGAGTCACCTGTTGGTGGAAATGGCGGAGAGGATTGGGTTGAGGTACCCTTAACAACTATTCCGAGTGTTCACGTGCTGATATTGAGACGCCTTTGCAGAACAACATCGAAGCCGTGATCAGCATAGCAGGGACACATCTAGTGAGTATGCCCAGTTCATTGTCAAATGCGCCGTCCTAACAGATCCGTAGGGTGTCGTAAGTACTTATTTAGCCGTTTTCGTGGTATGTTTTCACCAGGCTCCCTTGGTAGACCAAGGCCTTGGCCGCCTTCCTCTCTGGAGAAATGAAGGATACAGTGCAAATGAATCCCGCGGGAGCTTACGGTAGGACACATTGCGTTATTCAAGCTCACCTTCTAATCTGGATACAGTCCTGGAACGGTTCTTCTCTCGCAAGGAACGGCGCAAGCTGTTCCATAGCTGGTCTGGTAGTGCAAGCATGTGGATCAAGGTGATCTGCTCAGTAATATGTTCGTTAACTGCTGTTGTGTTAATCTCTCTATCAGGGAGGCGACGCCGTCTGGGGAAACAACACATGGGCCCCAGATGACATAGACGAGAGGGACCACACGCACGGCGAGCTCATTGCCTTCCGCGACTCTGTCATCCAGGCTTATGGCGAGGGGATGCTCACGAACATGACCGCGGACAGCGCTAGCTCGTGGATCCTTGAGCATACACCGGCCCAGTTTCAGAAAATGATTGCCACCAACTATTCGTATGGCATCGAGCGGGACGAGGAAAAGTTGAAGGCAAACAATCTGGATTATCGCACGTGGACAAATCCGCTGGAAGTGCAGTAAGTGCAAGATTTTCCCTGAAGGTACTCAAGGACACTGAACTTTGCAGGCTTCCCAATGCACCGACGACGAAAATCTTCTGCGTATATGGGCATGGAAAGGAAACAGAGGTGCGCCATCCACTATAGCGGGCTCGTGCTCATCGTGCTCAATCACGTACATGCAGCGCTCCTACTGGTACACGCGTGGCGAATACGAGTACGACGACGTGCAGGCCGACCAGCCGAGTGCTGTCTGTGACAACTCAGCAGACTGTCTGACGCCTCGTACACCGCTCGACCTGCCGCTTTTCCGGAAGAGCTGGATCGACGCCGAGTATACGGACTTGAGCATGACGCCTAAGATCCGGAACGGTGTGAAGATGGGTGAGGGCGACGGAACGGTCAGTTTGCTGAGTCTCGGTGCGATGTGTGTCGAGGGCTGGAAGAGGAAGAGATGGAATCCGGCGGGGATGAAGGTGGTGACCGTCGAGGTATGTTCTTCCTCTATTCCTTATTGAGCAGCAGCTGACGGCGGTGGCAGCTGCCGCACAAGCCTGTGTCGACTATTCCCCGCGGAGGCGGCACGTCTTCGGACCATGTCGACATCCTGGGCAACATTGATCTGAACGAGATTATCTTGAAGGTTGCCACGGGTGTACAACATGAAGTTCAAGATAATTTTGTATCGAACATTAGAGAGTACGCGCAGCGCGTCCAGTGGGACTGATACCTCTCGCATGTACTGTTCGTCCTAGATACCAATGCAGAGTGTGACTGCGATAAGCCATCGCGTTGCGTGTACATGGCTCAACAACTCTGGCCAGCGAAGTCAAAGTGAACAAGAAATGAAGGCCACCAGTGTTTCGATGCTCGCCTGGAAACCGTAGATGATCGACAAGCAGGGGATAAGGTGCCACTCCAGCCACCTTCAACCGTAACCGTTCACCAGGAAAGAGTGTTAAAGATGACATGGCATTGTATCAAACATAACACATGCATGGATTGCGAGACGAGCTGCGATTGTAGTGATTAATGGATACAGATGACGAAAGCTCGGAATAGCATATGTTCACCAGGAGCCGCACGCGGACTGTAGGCGTACAGGTGCTGTACAAAGATGACTATGCGGGGGTATGGCGCTGGTAAGTGCAAGAAGGTAGAGACAGACGAGAAAGCGAAAGCTGGCAGCAAAATAAGACCGCGGGATCAGTCCGGTATTAGAGTTTGTCTGTGTGTGGATGACGGTGGCTGCTGGTTCTGTCTTTGTAATGACTGCTGTTGCTGCCAAAGCAGCTCTGCCCACAAGGGGTTATCGGGTATGCGACCTATAACAACACTTAACACCTCCAGCCTATGGAAATCTCATGAGATCAGGAGGCTGAGTTGAAGCAGCATAACGACGCACCATTGCTTCTTCTCCTCATCAGAATCAGCGTAGAAGATGATCTCCTGATCGTTGTGGAACAGTATCCGGAATGATCGTTCAATGCCGTACGGTACGTCGAATTCGACGAAGTTGTACATCCGCGGCGACATGGGCTCCGTTGGACTCCGAGCACCATCTCTCGCCATCTTATCGTCTTCGAGAGCAACAGCCTTCTTGAGATCAATGGTCGCCGTCGCCTTCTTAGTAACGTTATTGAATGCGACGAGGCTGGAGCCGATGATGCGGAAATGTCGCCGGCGCCACGACTACAGGGATCGTCAGTACAATCGCCATCTCGCCATCGGACATATCTACACACCGTACAGTCACCGCCATTCTGTGTTAGCGTTCCCTCGAGATACGTGACTTTATGCCACGCGGTATTGCGCATACCACGGTGGCATTCCTCGAGGCTTCCGGGAAGAAGTTCCGGAGGAATACCAGGGAGTGGAGGGAGGCGGAAGACTTGAAGTACGACCTCTCCAATCTGAAGAGGTTTCGGCTGCTCTGTCTCTTCAGCTCTCTGGCCAATCAGGGGGATGGTGGTCTCGAATATCCGAGCGTCGCACCGCCGTGCGATATCCTTGAACGCGACGAACGCGCGTGCAAGGGTACCGTCGGGTTTGAGATACCGGGCGAGGCTCTCCTGGAGTTTGTGAGGAGGCCGAGGCGGCTGGGGAGGCGGCGGTGCTGGTTTGCTAGGTCTCTTCTCTCGAAAGAAACTGCGCAGGCCGCCTTTGGAGGCGGGTGGGGGTGCCTGTTTCGGTATTGGCACCGGAGGAGGGGGTTGATTCGCCTTGAACTGGGCAATGATGTGCGGATCGCGTCGGACTTTGAAGACGAGCGTGAACTCGAGCTTGTTCTGTTCGATGCTAGGGGACAAGTGAGATAATTGCAAGGATGCAGATAGAGGCCCACGTACAGCTCAAACTCTTGGTTCATGCGACACTCCCTGCCGAGCTGGAATTCTGGAGTAGTAACAAAGTGGATGCCATTATTCAGAGTGCAGCTAACGGCCGTCGGTTGTTGGGGCACAGGAACAGAGAGGGCTCTGATGCCAGCGACTATCATGCAGGTAAGGAGGGGTGCCACACAGATATAGAGCATCCTTACCTTTGACAAAGACTTTGGCGTATGCCTTGCTAGAGCCTTGTTGGGCCTGCAGCTGCTTCAGCTGCTGCGCGTACTCGTACTAGATTGCATCAGTAACCGTTGCATGTCCCTTGCGCGGGGGCAGCACATACCATGTCAGATGGCTTTCGAACCATCCGCCACGCCATGCCACCAGCTGCACCTAGATGCCCATCCTCAGAAGACGCATGAATGATCTCGCTCCGCTGTCGAACGTGATATTTCTGAAAACAAATGCCGTTGTCAGCAAGACAATGACATCACATGCATCAAATAACTCACCGTATGTCCACCCTTTAGCCTGGTTAGCTCGCGATCGATACTATGGGCTAATGGATCAACCTCCTCGTCCCCAATAGGTACATTGTCTAGAAGCCCGCCATCACTGAGCGTGTTGGCGCGTCGGCGCATAGCCTGTGCACGTCCCAGGTCGTTGGCCGCACCGGTACTTAAACTCCGACGTCTCATCAGAGGAGGGCGGCGAGACATGGCCCTTGAGCCTGACGACGATCCTTCGACCTCATCCTCATCCATGCTCTCCTCCCGTCTCTTCGCCTCACGCTTCTTCGCCTTGATCAGCGCCTCGCGTGTCTTGATCGCGTCTTTGACCACGGGTGGCCGCGGACTTATTGGACGCACGGGCTCGGCAGGCTCAAACGCGGGATCGGGGCTCAGGAAGCTCGCGCTCAGAAGGGCTTCGGGGCCCATCGATGGTAGGTCGATGTGCATACCAGTATTTTCAACTTCCGCGTCGCCATCATGTTCTTGTTCTGGAGCGGCCATCGTAGCCGGACTCTCGGATACGACATCGTGCATCGGAACATCTCCAGACCCGTCGGGTAGCGAATGTCGACCAGCCTTGACTCCTTCCGTGACGGCCTCTACCTTCAACCCAACCACCGCCTTCCCGTCCGGCGCCATCATCGCCTCCCCCGCGACATCGGCCATGAGACGATCCAGCGCGCTCTTCATATCGCCGAGGTGCACGAAACCAAGGTCTTCGGGATCTTTCGAGTTCGCAGGGAGGCTGGAGGGACCGGCTTCGTCAGTTGCCCCGTCAAAACTCGCAGCGCGCGGCGTTATTGATGGCCTAGGTGGATCACTGGGCTGTGGCTCAGGATCGAGGGGCATAACTCCGTCAAAAGTGGGGTTATCGCGTGTCAGCTTGAGTGCAGGAATACGCGACGGAGCTGGGCTGGAACCTTTCTGAGGAGTGTACGCAGGTGAGTTCGTGGCGGCCTCTGCAGAATGTCTACGCTCTGCCGATGACGGTCCACTGAAGGAATTGTCCCCATTCTCACGCAGTGGACTGTCCACACTGTGCCTCTTCTGGAGAATCTTCTGCACGTTCTCGCGCGTGATGCGCGGTGAGCTGCGACTGGGCGGGCTCGCGCCTGCACTGTGGATATCGGTCGAACTGCTCACTCGTGGAAGGCCACGGTGTAGCGGCGACTCGGCACGTATGAATGGCGAAACACTCCGCGATGGTGGACGATTCAAAGGGGAGCCGCTGAACGGTGAGTTGTACGCGCCCGGTGACGCGGAGCGGGCGAGGTTGATTGGCGTGGAGAGGTGTCCGGGAAGACTATCCCTACTATGGTTCCCGTGCGCTGTAGCGAAGCCGCGGGAGATGAGACTCTCACGACTGGCGTTTCTCTGCACCATACCGAAGCTGTCACGATTGTGGCTGTCACGACGGGCGTTTCCATGCGTCATATCAAGATTTCCGCGGCTAGGAAGACTGTCCCTGCTGGCGTTTGCGTGGGTAATACCGAGGACACGGTCGATACTGTCCCTGCTTCCGTTCGGATGAAGAGTGCCCAAGACGCGACTCAAGCTCTCCTTGCTGGCGTTTCCGAGAGCCATCTCGAATCGTGGAGGCGACGTGGATGGAGTGATGGGACCGTGGCTGCTTTCTGTGCTCGAACGTGGCTCAGCCTTATCGACGTCCATTCCGAAGACAGCATCCGAGAAGGTATCCTCTGTCTTCATGGGCGCTTCGACATTTCCGCTCTCGTCTGGAGTATCGTCGTCGTCCTTGGCGCCATCTCCAAGCTGTGACGCGCCGAACGGGTCGCCGGCATCGAAGGAAGTCGCTGCAAACACTGTTAGTACACAAGTACGCGCAGGAGCCGGCAAGACTCACATGGGGTAGCTACTCCCTTCGTCACGTCAAGAGTAAAGCGCGGAATGAGACCTTCAGAACTCGGAGGGGCACTCATCCTCTGTAGTCTCGCAGGTGATGGCGATGGCGGCAGCATGCGCACGTCCTGCGCGACCTCAACCACCTCCTTCTCCTTCTGCGCCTTCATCCTTTCTGAATGTGTCGACCGTCCTAGAGGGATACGTGAGCCGGGGGACACGGATCCGATTGGCGAGCTGGGTCTGGAATGTACAGGCGTCGACATCGCTGAATTTGGTGCAGGGAACACTACAGGCTGGTGGCTGAGTGGGGACGCCGATCGTCGGTGATGGGCGTCTGCTAGCCGTTCCGCATGATGCGTCCGGCCGTAGGGCACGCCGTCCTCAGTCTCGAGTTCAGCGGGTAGGGCCTGGTCATCGTGTGGTGGGGTGAGCGGTCGCGCGTCTTCGAGCATGGAGTCAACCAGGCCGGAGATGCTGTCATCGCCGGCGTGGTGTTCGTCTTCGCCTTCAGAGTCTGCATGGTCGCCGTGCGTGTTCTGGACGCGCAGGGGACCACGGTCTGTGTCATCGTGGGTGTCGTGGTCGAGGTCGTGGTCATGGGTATTTGGGTCATCAGGACGATTGTGCGTATTATCCTGTCGATCGTGGTCTTCATTGCTATCGTCATCGTCGTCCTCGTCGTCCTCGCCGTCCTCGTCTGTCACCCAATCAAAAGGCTGCGAGCCGCTGTCCTCCTCCACATCATACTCCATGACGTCGCACGTCTCATCAAACGTTACTGTCTTCCGTCTTGCGCGCTTTGTTAGTGAGCTGCGGGGTCCATGCAAGCGGCGCGAGACGAGGGACGGCCGTGCTGGTGAGGGCGACCCGCGGTGTGGCGGCAGCGGGGAATGTCGCCCAGTCTCAAAACGCTCTTTGGGAGGAGGTGGTGGTGGGAGACTGTCCTTCTCGTCTTCTGGTGCAGAGCCATCGGCGGGTGAAGCGTCGTCTTGATTCTGTACACTGACAGATTTGAACGGACTCTTCGAGACGGGCTTCCTGTTGGTGAGACCCTGCAGCCCTTGAGATTGTCTTCGCTTGCGAAGTGCGGGATGCTCGTTCTCAGTAGACTCAGACATGGACTGTGGTCGTGGTCGCTTCTCGCCGCTGGCTTTGCGTGAGAGCATAGTTAACACAGGCGAGCTTGTGGCAGCGGCAGGTTTTGCCGGCACAGGTACGCCCGATTTGCCTAAAATCTTGAAAGGGGACTTCGAAACTCGCCCGCCCTCGATGACATGCTTCCAGCTGGTGGAATTGCGGCGAGGCAGGACGGAGCGCTGCGGTGAGCGTATCTCGGATGGAGGAAAGTCACGTTTGGTGATGCGAAGGGGAATCGTGGAGGTTGTTGCCTTGCGTTCGTCATTACTGGCCGGGGATCGTGTCGAGCTGAGGGCGCTCATCGCCTTGGGTGTTAAGCGGAGTCGTCGGGGTGACGACGAATGTCCGTGGGATGTTGAGGAGGTGGTCAAGTTGAAGTTGAACATTCACGTGAGCGCGTCACGATAGGCCCTCATGATAGACGCCCTTCGGTAAGCCCGCCCGACGTGCAGGACAAATCCGCCGCCACCGACGTCGATGTCTAGAGCGATAGCAGACTTCATTATGGCTCTATTGCGCCGATGGCAATGATGATATAAACAATACATGCATTAATATATAGAAGATCGGAACCGAGAATACAAATACACGCCGAACCGGCAACTAGTGGTACATAGATAGAGCATGGAAATATTACACTAGAATGTGGAGCGACTCAGGCATGGCCGAGATCAGTATACTGCAGTATGCTGGGCTGTCAAATACACGCTGCTGTTGCCCGTCTTTGTAGCTGCAATTCGTCCAGTGTCGGTCGGACCAAACCTGCAAAACATGTCAAGCGTCGGTCGATCGACCTAAACACAAGAATGGCATACCGAAGGAATCCCATATTTCCAAACGTATCCACGCCGTCGTCTCCGCGGGCCCCATACAAGCCTGCCAAGTGCGAGTGCTGCTCGTCTTGTCTGCTGAGGGAGCGCGCGGAATACGGCGTAGCAGGGGAAGTCGTCCGGCTCAGGCTACTGCTCGAGGAAGTGGAGCTCAAGCTGGGAGAGGGACTCGGAGCCGCAAACGGATTGTTCGATCTGCATCGTGAGAAGATCGGGCATCACCATCAAAACGCATGGTCAGCAAGGTGAGGCACACACAAGGTCGGACGCCACAAAGTCGCCGTTACTCACCCGATAGCCGTTGGCTGCGGCTGGATCGTCTGCATCTGCTGCTGTTGATATTGTAGATATTGCTGTTGACGCAAGTACTCCTCCTGCTGCGCTTGAGCGGCCATTTGTTGCTGTTGCGTCCACTCAGCCTGCTGCCGCAGATACTCCGCCTGGGAGGGAAGTCAGCCAAATGGCCTGACAGGTGATATGGAAAATACTTACCTGCAGAGCTGCGATATCCTGACCATACGTGAGTGGCACCTGGAACTGAGTGTACTGCGGCTGAATCTGTGTGTACTGAGGTTGGATAGCTGTGTATTGAGGCTGCACGGCCTGGTACTGAGTATATTGCACCTGCAGTGCAGGCGAAGGGGTGATCTGAATGTCAGATAAATCAATCAGAGGGTCGTCTTTGGGTCTTGCCACATAATCAGTCACCGCTAAGCACAAACACTTATAGGGGCCACTCACTTCTTCTCCTCTTGCTCGTTGAACAATGATGAATTTGACTGTTCGACGGCACGCCGACGCTTCTCTTCCTCTTCCTTGCTCAGCTGTAGGGCACGCTGAAGGTCTGCCTCCTCCGTGCTCTTGCGCTTCTGCTCTGCCGATCGCCGACTCTCCGCCGAAACACGCCTCCTCTCCTCGTCACGATCGGGCACATTCCGAGCTTGACTGTACGGGCTCGAGCGTTGTGAGCCATATAGCTCGTCGACATTTTGAGGACTAGGTTGGCTACCCTTGCGCCGCTTGCTCTTCAGCACATTGGGGTTGAGGATCAGATTCGTGATGTCTTTCGCCTTCTGGCGCACGTTCATCCCGCAATCGTTGGAGTTATCGTCGACATACTGGAACTCGCGGAGAGTCTTGACCTCATACAGATTATCCTCGCAGTAGCGAATGACGCTGTCCGCACCCCAGAACAGGAGATACTCCAAGACAGTCAAGGCCTAGGTGAGACATGTTCAGCCAGATCCGACACACCCGAGACAGTGGTGCGCACCTTAAATACGTGCCGCCATAGCTTACCCTTGTCGTTCAATCGCTTACTGATGACCTCCATGATCTCGACGAAATCGACGCTACAGAATCGATGCGCCATTAGCGCGCCGAAGCGGCGGAGAGGGGGCTGTCGCTAACCTGTTGTACGACAGCTCGGCAATCTCGTTCAGCTCTCGCGTAGTCGGCAGCGAGGGGTCATTCTTTGTGGCGTTCCTAACCTTGCTCTGGGTGTTGGAGTATCCCTTCGTCACCGACTTGGCTGCCCGCACGGTCTTCTTAGTGAGGTTGGCTACGACCATTGTGCTGCCTGTGAGGACGGGGGGATGGGTAGTGGTATGAAAGAGAGGAGTGATTCAGCCAGCGTTTTACTGCTGTGCCGCCTCCGAGCGTGGCCGTCCCCGGAAACACCAATGCGAAGCACGACTCGAGTTCCATACCAGTTTGGGCCACCCGCTACAGCGAAGCGCCCTGCGGCATCTTGCCGAAGTGCCCAGACCCCGCGTAGAATTCGATCGGCGCAATCGGAGCCACGTCTCGCTGCCTCGATTTGGCAAGCGATCCGAGGCGTCACCACCGGACGTCGACGACTGGCACGATGACTACGCTATGATCATGACGTGGTTCCGCTGCTGACCATAGCCTGCTGCGCATGCCGTCGCTACTGGCCAAAGGAGAGCGTTCTTAGATTTTTTTCGACTCATTGCAGGATTTCATCATGACGTCGACTGCGCCTACGCGACTGGGACCGAAGCTTGGCATTAATATTGAGCCGTATATTCACGACAGCCAGTCGCATACGGTCATATGTCGCTAATCGTAAGCAGGCTTTCGAGACGTATGTGTTCAAGGCCGTGGCGAGAGAACGGCCGTCGGAGGTGAGTAAAGCAGACGCGCACACAAATAGCTTACATACCCGGGGATCTCCTAAGTTCGTCCTGGAGCTCCGGCAAACTTGGTGGACTTATTGCTGCCATTCACCTGCATTCTCATCGAGTGCGCCCTCCGTCACTATTGTGAGCAGAAGTTCTAAACAATGCCTCGATCAATTTTAGCCTAAGATCTGACGAAGCAGACTGTAAGTATATACGCACTGTCTCGTCATCCCGGGGCACAACACGGCGTTGCGGTCTGGCCTGCGCGACGCCTAGGAGCTAGGTCCGACAACGCAAATGGCCGAGGCGTATGTTCCCGTCAACGCCTTGAGCTCCCTTCCGCGTCTTCGTTCTTAAGCGGAGACGTGCTTGGCAAGACATTCTACGAACCCAGCGCCATCGACATCGCGGCGCTGGGACTAAGATGGAGTCGTCGTCGTCGGCGTCGCTGCAACATGGAGAGAGGAAGACAAGGGTGTGAAGGCCATGAGGCACGACGATGGCAAACTTGGTATTGATCCAGCTGTCAACCACCATGCATCATTGCCGCTCACATATTATAGTACGCGACTGTGACGTGTTGATGGCTGGCGACCGACATATGCAGTGTCAACGGCGCAAGGACTGACCACGAAGAGCCGTCGTATTCGTCGTATGTCTGCAGTACACAAAGCAGTGCTAATATTATAACACTCTTGACTTCAGTTCCATTGTGAGCTGTGGGCGATGAGTAGCAAAGTTGATGTGAGCTTCGAAGTTACATGAGTGCGTCATACACATCTGTCGTAGATTCCATCACAACTCGACATTCACAAACTATCTTGTTGGCATGCTGGCAAATACTAACCCGAGAACAAGACGAGATCGGCGAGGCGGAGGTGAAGCTCGCAGAAATAGCTGATCCTCCAGGTATTCCGCGAACGTCACTTACAGCATCGACTCAGCACAGATAACAGTGCGCATCATTAACATGCGGCCTTACACAGTCCAGAAGCGCACCAGAACACGATCAGCTACTTGCCACTGTGAACGGTCAAACCCTCTACGCAAACAGCCAACCAAGCTACGTTGCATAGTTTTCACGTGGGTATTCTACAGCAAGACGATCTGAGATACATAGCAACACGACACCGCATAATTTATCACAAATGAAGCTACACACGAACGAAAGGTATACATATCCAAGACCTCCACCGGGCGGACACCCCACAGGAGAGCCGAAGAAGTCTGAGTCGCACTACCAGACCTGCTCAGTCAGCAACTGGTGAAACGCACCGCGCAAGTGAATCAGACATTGCTGCGATCGCTGGCAGGCTGCGCTCAGGCCCTGCGCGACCCGAGGTGTGTGCTGGCCAACTCCTTTTCAAGCTCCGCGCTCGGGTCCTCTGTGACAGGGCTTGCCGTGCGCTCCTCGGGCAGCGGGTACCCGCCGTTCTGCCCTGTCGAACTCTGGAGCTCCTCGCGCGTCGGGATGGGCAGGCTGCACCGTCTCGATCAGCAACCCTCGATACAGAAGAAGAGAGGGAGTAGAGGAGCGCACCTGTCTTCCCGCCGGATCTGGCCACCGCCGCGCGCCTGCTGGCGCACCTCGACACGGAAGCTCTGCACCTCCTCGATGATGAGCCGCTTCATGCCCTCGATTGAGTCCTCTTCCTCGAAGCCGAAGTCGAACGGCTACACGCCATTAGCTCTCAAGCTCGTAGGTCAGGATCGCGGCGCACTCACAGCAGGGCACACGGGCTCGTCCGCGGGGTCGTGCCAAACCTGGAGGTACGGGTGCTTGAGCGCCTGCTCGCAGGTGATGCGCTTCGCGGGGTCAAAGTTGAGCAGCTGCGAGAGCAGGTCGATCGCGAGCGGGTTCGCGCGCGGGAAGAGCGTCGAGAACGGCACGCGCGGCTTGATCGGCAGCGAGCGGATGTAGTCCTGTGCACGCGGCGAGCCGACGCGACGCAGCGTGTCTTCCGCAGGCGTGCCCAGGTAGTGCAGGATCTGGTTCAACTGGTCGACGTAGCTGGGGAAAGGTCAACAGACGGTATCTGTGTCAGAGCGGACGGTACGCACTCCCGTCCCTTGAAGATGGGCTTTCCGGAGAGGAGCTCAGCAAGAATGCATCCAACGGACCAGACATCAATCGCCGGGCCCTAGAAACGTCTCAGGGACGATAATTCCGACGGCAAAGGGAGAGAAGACGCACGTAGTTCGCGAAGCTCAACATGATCTCCGGGGCACGATACCATCGCGTCGCCACGTACTCGGTCATGAAACCCTGGTTTGCCGCGCCCCTGTTCTGGGTCGCCCCGCCGCCCGGCTGGTACCCACGCGCGAGACCAAAGTCGCAGATCTTGAGCTCGCAGTCCGCATTCACAAGTAGGTTGCCTGGCTTCAGGTCACGGTGTAGTACGTTCGCAGAATGGATGTACTTCAGGCCACATAACGTCTGGTAGATGAAGGACTGGAAGTGTGCATCTGAGAGGGGTTGTTGGGAGCGGATCTGGGGAGGGGGGACAAATGGTAAGCAAGATGTGTTCGTCGGCATGGAGATCACTCACAATCGCATGCAAGTCCGCTTCCATGAGCTCTTCCTGTGATGATGTCAGGATGAAGCGAAAGCAAAAAGGAAGAAAGCAGTACATAGAGGTAGACCTCGTCGAAATTGAAGCTGTCCGGGCGGAAGACGATGTCCATATCGTAGAGGCAAGTGATCTATTGACATTAACAGATGCCCATGCGCTCCTAGGACACTATCTCACATTCTTATGCCCTCTGAAATGGTGCAGAAGCCTGTAGAGAACGTTCAGAGGCTGTGAGAGCGTACTAGGATAAGGCACTTACTTGATCTCACGAAGGCATCGCTTTGTCAATATCCTCTGCAGTCCGGTCAATACCTCAACGGTGCAGACAGTGAAGTAAGGCGACCTTTGTGTTGATGTTCGTAATTTTCTTGATAGCGCAGCCCTCACCAGATCGTCGGTGCTTCGCGGCGACGACACAGCCGTACGCACCCTGGCCAAGCTCCTTGACGAACTGGTACTCGGAATCGACGACGAAGGTCGAGTTAAGGGCCTGGAACGAGTGTCGTTGCATCTGTGTGCTCTGCATGTCTGGGTGCTGGCGTCCGCGATGGTCAGAGTGAAGGAAGGAGATGGGCAAGCGGGAGAGCGAGATACGGTTTTGAAGAGCTGCAATGCGGATGCAGCATGAAACGCGATCGATATGAATACTTGACCGCGCACCGCCTGTCCGGTTATGGAAGGTGCAAACGGCGTGCACGAAAGGCCGGAATCAGGACTTGCAACATAACTTCGACACTGCTCTCTGTGGTCCCTGGTTCAACCCTGCGAATATTCACGCCGGTACAAGGCTCGAACAGTATTCATCGGATGATCGTGCTGATATCATGATAGCTAGCGCATGGTGGCAGACGCTGCTCATCGCAGAGAGGATGATGTCCCTGGGGCTGAATCAACGGCGTTCGGGCACTTCAGGCACTTCGACAGATCTTGATCGTTCGCTCTGCGCGTAGGAATGTCGGGAGCGATGCGGGTGGGAGTTCTCGGTGCGAAAGAAGCACTGAAGCCATGTAAGATTAGGTCTTAGCCATTTCGCTTACCACCATTAATGCAAGCTACTTACTTAGTAACACACTATTTCTTAACTCAGAAAGCGCCTATTTCCACCATCTTTGATCGCATAAACACGTGAGTTGCGACACGGACTGTCCCCGCACCATGAGCACCGAATCTGCGAACCCGACCTACATATACAAACTCATCCCTTACACCGCGCCTCCTCCAACGCCTCTCCCGCCCGCGCTTCCCGTGAGCGAGCTTGACCAGAAATCCGGGTTCATCCACCTCTCGACGGCTCTGCAGATCCCGGGCACGCTGAAACACTTCTTCACCGATGACCCCAGCGTATACATCTTGCGCATCCCTTACAGTGCCATCGAGAAGGACATCAGGTGGGAGAGCCCCGATGCGAAGGTGTGCGGGTCCCGCCCAGGCGAGAGCTTATTCCCCCACCTTTACAATGGCCTGAAGCTCGGGCGCGACGAGGTGGACAGCATGCAAGCGTGGACGAGGACCGAGGGTGGAGGGTGGGACGAAGCGTTGAAGCAGGCTCAGGAGTGGTTAGTCTTGTAATATGCTAGAATGGCGAAACGTGTCTGTTAGGGTGAGACCATGCTTTTCGTGACGTAAAACGGAGTAATCACACAGGAGAAGGGAGGCCTATTGCCTGCGACCACATGCGTAGCAGGATTCAATCTGTACAGATAAACCAGAGGTTCTGGCCCTTCCTCACAGACTTAACTGGAGTGTGTATCAAGATCTTACCATGTAGGCTCTAAGTTATCATGGTGTTGAACACATACTCTACCGCAACGCTGTTAACTACTGTACGTCAGCAAGATCCTTCAGGGGTATTGCATCGCGACTTTTGTTAGCTCTCTGGCAAAGTAACTGCCAATATCACATTCCGAATTCAAGAGGGCTAAGACCGACATGAAAGGCATCTCAGGCCCATGGGCGTCAGCACCTTGCATACCATGCGGAAGCTTACGGGTTAACCTTTCGACCTCCAAGCCGTCTCCGTCCAGCCTTGAACTAGGCACGCTTAAACTCGCGAGGAAGTTTATACGCATCATAATGTACACTATATCGCCGACGCTGTCTATTGGCAGGTAGGCTTTGTTAACTATCCTCACTTTAATGCCGATCATTGCTCAGGGTCGCATCTTTTATACTTGTAGTGAGGAAGATACTCAAGCATTTCTTCGGGGAGCCCATGCCTCAGCGCACAGGCCCTTAAAAACCACGTCCTCTGACGTTTAGAACCCTATCTCTGCGACAATCGGCTTTCTGGAGGTTCGAATTCCACAATATATCAAAAAGTGTTCTCGCGATATCACGCGTATGCCACTGATAATTTCGGTTCTGGCACTTGCGAGGGCCTTCCAGTCAGCAGCATTTCGTGCAGTCCGCGGTTGTCACACCCCTGAGACATCGCGAATCTTTGAAGCGCCCAGCCACAAAGATCTCGGGGTGCTCCGTTTGTGCTGGGAGTGGCAGGTGTAGTCTTCCCACTCATGCTTCATGTCTTTAGTCTCTTTCACTCGTTCTTGGAAGGCTCATTATCGTCGTGAAGTGCACACAGGAGCACTTTTATAGCCAATTTTGGTGATCTCGTTGCCAAAAGGGTGCGCACGACCGGGCCCCGCGGGCGTCCGGAGCTGACCACGAAGTGCTGACACATAGCCCGGCGCGAAAGATGCGATGGGGGAACGTTGACAGCTTTGGGAAGCGAACAAGGTGCGACATCCTCCTGGGATGGTGGTTATCTCGTATATAAAATTTGGTAGGCGGCGAGCCCCCCCAAAGCTCTGTCTTTCTCCCCCGACGCTCTGCCTCCTTCAGCAAATGCCCGAAAACACACACAGTCCCAGGGATTCGCTGGGGAGCACTCTTGGCAGCGGCGGCTCACAACTAAATCTTAATGCCGATGATCCTGCAATTCCGCGCAAATCGCAGCATAACTTGGCGTCGGCCACCGGAGGCAACCCAGACGAGCCCCATAGTGGACTGCCAGAGAAGGACAGAACGTCAACTATCCCGGAGTCGTTGAGGAAATCAGCGCTGGTAGACGATCAGGCGTCGCTTCCCCCGAAAGAACAAGACATAATTGTCGTAGACTGGGATGGTCCAGATGATCCCGAGAACCCAAAGAAGTACGTCGCTCGCCTTGTCGATGTTTCAGGCTGCTACTTACTCAGTCCCTTGGCAGTTGGCCGGAGAAGAAGAAGTGGGCGTCAGCAGTTTCAGTTTCGCTGTTTACGTTTATATCACCTCTGGCGTCGTCCATGATAACGCCGGCCATCTTCCAAGTCGCCGAAGACTTGCATATAACGTCGAGTATACAGATATCCCTGACGATCTCGATATATATTCTAGCTTACGGTGAGCACTTGGTGTCTTCACGTCCCTCTGGGCTCTAACGCCAATCTCGCATAGCTGTGGGCCCCTTGGTTCTTGGTCCATTAAGCGAGATCTACGGTCGCTCTCGGCTCCTTCAGCTCGCTAATCTGATATTCCTCAGTGCGTCCGATTCCTCTTCTTATACAAGCATCCGTAAGGCCGTACTTACCACGTCTTCCAGTCTTCAATCTTGTATGCGGCTTCGCCAAAACCAAGGGTCAGCTTATCGCCTTTCGCTTCCTTTCCGGAATTGGCGGCAGCGCTCCATTGTCCGTTGGTGGCGGAGTGCTCTCGGACATGTGGAACGCGGATAAGCGTGGCCGTGCCGTAGGCATATACTCTCTTGCCCCTTTGCTTGGCCCCGCTATCGCGCCTGTTGTTGGCGGTTGGATTGCCGAGAAGTCTACTTGGCACTGGGTCTTTTATAGCGTCTCAATCGCAGACGCTGTCGTCCAGCTCATAGGGATGAGGTACCTCAGTGAGAGTGAGTGTATGCGCCGTTGTTCACGCGATGCAGATGCTAACATGCCGTAGCTTATGCACCGGTGTTACTTCAATGGAAAGCAGATAAGATCAGGAAGGAGCTAGCCGGTGATACAGAGAAGGGCGATCCGAGGCTCGTCAAGACGGTGTACGAGATCCAGAAAGGCGAGATACGCATGAAAGAGTTCCTTATCCAATCTCTTTGCCGGCCATTTGCGCTCTTTTTCCAGGAGCCGATCATCCAGCTATTTGGTATCTATCTGGCCTTCGTGTACGGTACAGTCTACCGTACGTACTTTTCGTCCTCATGCATTCATTTTACTCAGAAGATATGCGCAGTGCTGTTGACTACCATTCCAACCGTCTTCACAGACGTGTACCACGAGAAGATTGGCATCGCCGGTTTACATTACATTTCCTTGGTGAGTAGAGCCAAGCCTATCTAGTCGTTCGAGCAGCACTGACGCGAAGGCGCAGGGTCTCGGCCTGACCGTGTCGGCGCAAATCGGCTCGCGCGCCCTCGACCGAGTCTATAGGCGGTACAAGGCGAAAAACAATGGTGTCGGCAAACCCGAGTATCGTCTCCGTGCGTACCTGTTCTCTGCGTAGACTCTCCTGGCTTTACTAACTTGTCTCCAGCGCCCGCCATCGTCGGCACGAGCTTTCTGCCCGTCGGCCTCCTCATGACCGGCTGGAGCGCACAGGAGCATGTGCACTGGATTGTGACCGACATCGGCTTCGCGTTCGTCGGCGTGGGAAGCGCGTCGGCGTTCCAGTGCCTGAACGCGTATATCATCGACTCTTTCCCCAGGTACGCCGCGAGCGCACTCGCCTCCGTGACGTGCCTGCGGTCGCTCGCGGGCTTCGGCTTCCCGCTGTTCGCGCCGTACATGTACAAGGCGCTCGGCTTTGGAAAGGGCGATACCATCCTTGCCGCGTTCTGCCTCGTCGTCGGTAGCCCCGCGCTGATCCTCTTCTGGATTTATGGGGAGCGCATCCGAGGAATGAGCCGTAGGGCAACTACGGCACCCCCAGCTATACCCAAAGCGTAGATGGATTTTAGCATGGACTACTTTATAGCTGCCGTAATTTCCTTTAAATGTACTGGACAGCGCCTCCCGCGGATATTATATTGTTAACTATCTCTGCTGCTATTCTCTTCGTTGCATAGAACACACACCTTCATTGTATATCGACGTCTTTGTGACTTTACAACGCAATACATTTCGTGTCTACGCCCAAACCGGCCACACTGGAAAAATTCAAGGCATACCTTCCGTGCTTCACACAGGAATGCTGCTCTCGAAAGTTTCCTGAACAAGCAATACGCCATCACATCTGACTACGGATAGCTAAATGCACCGCAGAGCTGGCTGGACGAGTCCAAGAGTGAGACATCCTCGGAAGATCGTGATGTGCCGCAGGTAGAGCTAGACAGCCTAGGAAGGCGGCCAAACAGCTGCAAAAGGTGTGCAACAATTACAAGCTCCTCGATGGACGCATGCAGGTGCAGGCAACCGCTGCGGCGGCGTGACCAGTTTCCGATACCCCTAGAACCGGGTTTATGGACCGAACTGTGCACGCCCAAAGTGAATAAAATCTACAGCTCCCGGGCCTACTGCATCAGAGCACATTTCGCGACTCCCTCGATGCTGCGTTCCGCTCGACACTCGACCTCACCGGTACCTGGCTTGTACATTATCATATTATTTGACACGCCACTCGACTCGCTGTTGATCGCGTCCCCCGCACCTATGATGTGTGAGGCTCCCAAGGCACGAACAATATTCTCGCAGCTACACACCCCAAACCCACGAGCGTCGCTAAAAATTTTAGATTCCCCGCTCTTGAAGGTGCATAGAACAATTCTGTATATAGTTTAATGCTTAGAAAATTACCCCTCTCCATCTATATGCTGCCGGAAAGCCATCCAGTCCTTGGACGCTTCTGATCGTCCAAAAGCGGCCATGCGACATCTACCATCCACTCTCCCCATAACCTAAGCTTCTGGCCTTCACACAATTCAAGGCCATCTTCATCCAATCCCGTTCCAGATTTCAATCAAGCGGAGACGCGACACACAGGACCACTCTAGCTAGGGGGCAGAGGTATGTCATTGGCTGTTACCCTCTCACTACATCATCAGGAAACAGGACTTGGGCCCATAGTGCTCCAAAATGCTCCTGTAGCACTCTGTAGCATTGTGGACCTAAGTTGTTTTCCTGATGATCGCCTCTGTGTATCTCCCCACCCGAATCACGATCCCACAGGTGATATACATGACACGGAGCTGCAGATACATGTGTTGATAAGTGCAAGAACTCTGCGGCTGTCATGGATGGGATCTTCTTGGGCGTACGAGCTCTGCTCACCCTGAACACGGAAATCGGCAATGGGCGCTTGACGCCCATATCCACGTTCGCGGGTATTGGCTTAGGGTTAGATGTACAAGCAGAGCACATGCAGCTCAAGTTTACAGGGCATCCTACAGGTGCACATAGCATGTAATGAACTGCGCCATCAGTATTGATGTTGATGACGCAAACATCCTTGTTTCGGTCGCTATTGTCCTGAACCAGTTGACTAGCTGAGTAAGACGGCAGGCAACCTAGCTTTAATGTCATAACCAGTGCGAGGCTGGATATGCCCTTAAATAAAAAACAACATTGAGCACAAGCCGATGTTACATAGCACAATGCTACATACCGTGCTAGGTGAGCCAGTAGCAACGGATGTATAGCCTTTTACGACAGCGCTAGCGAAACGCCAGAAGCCAGCGTCTAGAAAGCTCTCCGGACTGGCTGCGGCAAAAGCCGGCAAGCGGCGCCACTCTATATAGTCTAGCTGCCACTGCCATTGGCGCCCTGAGACATCCTCCCGCGAGCACGATGAGCCTCGCACGTACGCAAACAATAAACCGCGCTTTTGGCGTCAGGTGCAGTAAGCGCACGAGCTAGCCTTGCGATCCCGCTAGTCTCATGTCATGCGATCCAGCGTTCCGTGCGATGCAGTTCGCAAAAGTCCTACGGAAAGTGCCAAAGTCGCGGTCGCAAACACGTTGACAAATTCCTAATAGCACAGACTTGAGCGGCTGTCATCGTGTCCAGTGCTGAGCGCGGACCACGAGCCGCACGCGAAGCTCACGACCACGACACGACCTCTATATCCTTACGATGGTCGGCACAATTCTAAGCACAAGGAACTTGCTCTCTGAATGGCCATAAATGGCGCGATACACGAGAAATTTACGATGGACACCCTCTCAGGGTAGCATCAGTCTCACCTAGGGTGCACATTGCGCATCTTCCTTACGAGGGACGCGACGAGGCAACCGCACGGTCTAGCGTCTGCTGCGCGATGCAAGGACACTTTGTTCCCCATTGGCAAAACCGCCCGGGCCCTGAAACACCCTGACGAAGGCTCGTCAGGTCGCGTCAGATCTATACATACAGTATGTTCCAGGGCGCTCACGGCGTCTAGAGTTAGCTCATGCGATTGCGCCCCTCAGATGCTGGCCCGCGCATCCTCTCAGTAAGGTATGCCTCGTGTAATACCGACCGCTCCACGTGGCAAATAATCTCACATTTTGGGGCGCCCTGGATGCATTTTGGCGGGGAAAGAGTGACGGAAACAGAAAGATGGGCAAACTCCTCTCTGGAAGAAAATCGTAAAATAAAAAGGCTCCCGATATGTTGAAGCTAGGAGGGCTGCACATTAAAGGCCGGGAATACTTTTACAAAAATGAAGTTCTGGGGAGAAGAGTGTCAAAGTTGAAAGCTTTCATTGCATTTCTTGCACTTCCATGACGTTCAGCGCAGTTAGCAGAGCAATGCCACACGTCTGACAACAGTCACATCTGTCATTTGAAAGTCACCGGCGGGTCACGTCTGGTCGGCATTGCACGAGACGTACCTTAGTGTTCAGTCACGGTGTTTACTACGCTGGCAGCATTGTTCTTTTCGGTCCACAAATTGGCCTCTCCTCAACCACCTCTCGAAGCGCGTCATTTCGGCACGAGGCGGTGATGGAATGAGTATCCGCAGCAAAGCATGGTCTTGGTTAGATGTAACCGATGGGCTAATGGGATCATGCTCATTGACTCTATTATTCAGGCTCGCCATTTTCTTAGGATATGAGAAAGGATTAAAATAGTCATGAACATATTCCGGTACAATCTACTGTTTTATTCTATTATTTATCTTGCTACGGGCCAAGCTCGAACCTTGACATCTGAGCGGCTGAGCTGAGAGACGCTGAACGCCCTGAGAGTCCAGTGAGCGCTTCCAGGACTTGGCCGAGTGGCGTACACAGCATTGGAAGCGCATGTATACCTGACGTATACCCACCGTAGCACTTCCAACTAAGAGAGCGTCAGGCGTCCGCCATAATATTTGCCCTACTGGAGCTGGAGCTTGGGAAGCTTTCCACACAGGTCTGATGCCGACCTACTACATAAACTCCGGGGACTGCGAGGGGAGACAAGTGGGTAGTCCATTCCCTTCTTTCTCTGCTCGTCCCTGGTATGGCGTACCAAGTGTCGACCCAACGCATTGGTCGCCATGCACACGATCCCCGCAGTCCCCGACAAGACTCGTACATTCCGGACGAGAGTGCATTTAACGGCTCGCAGGTCGCAGGTAAGGTCCGCGAACCCCCGGCGCTCCAAGCGTCCGATCTAGCCCTGATCACTGCCCCCTCTTAGCGCTGACGAAGCCAAAGGCATTCGGCGCAGGAGCATACAGTCACGGCAGCAGGATCGCTGCATGGACATACTCGCTCGTGGTGGCTTGTTGCACGCTCGCGTACTGCAGAGGTCTCCTCATGTCCGTCCCGTCCTTTCCCTTCTTCTCCCATGCCATCGACGACTTCAATGCGAAGGCCAAGTTGGGCACTCGACCACCTGCCAAGCTCGAGAGCGATTGGCAGAAATTCATCGATCGCATGTTGAAGAGCTGGGACGATATTACAAGCCAATGTGAATGGATAGTATTGTGCGTCGCCTGTGTTACTCCCTGCTTCTATGCTCAACGGACTGCAATGATAGTGCATGCGCCTTCGTCGAGCGCCACATACAGCCTGTGGCGGGTCCGTCATTCGCCGTCGCGACAACGTTCTCATACGCAACATATATATGTGGTGGTGCCGCCCTCGTGCTGTGTATGACGATGAAGAGACACATCGAGTTCATCCGTCGAAATCAAGAGTCTCTATGGAACTGGCACTCAGTCACTGAACACAACACTGAATCCCCATTCATTGCGACATCTGCATTGCTTGCGGCTCCCATAGCATGGAGAAATTGGTCAGTATCAAGATTGCATAGTACCTCTAAGCGTGCACGTATGTCTGACGATTCCCTCTACCAGGTCTTATGTCTTTTTCGGGATGTTCGCGATTAGTCTCCTGTGGTGCCTGTTATCGTCCGGAAACATGTCCGCACACGCGGAACACGCCATACTTGACCTGCGGAGCAAGATTCCCATGCCTGAAGTGAATGCAGGGTTGCCATCGGCAAATGCTCAAGGCGTGCCTGCCTCTACTCTTGCCCGTGTCCTCATCATTATCATCAGTGTGATTGGGCTCTTGCATACGGCATTCGTCTTGGTACATTTCTATCAGCTTGGCTATCCTCCTCCGCGTGCGACAAGGACACGTGCGAAAAAAGCTGATTCTCGGTCGCGCCCTCGTCACTCGGAAGGGTCCGGCTATGAGGAACCCGAAGACCACGTCTCTGTGAGTAGCCACAACGTCGTCAGCCAGTTAGCTTGCCTCTGACAAGCGCATTAGATCTCTTCTATGGCGTGATTGCCCATGCCGGTGAAATATCTTGCCCAGAGCTGGGCATGTCCCTATGTCTTCCGCATAGACAACGTTAGCTCTCAGTACTCATCCTTTTGTCGCAGTATCTCTAGTCTTCGTACGCAGACCTGTTCACTCTTCGCATCGTCATCATATTTCCTGTACGGTAATCATGTCCTCTGCATCGCCGTTATGCTCTCTTTTATTATCATAGTGTTATAGTAGATCCAGTTCCGTAGATATTTTAGAGGAGCTCCTGCGCACGCAGACTGGTATTGTTTTATCATAGTAGAGATTACGCTAGTCAACGAAGGCTCCGACTAAGTTCTTAATATGCTACCCGCACCGGTGTATTCCTCCATAAACCTCGTGCTGATATACTGGCGGTGAAAGCTTTCGACTGTAATATAGATCTTAATCGTTAGATCAAGGTTGATCAAGTAGCTTGGATAAACGTAAAGAATCAATGTCGTAACAGAAACAAGCCCCTTGTCACTGCTAATGAGGATCGGCGATCCTTGCGCATACAATATCTCCTCGTCATCGTCCACAGCGAGCATCCCCAGGCTCCGGTTTATACCCATCCTCGCCGTTTAGCTTCTTCGGCGGGCTCCTCGAGGGCTTCCTGCGCCTGCCTGAACCATTTTGTGCAGGCTCTACATGGAGCACGCACGCCACTCCTCGAGTGGAAACGCAAACATGAATACGCTCACGGTTTGCGTCAGGAGGCTTCGGCGGTATACCGCCGCCCGGCCGTACTCCGCGGGTGCCTGTGTCGCGGAAAGATCGCTTGCGAAGTCGGCGTCGCTATACGCGTTCGCATCCTTGAGTGCACCGTCCTCGGCTTCGCCCCCCGGGTGTGCGGCCTCCATGTCTAGCCACAGGTTTTCTTGTGGTCAGCGGATTTGCGCTCTTTGGATTTTGGAGAGCGTGCGGGTCGGTGTGCGTCCGAGTACGGCTGCGGGGCACTGGCGGTGACTTCCGGCGTTGAGCGCGCACGCAGCCCCCATTGGTGTGTCAGAAGGTGTGTCTTGAGCGGTGGAGGGTCAACTTACACGCGTTTCTTCGTTCGCGCATGGCCGCGGATCGCAATTGAAGGTGGCAACCGGAGGGCCATTAGATGAGGGGTGCTGCTGAGGACGCCCAGGCCGGCTTCGATGTCGGGCGTTGGATCTGGCGGTGGTGATGGGTGTAATGCGAAGCTGATGGGCAGGGCCAGGGGCCGCACCTACAGGTTTGATTTTGGCGGACGGTTTCGCAGGCGGGATTACGATGTTTCGCGCTAGTCTATCACTATCATGATCGACCGCGAATATGTTTTGCTGAGTAGGCGGAGACGTGAATTTAGCGAGTACAAAAAGCAACAAAGCAGTTTTAATCCCTGAACTGCTGTTAAACACAACCCGCGGTAGGTCTCTCGCTGAGACATGACCGGAAGCTGGCGAGGGGCACTCCGATGCAAGCGGCCCTCGCCTTGGTTGCTGCATATGTTCCTTGGGGCAGGGATGCTTGAGCTGTGGCGGAAACTAAATCAGGGAAAAGACTTAGGTCCGCAATGCTACAGAGTGCTACAGGAGCATTTTGGAGCACTATGGACCCAAGTCCTGTTTCCTGATGTATAGCTAGAGAAAATGAGAGGGATCAACGGCACCTGACTCATAGTAGAGCCTGCAGGCATTGCGGCTGTGATCGCCGTTGACTCTGAGCACAGGACACTACCAGTGCTGCAGCTTCCTTGAAGGAAAACTTCAAGAAATCAATGGCTTAAATGTAAGCATAAGAACCATAAACATACTATGTATTCTATCTTTACACAGCCCGATTGATGCCGCAGACCTGTCCCGTTGCCCTTCAAAGTGACATTGGCCGCAAGTGCAGCTCGTATTTTGCCCAAACGTCCGTGCCACGGCAGGTCTACCGTCGGTGTCGCCGTCGGTGTCGCCCGCTGGGCCCCTCTGGCCGCGGGCTAAGCGCGCTGCTTATGTTAGGCGCTACAGAGGCGTCCCACGAAAGGACTCCGCCGCTTGCGAAGCCGGCGTCGCTGTGCGCGTTCGCGTCCTTGGGCGGCACACCGCGGAAATTATAGTTAGAGAGAATGAGAGGTATCATACGACACCTGACTCATAGTAGAGCCTACAGGCATTGCGGTTGAGCTCGTCGACTCTGGGCATTGGACGCTAGTCACCTCGCTGTCCCGTCACTCTGTGTCAGGATTCCTCCACAGGGCAGGCTTGCCTGTGCCTGCAACGACTAGCTAGTGATGTGCGGGCCGGGCCTCAAAGCCCGCGAGCCCGCCAAGCCCGGCCCAAAAAGCCTGACCCGAGCCAAGCCTGGCAGCGGGCTCAAGGCCGGGCTCGGAGCATAGTCAAGCCCAAGCCCGGCCCGGAAGCCCAGGCTTGGGTGTACCGGCTCTGTTACTGTTCCCTGAGTTCAGGATAAGGTGGGAGAGATGTAAGATATACATACCAGACATAATATTGATATTTTAGACTCGACGGTTCCCGCCGAGCACGATTGTGCATCACCGTTTGGTGCCTGCCGTAGGCGCGCGCTCGTGGGCTTCGCTGCGACTCGACTTATTCCCCGAGTGTACATCTTCTGGAGGCTGAATTCAGTGAGTACACGCAGTAATAATCTACTACATCCAAATATACTCCCTTTTCATAGCACCATAATATTCATTGTATTGTGAGCAAGCCCGGGCTTAAGCCTGCGGCTTGGGCCGGGCTCGGGCTCGGCTCGGGCTCAGGGCTCGGCTCGACGCTGCCACAAGCCCAAGCCCGGGCTTTGAGCCCAAGCCGGGCCCGCACATCACTACGACTAGCGTCCCCAAGAATGCCGTCGCCGCGCGCACTAGTGCTGCAGCTTCCTTGAAGGAAGACTTCAAGAAATTAGTGGTTCAAATGTAAGCATAAGAACCATAAACATACTATGTATTCTACCTCTACACAACCCTATTGATGCCGCAGACTCGGACCTGTCCCGTTGCCCTTCAAAGTGACATCGGCCGTGAGTGCAGCTCGGATTTGGCCCAAGCGTCCGTGGCACGCGCTGCTTATGTTAGGCGCGACTGAGGCGTCCCAAAAGAAGCCACCGATGATCCCAAAAGAACAGCCACCGAAGCTCAACGATCAAAAGTATGCCGAAGCTCAGCACTCAAAAGAATAGCCACCGAAGCTCATGATCAGCACTCACGTGACCAGTGAACATCACATCTACCCGGGTTGACTCAAACCTACTCCGCTCGACTCCGTAGACCACGGTAGGTGTATTGGACTGTGAGGCACCCCCATCTACGCAATTTTCTCATCTTCGTAAATTGTGGTACACCCAGATATACTGCTATCTACATTTACACACACCCAGGTCGTCTCTCCTCTACTTCCCATACAGTAGCACACCGTTTGCAGTACATACCCATAAATACCCGCATCCACGCAGCTCTCTTCACCTAGCCGCTCGTATCTGCACGGTGATTTTCAGCTATTTAGCGCGAGACAATGTGAATGCGAATAGACCTACCGTTTCTGACTTTACGCCGTGCTCGCCGCCGTCCGATTCAGCTAACGCTTCTGCACTGCTGTTAGTATGCCAAGTAACTCCCCTACAAATCTGTACACTCACCGCCTTGGCTGCAAGATTATTGAATTTCTATGAGCATGTGCACAATGAATTAGAAACTGCCATCATCCACAGATATCATGTAACGCACCCTTTTCTCTCTCTCGGTGAGGCCCTTCCAATAGGCCTCAAAGGCAGCCAAGTCCTCTTGGCAGTCAGGGTGCTCGGCCTTCCAAGTGTCACAACAGTAAGTCCTGTCAGTAGGATTTTGACAGGGTTAACCAGCTGACGTCCACATGGTGAAACAAGGTACGTACTTCCCAGTGATCTTCATTGCAGCTCCCTGAGCTGCAGTGTTCCCTTGGCGACCTGGTCATCAGAGCGCGCAGCCTCTTCAGTTGGAGCAGAGCTGATGGGGGCTGTAATAGGCAGAGCAGAGCCTTCGGTCATCGTCTCTGTTACATTAATATTCTCAGGCACACTTGATCCTGCCGTTTCCTCGCTGACCTGACCACCTTCGGGATCAAACGTGACTCTACTTCCAGTGACGTCCTGGTCTGAAAGATTCTCGGGCAGATCATCTGTTGTGGGCTGCGTTGTGGCAAGACTGCAACCACCCGCTGTATTGTTAGTCTTAAGTGATGTGACGGTGCGTAGGCTTACATTGGATTGGCTATGATGATCCTTCTCCCAATCTTGGGCTTCTTCGCTGCGCATCGGTCTTTGGCACTTGTGGAAGCGGCTCTCTTCTGTGTGGTATCAGGCAAAGGAGCCATCACTGGGTCCATGTTCTCGACGTCAGCTGCCAGTTCGGGCTTGCCAGGGCTGCAGCTGGGATCACCGTTGGCATGATCATCCTTGATTTCGCTGACGATTTGCTGAGGCTCCTCCTTGATGCGGCAGACAGGTGCTGGCCATGCAGCAGGCCACGGATGATGCTGGCGGTAGTGGGAATATCGTTTGATAGCGATCTGATTGGCCTTCCAGTCATCAGCGCAGTACTCAATATCAGGATGAGCCTTGTACAGTGCACTAAAGACTCCTTTGCGATGGCAGTCTAGAGCGTGACCCTGCCATGTTGCCGGCGGCGCAACCTCGTGAGAGCTGTCAAGGTCAAGAAATGCGCGCTTCATGGTTTTGCAAACCACAGCAATTTCCCCTATAGTGTATGGCACACCCTGGTCGTTTTCTAGGAATCGGAGCTTCTTATAGGACTTCTGACGTGGTGTCTCTTCTCGCATGGGGTCGCTTTGGCCCGGTTGTCCGTCTTGCTGCTTGTACATGTTCTTGCACCAGAAACGGACCTTCGGATACTTCTCACGCAAGGGTTTGATGTTCTCCTTAGGTCCAGGGACTCCCATAGCAGTTCGCATACTGGCACTTTGGATCACGACATCCACCCGCGAGCTCCGTGCGAGATCTCAGTCTACTAGCTAATATTGGACATAAACCAAACTTACGAGAGCATGTTTACAGCCTCATACAGCTTCTCAATGTGGTTCCTGGAAATCGTGCCTGGGTCAGGTGAGGTGCACAGCTATGTACGATCAAGATACACGCACCCAAAAACCTCCATCTCCTCCCGTACATGCTGAACAATATTAAACAGAGGCATCAGACCCAAATCAGAGCTGTTCGTCATTGTGCCAACGATATGCGTGTTTACGGCTGATATGTTTGAAGCCTCCTTGGCTGATAGCTGCAGGAACAGTGCATTAGCTATGCATACACACTCAGCAACAAATGCCACGCACTGGAACCTCAAAGGTCTCCCAGTCACCTGTGTATGCATTGGCAGTCATGTTGATGGACATATCTAGACTTGACGTGTCTTCCAAAAGGCCTGTACCTGTTTTCGTCAGTTCTCCCCTTGGTAGTCATCACTATGTTGAAATTTACCTAACGACACGTCACCTCCAGCCATCTCTTGCATCATATGTGCTTCTGCTCCACTTTGAAGGATTCCCTCCATTGCCTGAGCGTTCTATGGTAAGAAGATGCCAGATAGATGTGCTTGACGATCACAGTAGCAATGCAGGAGAGCAGGGTAGCAGAATGGGGGTGTCGGTCGCTGTGATGAGAGCCTTATATATGCGATTGAGCGGAAGTAAATGGGTACACCACCGTGCACGTAGATTTACTCACATCTACCCATATTCTGGACTTATAAAGGACTGTGTTTTGCAGAGACATGGTTTACTTACAACTACCACCATGGACCATGACCATGACCAGCACGCTGCCACTTCTAGTCAACCTGACCGATGCGTGCGGTTGATCCGGCGCTCAGTCGGACAGCAAGCTGCACGTCACGACGACCCATTGCCTTACCAGTATCCACTCACATACTGCCAGAAGATCACTCAAGAAGTTGTTCGCACCAAACTGGCCCTGCATCTCCTGCTCCAATTGCGTACCGAAGCCTTCGAAGAAGAGCGCGCTTGCGCACGCCGCGCCGCTCAGCAGCCTGCAGCTACAAGTAGCTCTGTATCAGACCGAGCACCAGTTGTGTCAGTAAGTAACAGCATTGTACATACGTTCATAGTTGTTTACATACTAACCTGCCTCAGGATGACCCGGGCTCAAACAATGATCACGCCAATTGAAGCATAGGCTTGCTGGCTGGAGAGGGACTGGTTTTTATATATTTATGCATGCTCAGAGAGTTTACAAGAGTTGTTGTATTTGCCACCCAAGGGCAGCAATCAGCACGCAACAACATTTTGGTGTCCAATTCTATGCTAAGACTATCATGCTAAGACTACTTCGGCGACGGGGATCTTCCTGCTCGTGCAAAGAGCAGCGTCCTCACGTCGACGCTGAACTACACGTCGAAGCCCCCGTGCCTGCCAGGGTGGCGCGCACGGCTGCAAGCATCGCAGCCTGGTCGGAGCTCATGTTGAAGTTTGGGTCGATGAGCAGAAACACGTCGGCGACACGACCGCGGTGTTGATCGTCACAAAGTGCCCCATTGCTGGCTATGCAAGCACCGTTGCCGCGGGGCCGTCTGCCCAGAGCAGCTTGTAGTGCGCCGAGCCCAGCCTGGCCACAGGGTCTGGCACGCGCGTGAAGATGCTGTCTCTTGCTGGGAGCTGTAGGAACGCGACGGCATTCGCGGGCGTGTTGCCGAACAGGCCCGTCTTGTTCGCTGTTCACTGCGCGAGATCCCCAATGGAGAACGTTGCCAGCAGAGAACGTTCCGTGTTGTTCGAGTTCACGACGACGTAGTCGGAGGCTGCGGCATACTGAGCAACGGAGTACAAATAGGTAAATAGCTAAGTCTGCTTACTAGAGGTCTTAGGCGCGAACTCGATTTGCTTAAAGACCGGCGTCCCTGCGCGGGAGGAGTAACGTTGCGGGGTGTGCGCACGGCGGAGTGCGGAGAAGCCGCGACGATCCTCATAGCGCAGGTGGACGCCATCGTGTGCTCTTCTAGCAGAGTGCCCGCGCCATCATGTGCGATGCCAAACTTGATAAGCCAGCAGCCGATGACAACGCTGGCGCGGCCAATGCCACCGCGGCAGTGGACGGCACAGATGCGCTCGCGGCGCTCATTGTCACGGAGCACGGCAAGGCCGCGGAGCACAGTAAGGATGCGGCACACGAGGTCGACACTCTTGGGCAGACTGCGGTCGCGGATAGGCAAGTTGTGGTACACGACCTTGCGCAGGTCGATGTCGAGCAGCACGCAGCGAGGTGCAAGTAGTATGGGACGAGCTCGTGACAGCGAGGAGTAGGTAGTACAGGAAGAGTTCGTGTGGGTCAGTGAGTTCGATGAAGGTGCGCACGCCGGCGGCAAGGAGTGTGTCGAGCAAGACGAGGGTGTGCCTCTGGGGCGCCTGCGGTGACGATGGGCTTGGGCGACGGATAGATCGCCGCGGCGTATGTTGGCTCGATGTCCGCGTGCGGCTTCGTGAGCAGCACCGGTGACAGCGAGGGTGACGTTGAGTGGCCCGAGTCCAAGGGGGACACCTTCCTGTGCGACCGATGGTGGTTGCGCGGCGTTGCATGTGCGGTGGTGGATGCGCAGGGCGAAGCATGCGGGCGCGACGATGGACGGTGCGTTGAGCTTCTGCTTCGTCCTCTTGCGCGTCGTGTTGGCAACTACAAAGGTTTGTTGTAGGTGGCGGTCATGCCTTGCATTGCAGTGGAGGAGGAACGATGGGGAGTGTGCGCACGGCGCAGTGCGGAGCAAGACTGCGACGATGTGTCCTGCAGCACAATCATCATGAATAAAGTCCGTTACTGACTATGGAAGTACAACGCACCTTGGTTTGATGTAGCTGGTCTCCATCGTGGTGCGTGCAGTTGGGTGCTGTCAGCGTGCGTATGGTAGCACAACAGTGGAGGCATCATGAGAGAGCCCACGCTACTGGCATGCTTGCAGCCATGGAAGTGCGACATAACCACGAAAATACCAATGACATGGTGGAGGAAGTGAACGATGTGCTAGCTGGTAGAAAGCGCTTATAAGCGCCGCACACTCTGAGAGGCGCCTGTCGTAGATATCTGGTGCGAAGTGAACAATGTGCAGTCTGCACCTCGAATTGAGGAGTATAAAAATGTAATACATGATATTAGTGAAGCACAGTGAGCTAGCTATTCGTCCTCATTATCAAGCTCCTCATCTTGCTCATATAATGTAATAGAATCGACCCCGAGCTTCTTCATAACAAATACTCTACCTATAAGCTCGTCGTGGCCAGCTCGATGAGGATGTGGAATCATCGCGACAACGGCTGATATTGTCTTGACACTTACAACCAGGATATCATCACCACCACTTGCCTTGCATGACCACACAGTCTCGTATGACTTGGTCAGCAGCTGGTGGTCAGGATGTGTGTATCTTGACACAAGTGCAAATGCTCGTGATGGTTGGCCTGGCTCTACTTCCATTTGAAAGAAGAATCGAACCTCGCCATATTCAATCTCGCTATTGTGGGAAAACTAGAGCAAATACACAGTAAAAATACGGCTGACTCGGATGCAGAAGGAGACACAACATACCTTCACATTCCAAGATGTTCGGAGAGCCTCAAGAGTTTTGAGAGACTCTTTCCACAGCGAGCAAGCGTTCTGCCCACTGGGAAGAACACAACGTACCTTCACATTCCAAGATGTTCAGAGAGCCTCAAGAGTTTTGAGAGACTCTTTCCACAGCGAGCAAGCGTTCTGCCCACTGGGAAGATGCAGACGAGCCCATCGTGCAATCTTTGGCTGTTGCAACCAAGCGTCTGTTGCAGGAATACCATGAGCATGGACAAAGCGCCGCAAGGCGACGGCTTCTGCATGTGAAACAGCCCGTTGGCTCTTCTCGGCTGCACGCAAGAGAATATAGCCATTGCCAAAAATGACTGCACCACACGGTATGGTGGGATCAGGGGCGAACGCAGAGTACATGGCTTTGAGAGCATTGAATTGGCAGCGGCAGAGGGCGATCTGCTGTAAGTTGGCGTATACGTTGGAGTGCTGGCAGATGTCCTGACCGAGATTGCCAATTGTACGCTCCATAGCCGCCTGGTTCAAGTTTGTGTTGGGGCCACGCCGAAGGGTTTCGGGACTGGTATGAACTGGACCGTAGGTGCTAGGATGTGCGAAATGGAGCCGTGATGTCTTGTGTTGGCAGTAGAGGGTCTCAAAGTCTTGTGACCAGCTGAGGAGAAGCTTGTGACCAGCTGCAACATCAGTTTGAGTTATTCGGTGTTGGTGTAGAATGTGCATTCCACGAACGAGCTTGCAGAGGTGACGCCAGTACTTCTCCGGAAGGAGACCGTACAGCAAAGCAGGCGCAAGGCCATAAAGATAATGCTGAAACTCGATAGCTTTGTAGCCACTGTTGAGTTTCTCTGCAATGTTGCGTGGTGGACGATCAAAGGACCCAGGAAGATACGGTCGAGTGGCTGCAACTTCCTTGCTGTGTTGCTCCCAAAGTGGAACATTGCAAAAAATGGCCCAGTCCCAAGTGTCTTTACTATCCTGGCTATCACAGTCGATAGTTCCCCGGCAGAGGGAAAGGTACAAATCAGGTATGTTGAGAGACGCGAGATGGAACAGGTCACTCTGAAAGCAACCTGGAACGCCAAGAGTACGGTGTCATGGGAAGCCGCTTACAATACTGGGCTTGGAAATGCCTGTCTCAAGGCGAATGCGTTCGTAGGCAGCCTGAGACCGTGAACCTGAAAGAAGCTGCTGCAGATTGTTGTTGTATCGGTGAGTCTTCTCTGCATATGTCTCGTTAATAATGACGCCAACATTGACATCAGGATGATCAGAATTGTTGATGCAATGATTGTGTGGAAGTTGAGTTGCCTGAAAGTAGTGGCCACTCCTATCTTTGCGCCGTCCAGGAAAAGGCAGTAGAGCCGACAGCCAAAGCGACCATGGTGTCCAACAAGGCCTGTCATCTGCGTCATGCCAATTTGATCTGCTCCGAAGGCAATGATATATGGGTCTGAGCGAAAGAGCCGCTGCGTAGCACCATTCCAAACCGCGAGGCCTTCTTTCATAAGGGCGGCAAGATGGCGGAAGCCTGGAAACAAAATTGAGTTGATATTCTTCAGCTTGTTGGGGCCAGGAATGACGCCGCCAACATAGACGTTCTGCTTCTTGTAGTGGGTATCAGGGCTGCGGTCTATGAGAACCCAGATGTATATCCAAACATCAGATGTCTTGTTGCGATAAAGCTGTGCACTATCGAGCGAGAGCATAAGAACCGTGTTGTCTTCACCAATGAACCCATTGAGGGCAGCTTCGAGATAGTCCGTGCCGTGTATATAGTCGTCAAGCTCAGGAGGAGAGAACTCGAAGTTGCCGTCTTGGTGTTCAGCCTGCCGCGTTATCTCCTTCATGATCTTGGCAGTACAACGTGCACGATAGCTCATACCCTCTGCACCAACGGAAGAGCGCCACATTGCTTGAATAGCAGGTCCCATACAATTTGTAAGGAAACGCTTGACAGGAACTTTCTTGCCGGAGCGTGCATGTTCAGCTTGGTCGTAGCGATGCTTTGAGCACATCGGGCACTGCTCAAGGTCTTCAAACGGCCCTGTGAAGCCGACACAGCTGTCGAAGCACATGTCATGATAGACAGGAACAATACCACTAAGCTCTTCAATGCGGCGCTTGACTGCATCAAATGAAAGCATCTCGCAGCTTGGATCAAAGCGCAAGATAGCGTCACGAATAATATTGTAGTGGCGTTGCGAAGCATTCTCGAGGCCCAAGTAAACTTCGATCGAAAGGTGCTCGGTAGCGTCTTCGAGCTCTAAAGCCTCTTGTGGAGGATGGCGAAGGCGTTCTATGACAGCAGGCGATAGGTCAGTTTCGAGGGCAGCATCTTGAAGAGCTGTAATAAACTGCTGCGCAGTTTCAAGATCTTTGATGCGGTGGCTCATAGTGAACACAGGCTCGTTGAGCTCAGAAGGCCTGTGAGGTTTGTCTTCTTCATCTTCTTCATCCTCTTCAGCTAGCACATGGTCAATGTAGCTTCCATGATCAGGCCGCCGAGCATCTGGTAGCATCAACTCAGGCTGTCCGGAAGTAGAGTCGGCCTCATCATCGTCATCCAGCTCAGGCTGAGACTCCTCCCAGGGTCGCGATGGTGGCACAGAAAAGTTGTGCTCTTCAGGTTGTGCAGATGGTCGAAGTAATGGAGTGAGGGGACGATCATGTTCAGGTGTAAGAGATCGGCAGAACTCAAGCTGATTGAGCTAAGAAAGCCAGCAAGGTGAGCACGTTACAATGGATTGAAGGGCAAATACATACCAGGTCCATCTCCACATTGACATCTTCTGCCTCTTCACTAGGATCCTCCCCAGGAGAAGGTCACGTGCGCTTTACAGGACTCGCCTGTCCACCTTGGACAGGCTGCTTGGGTTCTAGAGATTCGGAAGGATCCCGTGCACGTTTTGCTGTAGTAGCCTCTGCTGCAGCTAAATATGCCCTTTCTTCTTTGTCCAGGAGGGCTTGGTGGAGGTGGTAGGTGGATTTTGGCAACCATGTCGCCTGTTTGCAATGTATCTTGCAGTTACAAAGGTATTCGCGGCGGCCGGCTTCATTTATTCGCCACATAACACACGAGTAAGAGTTGGGGAAGTCAAAGTAATGATATTAGAGGGTGTATTACACGAAGAAGGTGCGCGGTCTGGAGAGAACAACGTCGTGAATAAAGATATAGCAGTTTGGGGCAGGGACGCGTGAGAGAAATGTTGCAAGCGCCGAAGGGCACTGACCGTCCCAAAGGTGCACAAGTGTTGATAATTGTAACGACAACAGAATAGAAATGTGGGAGAACAAAGTAGATACAGGTATATGGTCAAAGACAAGAAAACAGCAAAAGGCAAAAACTGAGATCAGAGGGCGAAGAGAGTAGATATCGGTAACCTTCGGTCTCCGTCCGTATACCTTGGTAGGTCCGAGTGCAGCCGGGTAGGTGGGATTCTCACTGGGACTCACGATCGAAGTTGCGGACAGTTGCGAACAGGGCGTCTCCGGGGGACAACTTAACTCTATGTCCTTCGGCCACACAGCCACGGATGCGACGACTGTGCGCCAGGTTCTCACGATAGAACCGTATAAAGTCCTGCTAATTACTGGCAGGTAGTCCAACCTTCCACCGCTCGTCCCCAGCTGGCATGGTGCACCAAGTGTTGGCTAAACTCACTGGTCGTCATGCACACGATTCACATAATTCCTGACAAGATTCGCACATGCCGGGACGAGAGGGTGATCAGCGGCTCGCAGCTCGCAGCAAGGTCTCTCGGCGCTCCCACGCGTCTGACTCAAACCAGTCTCTAGCCGCCGACGAA